TTTCCCAGTTACAATTTTAAACACGAATTTACAATGTTTAAAATGTTAAAAAATATAGGAATAACAATAAATTGAGTGTTTTTATTCAAAATTGTAAATTTGGAATACTCCATTTTGAAGTATTTTGTTATTTATCGACTCTTTCTAAATCAGATAAAAAGTATAATGTGTATTTATTCTATAAATCTACAAAATAAAACACCCTTTAGCGATAAAATGAGAAAAAAAGGTAGGGTCTAGTCAAAAATTCAGCGTAAAATGGCTGGTCTAGAGGTAGTGGAAAGTAGAGAAAAATGAGAAGACCCACGAAACGCAGTTAATTTAGCGAATGGGGCTGTCCTTTTATCCCTAACATAGCCACTACTACTGGTCTCTTTACTGCTCTTTCTCTATCTATATCTCCTCGGTTCTTTTTTTATTTTCTATCTACACATGTACACAAACGTATATATGTACCGGGTGATTCTCGATGGAGTCTAATAAAAAGCATCCCTGAGCCACGTCGAAGGATGGTGGGGTCAGAAGTCCATTCGGAAAATGGAGGGACTCGTTCGTCCAAGTAAATCTACCCCCGATGGAGAATTCCAATTGTCCAATTCTCCACTTTCTTTTTCCTATTTATCTTTAAAAAATGATGAAAATTAACAGAAATAATTTGGAAGAATTCTAGGTAATTTACAGAGGGTGTTGGAATGTTAAAATGAAAGTTGGCCGAGATGTAGGAGAATTTTTTCAAATTTTCATTTCGACAAGCTTGAAGACAAAATTTGTGCAGTCTGTTAGCAAGATGTATGGGAGGCGGCTAGTCCTGGCCAGGGTTCGACTCGACTTCCGACTTTCTCTGCAGAAAACATTGAGTCTGGAGGGTGCTGGTGGCCTCACCCACCCTACATACTCTTTCTCTCATCCCACTTCGGCGCGCAAAGACGCTATAAATTTTACTCCCCGACTCGCGAGTGCGATCGAAGCCAAGTAGAGGCGTCGATGCGAAAATTCTTCAAATTCGCCAAATATCTATGTGATCTAGTTTAAAAATTATTTATTGGTAAAATTTTGTCCCGCCAATATGTATATATATATAAGAATACTATGTGAATTATTTCTATAGGACTGACAGAGACTCGGATATTAAAGAAAATAAAATATTTTACTTAGATATATATATTTATATTTATATGTATGTGTGTAATAGAAGATGATAAACCATCAAATTGTGCCCACAAGCGTCGGCTGGTTCCGTTCCGGAAATCTTGGCCCCGCGGCCCGACCAATCGAATCTCACAGAAAATTTAACACCCCTTCGGTTTAAAGGAAAAGCAAAAAAATATCAGCGAATGCCTATTTCCAATTCCATCGAATCTCCGGCCGTCGAGACATTTTTATAACAAACATGATCCATTTAATTTTCCACGAGAGTAAATCACAGTAAATTAAATAATAGTTTAATAAGGTTATTTAACAGGGGAGAGAAACTTTCAATTATTAACTAAAAAAATAGTATCAACTTTATAAAATCAGCTCATCAAGAAAATACATTAAAGACATTTTCTTTGTTTTTGATTTTTTAACTTTCATAATTCGAATTTTTTTTTATGTTTACGAAAAATTTATAACAAATAATATATTCATAATTATTCATTGATCATGAATTATTTATGATTGTTACTATTTATTATAACACTGATCAATGATGGAAACTGCTTTACATTGTGAAGCTAATTTTAATACCGAGATTAGGCTTAATAGAATGCAAATACAAAGCAGTCTGAAAATTTTCATGTATTTATCACGATCAGACAAAGAGATTGTAACCATGAAGAACGAAAAAGAATCGACCCCATTGGAAAGTCGTAAAGGCGCAGGCGATCCAACTCATAAATTAGGATCGCGACAAAGCACCCACCGGACTGACTTCCCCAAATAGTTTTTCTTATCCAGCCGGACTTGAATGACAAGATAATCAGAACAAAATAGTATCTCTAGATATACATCAAATAAAATAAAAAGACTCATAAAAATAAAAGACCTAATGGAGTTATTTTAGATTGTCATATATGAAGCAGCCATTAGAAAGCTTGGAGATTTTTACGATGTGCAAGACATTCGAAAGGTCGTGGTTAGGACACATTCGCCAGTCAGCTATACACCATTTACTAGTGAAGCTATAGCCCAACATACAATGTACAGCATAACAAGGGTGGTATGATTTCAAGAATGCCGAGCACGTACCCAACCAATGCCAGTGGAGGTAGTAAAACAAATACTCTCGTGCAAGCTAGCAAAGCCAACGTCCTGCCTCCATGGATATCTCGTAATGCTCGCTCAGGCTCTCTCGTTACTGATTCCGTCAAAACGAGCAACTTAAAGCCTACCCCATTGTACCATATTTTTTTTTTACATCTTTTTCATGATCGTACCTATAAAGCTGTGATTCGCTGCCTATGGATCGTCATATAAATTGCAGATTTTATCACTGAAATTTCCAAACGTTAATCCATCAAAGTCGTCTAGCATGCAGAGATGATTTCTGTACTAGAAGCATTAAAAAAATTCTGTCGTCACATTATAAAAACATTTTTTATAGCTATGAATGTCAATATCTTTTCATGCCTTCAAGATAAAAAAAGTTTTATTATTCAGTTGACAAAATAATTTACTATTTTTTTTAGATTAAAGTATTGATATTGATTCAACTTTAATAAGTTTCACTATTTACAATTTTTATAAATAAATCAATCGTCTAGTTAATTTACGTTTTAATAAATGCATTATAAATGTAGTTTTAGTTTTTTTTTTCATTCAGAAACACTGCTGATATATTTTTAATCCAAGTTTTAATCTCTGTTTAATTTCATCTCCGATCAAGTTATAATTAGAGCTGGTAAATTTTGTCCTCACTCTTTATCATATCATACCTCAAGATCTAATTCAATTAAAAGTATTATTATTTAAAGAAGTTTGTGATAAAAGAATTACATTGGTTTAGCATACTTGATAATATTTATATTTATGTTTATCTTGTTCATCAACAGGTAAAGAAATTAGTAAAATATATTAAAAAATCTCATCATGTATAAAAAAAACTGTATGAAGAATAAAAAAAAAGTGTATACAAATAATCAGAAGAATTTTTTCAGATGTATTACATTATTTATAGGAAATATTGAAATTTTATTAGACTAATAACCTTGTCAATAAAAGATATTGAAATAAAAATAATCATATTATAAACAGACCTTAAAAAATGAAGTGAAGTATTTTTATTTCAACAAATAAAAACCTTGCTTTTATTTGTAATAAAACAAGAGATGAATTGAAGTTCATTTGAACGTTAATGATTGTCGTGTAAGGGTTGAAATGCAAGTAAATGTCGTCCGAGATAAAATGTCATGGTCTTTCAAGGAGCGAGTGATGGACGTATGAAAGAAGTGGCCAATATGGGCCGGTTCCGGCATCTCATGTGACACACACGTCAGTCTCAGCTTTGTTTTCATCATCCCTTTTGATTGAATACACAGCTTCTTTGTTCTTGCCTTTTACATCTCTCTTTACTTCCAACTCTGTCAATCCACCTTTTTCTTTCACCCACCTTTCTTTTCCTCCATGTCTCCAACATAGCTCCAAAAGCTGAAGCAAGTCTTCTGAGATATTTAAAAAAAAAAAAAAACCCTTGAATGAGATGTAAAACCACTACTAACTTTTATTCCTGCAAGAATTGTCTCTTTTGCAGGAACGATAGCTAACAGGTGTCTCGTTAATTGGTTCAAGGACTTGGAGGTGCGCTAGTAGAAGATACCAGTAAGTAAGAGGAAGTAGTCAATTGTTCGCTAAAAGTCATTGTTGAATAAATAATTTTAGTATTACTACTTTAAACTAATTACTTTAAATAAAATTTATTCCACCCACTTCACTGTATCATTTTTTTTTAGCAATCACTTTTTTCTTTACATAAAACAAATTATCTTGAAAAAATATTTATTCAACAGTTTTATACTACTTCATTATTTAAGTTTTTTTTTATTAAACCATGATCTTTAACCTTCTTATTTAGCTGTAAGTTGAATTGAGATGACCTTTGTATTCTACTTTCTGCATCATCATCATTATCATCTCCAGTTTTGAATCACCAATGAAATGGACCAGTTTCCACCTGATCTAGATCACTCCCTTTTAGAAGGGTCTAGTTGACTTTCATCACTTATATTTTTCCAAACCTGCTGGCTCGCGTGCCAAGGTCCAGAGTTCAGAGATATATTCCAAGACTGGTCCACAATAGGATGCTGAATTTACCACTCATCATCCTGTTATACAGAGTGACCGGTGTCCAGTTTAGAATCTCTCATTGTTCCCTACCGCAAAATGATCACGGTTAACCCTTTGACTTGTATCTCGTTTGGGTGAATGATCACCCCTTGAATACGAAATGCTGCTAAGTATAATTATCTGTAGAGAACCCCTTCGAAATCCATTTCACGATTACTCTATTTCAATGAAGGAATGAAATATCTGTGTAACTGAATGAAGAATAAAATCAATGAAGGTAATTTTATTTTTCCAATAATAGGTAAAAAATCAGTAATTAAACTATTGGAAAAGATGTTTTTAATATATTTCCATTCAATATTATTATGATGACTAGAATTTTGATTTAAAATAAAAAATGATAATTTATTCAAAATAATAAATTGATTGAATAACATAAAAATTCCTGAAGATGAGAAATTATCCTTAAAAAATGTAATAAAAAAATTGATTGAGCTTTAAACTAATTTAGAAGTTACATTAAAGTAATCAAAGTAATCTGTTACAATCGGAGTTGAATGAATAATTCATTACAAATATAATCTTACTTTTAATTGAAAAACTAAATCAATAAGAAGAGAAATTATTAAGCTGTTGATTTTTGTTGTCTTTTTGTGTTCCTAGGCAACGAATATTATCACGTACTCAAGTTTAGAACTCTGTAGACACTATAATAGATTTCTTTAAGTATAAATATAAATAATCATTACAGAAAGTTAATAAATTTGAGTTCAAAACTCAATTCTATCTGAAAGGTTAGCTGTTAATGATGCCCAGTAATCAAGATCATGAAATATCAAATGAAGACAAAGAAAAGTTACGAAAAATAAAGGAACTTACAGCAATGATTAAGGTAATTTGTGATTTTATCAAATCAAAAAAAGTGATTATTGAAAAAATGACAATTTTTTTAAAACATAAATTCAATTTATTTTTATCATTTATCAAGGAAACAGATCAAAATTTGACAGCTTGCGAAGAATTATTAAGAACTTACATTCAAAATCGATTGAGGGTATGTTGCTGATATTTTTCACAATTAAAATGTATTTTATCACTTAAAAACTTTACCATTCTCTCACAGTCATTTATTTCCACAATCAACAAATAAACAAGGCACAGAAAAAGTATTATTTATTATTTAATATTGAAGAACATCATTTTCAGACATTTTGTCTAATACTTTAGTTGTTACCAGCAAATATTTTTCGCAATAAGTCAATTTAGCACATTAGTCTCTGCAGTCTTATTCTGAAGTAACATGAAAGTAAAATAGAAAACGTTGTTCTCGGTAAATGGGCTTTTACCCACAGTAGAAACTCCCTTCAAGACCTAGCTTTCTGTATTTTCTACCATTTCCAACCATGAATACACAGTTTGTTGAAGTTAATCACTCAAGACCAAGTAGGATGTCAGTTTGAATACAATCCAGAGTGCAAAACTTTTTTAACTCCAGCTGGAACTTGATAAGAAAATTTTTACAAAAATCATTGGATAAATTTATTGATTACATGATTAATAAGTTGATTAAAGTACAATCTCTTGATTACTCGCATTTATTACACTCATAAGTATTTAAATCTTACATTTTTACTTAATTTTCAACCACTGGCATCACAAATTTATTAATTATCTACTTCTATTCTAAAACAAACATTATAAAACAATAATTGTACATTATAAACAAATATGTTAGATTTTTTATTTTCATAACAATTTTCAATTTGAAAAACTAAAAATCGATTAAACCATTTAATCAATTTATCGACTTGTTATTATAATTATCAACGATGTAGAAATTCCTTTCACTTAATTCTTTGACCAAAGAAATTCACCGGAAGCTGAAAGACTATCAAATTAGTATTATAATGATTACACTGCATTTAATACTCATTACAAACAAATTCCTATGGTAGTAGATATGTATATCTATTGATATAACTTGTGATCCATCAAGCATACTTATATTAAGCTACTACATTATTTTTCTTCTTACACAATCTGCTGAAATAAAAATAAAATTATAATGACTTTAATTATTGAGCATTTACTTAAGATCACTACAGTTCTTTATTATATTTTACATAATAGAAAAACAAAAATTACCAAAATTTGTTTTATAAACTTGTTCCGAAGAGTCAATATTTGAATAAAGTTAATTGATAAAAAGTTTTTTATCATTTGATAGAATACTTTTTAGAAAAGTGATAATTTATTTTTAAAAGAATCGCTTCGATTATCTGCGTTCCAAGTCACTACACTTTGAGTTTTTTTTTTGAAGGATTAACGCGATAACTTTTTCTTTGTCCCTCGCGGTTATGGTTTGCTTCTCGCATCACTTGACATCAAATCAACGGGTTTACGTCAAGTGTCCCTCCCCCGCAACTTGTCTGTCAGCACTTTAACTTCCATGCAATTCAAGTGAAATTTTCTGACGTTTCTTTCCGGCGTTATGCAAAAACTCAGTCTCACGATTGATCGACTATTGTTTATTGGCATTTGTAACGTACTTTACACTGTCTCAGTTTATATTCAGTGTTCAAACTTGAAAGACTTTCCTAAGTTAACTCTCTTGTCATATTATTTCTATAATCAGTTTTTTTTAATTCATTAAAATAAAAAATCATGAAATAAAATAGTCAACAAGTGTTATGAATTACTCATCATGTCATCTAGACTTTTTTTTCTCTTTTTAAATTGTTATATTCTTTTAAAATTTAATACTCAAATAGTATCAAGTCAAAATGTAAACACAAACTCAAATTCAAAAAATATATCGGACGTAGAATTTTTCGAAACAATAAATAACTCAAGTTTGTCAATTAAAGTTGATCCTCATGAAAGTGCAAGGAATAAACGAGCTCTGGGAATATTCCTCCAAGGTTTAGTCCAAGCTCTAGGATACAATACAACTCCAATACAACTTGCAACCTTGCCGAATCCAAATAACAATGGAATACCTTCTGGTTCTGTGGGTATTGACGTAAGAAGTATTCCTAGTCCAGCTCCTCCGCCTTCTCATGCTCCTAGTCAGAGTCCAATGCCCATGCCAACGACTACAATGACTCCTCGTCAACGAGAAACTTTGAGATTCACTGGAGTTGTTAATTTTGGTAATAATTCTGATATCGTTGGACATTTACGTCAGTATGAGAGACTATTTCATGGTTCATCAACAGCTGCCCCAACTTCTTCTACTTCAAAACCGCCACCAACTTCATCAGCAGCTTCACCATCTTCATCCCAAGCACCCTTACTTCAGCCATACTTCGTGAAGATTCCCCTTCCTTTAGCAGAAAGTCTAAGATATCCTAGACCACTTATTACACTGGTAACTACTCCAGCTAGCCCTGTGTCAGTCGATGATGCAAACACTGAAGGAGTTGATCAGCGAAAAGTACCCAAACAAGCAACTACTAACAATGAAGAAAGGGAGAATAATGAAAAGACTAATAATACAAACCCTCATGTCTCCTGTTCGTTGGAAGAGAAGGTAAAAGGGCATAATGGTGGAGAAAAAGACAATTATGGAGAAGGAGAAAGGGAAGAGGTATCAGGAGAGTATGACGACCATAAAGCTACGAGTAACGATGAAGGATCTGAGGAAGAGTATTCTTACGAGGATAAACGGGAGGAAGAACCGGAACAACATCCTTTACGTGAGGAAGAAAAAGAAGAAGTGGCCGATGGAGGGGAGGAAGGCGAAGAATTAGATGATGAAGAAGAAGAGAAAGAAAAAGGAACACCAGAAAATTATTCTAAAGGACCTTTATATACGTATGAAAGTCCTGAATTTATTCCTAAAAGAATGCCTACAGGAACTATTGATAACTTTGGTATGAAATTACCCATTGAGATTAAACCTTTCCAAGGACAATTTATGAATAGTTATGGACAGAGTTTGGAGCATGGTGGGAAAATTGATGAAAGCGTCGCTGATTATTTTGCAAGATTTAAAAATCCACATTCAGGAATTTTTGATCCTCTAAGTACTATTGCTTTTGAAGGTCAAAGGAGAAAACTTGTCAGTGGTGAAATAAATGGTGATTCAGTAGAACAAATTCGAGGATTTGTTGCACCACAATTTAGATATGAAGAATACGATATAGAAAATGATAGAGTTAGTCGTGCCAACACCCAGAATATCAGAGCAGAAGAAGCTGAAGGAGAAGTTGTTGATGATCAAGATAGAGTTAACGATGCCAATAATCAAAATAAACAATATTTACCGAAAAAATCTCTGCAAAGTCTTCCAAGACATGAGAATAAAGCTCTAGTATCTGAAAATCATCAAAAAATTGAAAGTTTAAAAGAGCAAGATCCAAATAAAACATTTGTTGTAAATCCAATTGATTTAATTCATTATCAACCTTATTATAAACCTGTTCAATATTATTATTCTCCAGAATTTAGATATGATAAATATGTGGATTTTAAAAATGAACAAGTAAATGAAGAGAAAAGTGCGAGTTTGAGAAAAGAAATACCTGCAGAAGCTATTACAGCTGAGAGAAATATCAAAAGACATAAGAATGTTCGTCAAAAAAATGAACAAGAAATACCATTAGAAGCTATAGAAAAACATAAGGAGAAATTACCAAGTGAAAAATCTGACCAAATTGAAGTTAATGATGAGAAGACTATTGAAAAAAGACCATTTATTCCTGAACCTTTTGACTTTGTACGTTATCAACCTTATTATAAACCAGTACAGTATTATTATAGTCCAGAATCTCTTGAAGAAACAGTTCAACGCGTCACTTCTCACCTAGATACAAAAAATAGAAGAAACCCTAAGGATGAAACTGAACATGTTAGTAATGAGCACTCCCGGGAATTCAGAAAACCGGAGCTGGTTACATCCAGCCAAATAACAGGGAGATTAACAACAGAGAAGGGTAGAATGAAAAAAAATCAAGAGAAAAGTTCAGAGATTGTTCGAACAAATTCCGAACAAGTAGAAACTTCTGTAACTAATAGACCTAGAAATTTAAAGCGGAGAAAAGTTAATAGGAATCGAAATAATTCATATAATTCTTTCAATGAAAAGAAAGAAGACAGACAGATTGGAGAACAGCCCGTGACAAAAGAGTCTCGCAATCCTATTCCAACTCGTAAAATTCGTCCATCGTCATCTAAATAACATAAACATAATAAAAATAAATTAACATTTTCAATTATTTGTTTAAGTAACAAATTAAAGTTTCTTTTTAATTTATGATGTATAAAATAAATAAAAAAATGAACGCTAGTATAATATTAACTTTTAATTTTAAAATCTTAACAAGAATAAAATGGATTTGTATATAAATAAAAGAAAATTTATCAATATGATGCTGAGAATTTTATTTAATAAAATAATATTTACTATTTTCGAAAATGATATCCATTTTTTTAGTATTATCATTCCTTGCTTTCTACAATCTACTTGAAATTATTTTTATTTAGATAATTAAAACTTAGAATAATTAGCTCATTATTGTAATAAAAGTTTATTAATTTCAGAAACAAAAAGAAGAACAACGACGGCATCACCACTTGGAAAATCGAATGACAGAAATCTTAGATAATTTGAAAAGTCGTTTGTTGATAGAATAAATATCAATGATTATTTATGATGAATATAAACATTTATTTATAATTAACATCACTAACTTGTTCACTTTCTACGATTGCTTAATAAACAATGTACGATACAAAAATTGTTATTTTTTATTTACTATGATGGTAACTTTTATAGTTCTATTGTCTTTCGAATATCTAGTAAAACTGATGTTAAATTGAAAATAATATAATCATAAAAGGAAGAATTTTTACTTTAATAATATTATATTTATGAGGATGAAAGTATTAGTTCCATAGTTTCATAAATTTGATATAACAATTTATTCCATAATTATTTAAATAACTGTAATGAGTTCAATTTTTTTATTTACCTATCATTAATCAATGTAGTAATCCTTTTTGTAATACAGCATAAAATGCTTAATTCTATTTGACATTTAAATATTATCATGAGGATTCACTGAATGTTATTAATCTTTAATAAAATACAATAAACACAATTTATTTAATTGACTATGTCCTATTTTTTTACCCTACGTTTCCTTAAGTAAAATGAATAATAACATATTACTCAATGTTCACTAACATTTATACCTTTATCATACTTTAGTACCCTATAATTGTTTTTCCTTATCAAAAGTGGTAAAATCCAGTGAGTGATTAATATCTAAAATTATCATGTATCAAGTATTTCATTTATAAATTATTTAATTACCGAAAAAAAAATAATAATAATAGTAATTTATACACTTCCACTTAAATTGTGCTTGAAATTACTTCATACTACGTGTAGTACTATGTTAGGGTAGTACCCTAACATTAACTGAAAAATCGTTATAAATAATTAAAAGTAATTATTATAGCTGGATTTTAAGAAAGTCAATTCATAGTGAAGGATAGCGGTTAAAAAGGTTCAAAAGTAATATCTAAAAAAATGAAGTTTAAACCAAAAACTATTTTAAATTGTGTCATTAAAATAGGGAAATTATTTTGCTTATGGCCACTAGATACAAATGCAAAATTTATTACTAGATCAACCCATGAATTAACACGTTTTATTTTTATTTTGAATGAAATCATGTTTGTTGTTCCTCTTTTTCTGAGTGCGTATCATCACGTTCTGGATGATCCTCAAGAAGCTATCAAAGCATTTGGAAATTCAGGATCTCACTTCGAAGATATTTTTAATCTGATTTTATGGAAAACTCAACAAAATCAATTACGGGTATGAATAAAAAAAGTATTTCTCATAATATATTGATTGGCTTACAAAAACTAACTATTCAATTAATTTTCAGGGTGTATTGTCAGAAGCTGTTGATTACATTCAAAAAATAAACGATAAAAAAGAACATATCTTAGAGAAATATCTCATCGGTTATTTAAAATTTCACATGTTTACAGTAATTTGTTGTATGATAACATTTTCATGTTACACCATCAGTCCTTTATTTCTACCTCAAATTTTGCCTGATACTACATGGTATCCATTTGAAATTGAAATATTTACTTTAAGATATTATTATATTTATTTTTCACAAGTTATAGCCATGTTTCAAAATGTTATAATACCAATGCTTGGTCTACTAATTATCATAATAATGTTGTCAACTGTAACAACAAAATTGCATATTTTGTCACTCAAAATTGAGAAAACTAAAAATGAAAATGATTTAAAAAAACATTTTCGGAAACATCAAAAAATCATAGAGTGAGATAATGAATTAAATAAAATAATATTTAAACTAACAAATTACGTATTTATTTTGGTTTTAAAAATGATTATTTCTTAGGTATGCAGAAAAATTAAACTGTACCATGCGTTTTATCATACTTAAATCATATGTAACTATAGCTGTGTCAACAATTTTTTCTGCAATTCAAATATTCTTTGTAAGATATGCATCTTATTGTTAAACCGAAATTTAATGCTTACCAGTATTGATTTTTTTCTTCTCTTATTTCCAGTCAAATAATTTTTTTAATGTTATTGAGGCTACTCTTTATATAACGACATGTTTGTTTGGAGCTTTCACATTTGCCTGGGCAGCTGATGACATGCATCAAGCAGTAATATTTACATTTAAATTATATTATGATTTGTTTATGATTATATTTAATCATACTTTAATCTTTTCTTGTAACATTACCTGATGATAAATTTTCAGAGTATGGACATACAACTAGCAATTTATAATTCAAATTGGATTGAATGTACACCAGAGATGCGAAAAGTTATGATAATTATGATGTGTCGTGCACAAAAATCTCTGAATATATCTATAGATGGAATTCTTCCAGCGTTAACATTGGAATTTTTTGCTAACGTGAGTCTGTTTTTGTTTTAATCATACTCAATGTGCATTTTTTACAAGGCAATGAAAAAATTTTAATATTTTTTTGAATTTTGTTTCAGTTTTTGATGTTTATTATATCATACTTTATGATGTTACGTGCATTGATAAAATAAAACTAAGATTTCAATTAAATGACCCTTAAAAAGGGTATTTAACTTAGTTAATGGCTTTTTACTTTACTGCACTGATTTTTTAATCCTCTAATCATGATGTAGACTGTAAGCAACATATCGTTCAACCTACTACTAAATTTATATGATTCGTTTTTTGACATTATATTGCCTCCCAGGCAACACTCCCTGTTTTTCTATTTTTTTTGGAAACTAATTGAATAAATAAAAACCTACGAAACACGTCTAATCTTATTTTGTCTTAATTACCCGTAAACAGCATAAAATTAAAAATTCATATTCTTGAGTTATAGAGGATTAAAGTAATATTCGAAACATCACGAACTCATTGAATCTTCAATTACTACAAATTACAGGATCATTTTAATATCTGTTTATCGTGTAAAGTAGTAATTAGAATTGAATTAAATCAGAAAATCAAAATTTAATTCAAATTACTACAATCATTATAAAAATTTGTAACATTTATGATTGAATTGTGATTGAAAAATAAAATATTTTAAAAACAGTTACAGTAATAACTTTTAGTTTAGAATCAAACGTTGTATTCGAGAATTGTCTTCAAAAATATGAAGTTCAAATCAACAACAGTATTAAACCTAACAATGAAAATTGGAATATTTTGTTGTATATGGCCGTTGAATCCAAATACTAAATTTGTTTTGAAGTTGTTTCATGAAATAAGACGATGTTTATTCATAATCAATGAATTCGCTTTTATTTTTCCTTTTATGTTCAGTGCTTACCATAATTTTGAAAATGATTCACCAAAAGCAATTAAAGCGTTAGGTGATTCAGCACCTCATGGAAATAATTTTTTAAATCTTCTCTTATGGTGCACTGATAGAAGTATTTCTTTGTATCTAACATAATTTATTAGCAGCTAATAAATATGTTATTTGAAAGAGAAATCGAATGAACATTTGTTAACAGTTAAGAAATTATTTATTAGAGTAGACTGATTTGGCTCAATAAATGATTTCTTAGCTGCAAACAAATATTTATTTCTCATCTAAATACTATGATTGAGCTCGATGGTAAAGTAGAATGACGGTAAAGCATAATCAAATGTTAGGTTATATTATGAAATAACTTTGATTTATTGAAAATTTTTAAATAAAAAATAACAGTTTCGTAATAATTAAAATTAATATTTTCTTTTAAACAATAGCTCGACGAGCAATTACATTATAACCATTTAATTTCGTGTGAATTTTTAATGGTTTTATAAATATAATAATATCAGACAGCTAAGCAAAGAAGATTAATTACCTACAAATAAATCTTTATTTGTATCAAATAAATGCTGAAAAATAATTTTAATGAATTCGTTTAGTCCCACCAAATATATTCTTCTATCAGTGTGGTTGCAGCAAAAACAATTACAGGTATCGATAAAAATCTCTAAGTAATTGTAGTTTTGTACCAAGCATGGAATTAAAAAATGGTTTAATTACTTACCACTGATTTTCAGCTGTTATTGAATGAAGCGTCAAAATACATAATAAATTTGAAAAATGACCAAAAACATATTCTAGAATTATATTTGAACCGCTATTTTAGCTTGCTTGTCTTTACATCTATATCTTGCATCGGAACTATCATCATATATGCTTTTAGTCCACTAGTGTTACCACAAATTTTCGTCACTGACTCCGTAGAGTATCCTTTTAAAATTTAAACATTATCAATCCTTCATCTGACCATTTATTTTGGGCAAGTCATAGCAGCTTTTCAATGTGGAATTGTGTCTATGCTCATAATAGCTATTAACACGATATTAGCGACTATTGTCACTACAAAATTACAAGCTTTAGCAATTAAAATTCAAAAAGCAAGAAACGAAGACCAATTCAAAAATTGTATTCGAAAACATCAGAATATAATAAGGTGTTCAACAAATAAGTTATTTTAAATATATCTTTATAAATACAAAACCTGCATAATTTATTTTGATTTCAGATACGCCAAAAAAATAGACCATGTGATGCGTTTTATTATTCTTAAAACTTATATTTTTATAGCAATGACAGGAATTTTTGCTGCAATTCAAATTTTCTTTGTAAGCCATTGAAGAGTTGTTTCTCTGATATAATGCTAATATATTCTTATGATAAATTATATTTTTAGCCGAGAAATATCTTTCATGTACTTGGAGCTCTTCTTTACATTACAACTTGTCTAATAGGAGTTTACATATTTGCTTGGGCAGCTGATGATATGTAAGACGCTGTAAGTAAGATTTTAACGTTTTCCGAAGCAAAATAAATTTTTTATTTACATTTAAAGTTATTTGGAATTTTTCAGAGCATAAACATAAGTTGGGCAGTCTATAATTTAAACTGGACAAATTGTTCTCCAAAAATGCGAAAGTTAATGGTCATCATGATGTCTCGAGCAAAAAAACCTTTAGATATTTCTGTTAATGGAATTCTTCCTGCATTGACATTAGAATTTTTCGCTAAAGTAAGTTGGCTTCATCTTTTTTTTTTATAAACATAACACTAAATTTTTTAAATCCAATGTTTTTTGTTTTTAGTTTATACTATTCATAATTTCATATTTCATGACATTACGTGCATTAGTAATTCGTACGTAATCTATCTCAATTATTCAAATATGAAGACAGGGAAATTTGCAGCGTACAGAATTTTTTATCACCATAAGCACTATGCTACAATAATTGAGCATTAATTTGAGAATCAAATATATTTTTTTTTAGTATAAAAATAAAATTTAATTGTCTTTATTTATGTATATATATATATACATAATATATATTGATATGTAAAAAATATACAATATATAATACATATTATATATGTGAACAAATTAACAATCATTGGTAACACAGGCAACCTAGTGCAATCACACAACAGAAAGCAATCTATCGGCACTATAAACTTAACATTAAGAACAATTCGCTGTAAAATAGATAATTTTGTACATAAATACTTCTGTTTTAATATTCTCGACTACAATAAGATTATTTTGGATCTTTTTTGTTTAATTTTAATAGATGGAATGTAAAAAAATTATTTTTCACTGTTTATTTTGTATACAATAATAATGTTCTCAGCTAATAAATGCTAAATAGACATTACAAAAAGTAAGGAATGACCAGTACGGTTTTTTACATTTATTTTATATCATACTTTATATATAACAGAATACGAAATCATTTATACTACACAATATTTATACAATAATTATTCATAGTTTATAACTACTAGTATAAATATTTAGTAAAACCAACAATAAAATATATTTTTTATTTTGTACTTACATCTCTACAAAATATGATTTGATCAAAATTGTTTTATTTGCAAAATGCGGTGTTAAAATAATTGTAATCTTTGAGGTCACACACGACTCTTTCGTTGAGTAAAATTGTAAATTAATACTGTAACTGATAATTTAAAAAATCAGAATATTCATTGATGAATAATCATAAATTCACAGAATCATTTTATTCACGAAATTATTCATGATTATAGTACTCAATAATTTTATTCTTCGAATTAATGACGCTATCAATCAGATATTTTTTGCCAAACATTGATAAAAATATCAATTATCGAAAGAAATTGGTTCTTTAAACATTTTTTTCAATTTTGACCGACATTCCTCTTGATAAGATCTCAAAGTTTTATTGAAAAAAAATAAATAAATAAATTATGATAATTAGAACCTGAGATTTAATAATCGAAAGTTTCAATAAACTTTTTGTGCATAAGTGAACTTTGAATCAAGTGCTTTTATGTATGACCTCAAAGGGTTCAAAAAAGTGATTCTTATTATTAAAAAATTATATAAAAAGTAGATTTAAGCATTTAGCTTTATGACTATAACTAGCAATTACGATTTAATTATTATTTAATCTATGATGTACGTAAACTGAAAGCAAATTTATGATACTTTTATTCGATCCGAGTATACCAAAGTCAAAGATCCAATTAGAGAAACTAAGGTACGATCTAGCCAAGTTATGGGATTAGGATATAGCAGTCCACCTTCATAAAAGCCAAGATGACCGCCATGAGCTACTTGTATATATAAAGTATTGCTATGACTTGCTGTAAAGTATTTCAAAAAATTTTTATAATCTTTTTCAAAAAAACATTTTTAAATTTAAGCGTTAATCAATTATTGGATGAATAATAACATACCAGTATATTTTTTTATAGGTTCTAATAATACTTCAGGAACAATTGGATCATCAAATGCATTGATAAATACAATTGGTGTTTTAATATTATGTAAATAATTAATAGAGCTACTCCATTTATACAATTCTGTCACGGATCTAAAATTGTGCACCTATAATGAAATTTGTACTATTAGTAAATTGAAATTATTGGTGGTAGATGTCTAAGTACAAAATTTAACTCACTCTTCGTGTATAGGCTTCATCTAATTCTGGTAGTGTAGCTGCAGAAATAATTTCCCTTTCATTCAAGTTATACTTTTGTTTCACATCATCCGAAAGCAAGACATTTTTATGTTTAAGAATAATATTTTTTACAGATTCTGTCATTATATAAAGATAAAAACGACGGAAATTCTGCCAATTGAGTAAATATTTCGTTCCTCTGAAATAATTAACCCATGTAATTATTGATTAAAACTAAGTTTTAATAGATGAAATATTTTTTTAACATACTCAATTGCATCATAGCCTTGACAGATAGAAATACCACCAATAATACAGGAAGGTTTAGATATTGTTCGTTGTTCACCTAAGTATTTAGTTACAAGATTTCCACCCAAGCTGAATCCAACACAAACTATTTTTGTACTGGGATGTTTGTCGAGCAAGCTCAACAGCATAACGTGATAATCATCTGTATTTCCTTTAGTCGTAAAAATAACGTCGATTAACGTTTTCTAATTACTCTACAAAATTGATATTTTTTTATAAGCTTACCATAAGAAAATATTCTAGGAGCAGTAACTTTAACACTTGAAAGTGCACCAACGTGGTTTAATACTGCACATCTGTATCCATGGCATTGTGCAAAATGTACAAATGTTCTAATATAAACACTCTCTGAGCTGTTTCCAATTCCCGGAGCAATAGCAACAGTTACATCATCTGCAATTCACACATTGATAAAAGAATTTTTATTAAATACTATTAACACATATTCATAATCTCTACAAATTAATGTATTATTTTTTTTATTAGATAATGAATAATCAAGTGACCTTCATAACCATTGCTCAATGGTTGGTATAAATCATAAGTCAAAGTTGTTCCATCAGTCAAACTCATATAAATTCGATCTCCAATTGGCCATGGACACCGTACGCGACCAATTATGCTGTGTACAATAGTTTGTACATGTCCACTGAATCCCCATAATCTGGTTGGCTTATAACTGTAATAACAATTTCATTACAACAAATGTCAGTTTAATATTATCAATTATATAATCCTATAAATTCAATTAAATACATACGGTTCAGCAATAACTGGAGCAATTTTAAGAATTGTTGATAAAAAAGCAACATCTTGGCATACTAATACCGGTTTTTGAGGTGCACTGCTGACATTTAATATTCTAAATAGGATACAGAGTATCACAGCCACAACAGCTAATAACGCTGTTGACATTTTATGTATAATTTTGCTTTCGTATTGACTAAATAATATCAATTATCAATTTTAGAGCTAAAAGCTTGTCGAATGAAGAATATGACTAATAAACCATTTCCCTTATGTCGTATTTCTACACATACATAAATATTAACAATTATGTGTAATATTTGTTATCACTATATTATTCATTATATATTTATATTTTTGTAAAAGTTTATATTTTTAATTACTTTATGGGTCAAGTTTGTGTAGTAATTGTATTCGAAATACTATATCGATTCACTATATAAATATTTTCTACTGATAATTCATCAATCGATTAAGATAATCTCATGTTCTAGAATGTACATCCATAGACGATGGATATTGTACAGGTTATTCATGTACGGAACACTAATTTACTAATGTTTTTTATCGTTTAAAAGCGCTTAAATTGAAAGATACTTTGACTAGATTTTTGAGTACACCTAAATGTACCGTTATTAAGTCGTAAATTTGTATGTTATTTAACAAAAATTAAAATATATATTATCCCGGCAAACTTTAATCAATATGTGTTAGCTCTGTGCTCGAGTTGAATTGTTTTAACGTTGTGAGTTGATCGATTATATATGTAAGTCAAATCAAAAAATATATGGCCTCGAACAGACGACCAGTCCCATTGTAAACAGCGACAACTATTAACTAGTTACAGAAGCTGTTCTAATCATGGACAAAAAATACTCTGTCTTACCTAGAAGCCCAGAAATGGCTCTTTCGTGTCGCCAAGAATTTTTAGTTGGTACTCTGATTCCAAGATGTCTGTAGTATACAATTCGTTAGTTTGTTACATTTTTAAAATTAGATTTGTATATCTTCGTTCCAAAGAAAACTAAGTTTTTTTTTTAGTTTTGTCTATTTTGGAGTACCTTTACGTGATTTTGAAAATTTTTAGAGGAAAAACTAGTTTTCTTTGGAACGAAGATGTACAAATCTAATTTTAAAAATGTAACAAACTAACGAATTGTATATTACAGACATCTTGGAATCAGAGTACCAACTAAAAATTCTTGGCGATACGAAAAAATCCGGGCATCATAGAATTTGATTGACAATCAGTAAGATTATACATTTAAAAATTTTAATTTAAAAGATTGTAAAAATGCCTTTGACTGACATCTTATTAGGGACGGTAAGACAGTATTCTTTGTCATGGATTTTTATACAACCGTTGGTATCAAAATTTTTGGATACATTTATCGGCGCATTATAAAGAATCAAGTAGCGACATCACATTATTGGAGTACTAACTTAAAATTGGATAATCCGAATCTGACTCTTTTGGAGTTCTTTGTGCCTCAATATTCTTTGCTTCGGCTCTCTTAATTTCATATCAGCAGAAATGACAAAAGTGTAATCAACGAATACATGCGTAGATATAATAAAATTTGTATGAAAAGAAACATCATTGATCATTCACAATGACAATTAAATGTTATCAGTGAATTAAAACAAAAGTCCCTTATCAGGGAATTAAAAAGTGTGCAATAAAGTTTACTACATTAAATGTACGCGTTTTAAAAATTATTTAGTAAACAATTTTGAATTTTATTTTTTTACTTAACCTCTTTCATTTTTTATTAGCTCATATTGTTGTCATAGAATTATAAAATAAGTGCAATAAATACTTTTCTTTATCGAAGTAATGACTATTCAGTTATTTTTCAGTCGGAAATTGTGATGATATGATGCGACACAATGTACGAGTGCATCGCACTTTTGTTTGTATTTTTAGGATTATTCAACAATTTACAAAGTAAGAATTTTTTTGTTTTAAACTTTCAAAAATGTTGGACATTTTGATAATAGACAACTAAGTTATAATTTTTCTTAAGAATTAAAAAGAATTTTTAAAATTTAGGTACTAAACTAAATGGAACCGAATTGTCTTTGCCATTCGGCCCTAAAGCTAAATTGTCAATTGAACCACCATTTATGGCTGGTATAGAAAATAAAGTAATAATAAAAAAAACCAATGAATCTTTGAATTTAACATGCACCGTAGTACAACAGAATGGAGAAAAAAATGATACCTTGTTTGATTATACTGTTGACTGGAAATTACCTTCTTTAAATGATAATTTCACTTCGTAAGTAGTTTTTCGTATTAACATCAAATTTTTGATATCAATACTATTTTTAATAAATCTAAAATGTTTGTGTTAAAATTTATGATTCTAGGAACTTTAATAGAGGTAATTATAAAAATATGGCTTGGTTATGGTTTGATAGATTATCAGAAAGAGACTCTGGTAATTATACGTGCCATGCAGTCACCTCAGAAGGAATTCGCCAGCCCCATATTTCTGTCAATATTTTTTTATCCGTGAAAAGTGTAAAAACAAGTTAGTATAATTGTAAACTAAAAAAATTTCCTATTAAGAAAGTTCGAGCATTTCTATAGTTAAATTACCACACTATTTTCAATCGCATTAATGAATGTTTCTTCAAAATTTTATTAATTAACTTGGCTCCTAATTTAACCATAGAAACGCTCGAACTACCTTAATAGAAAATAAAAAAGTAATTTTTTTTTTAATTGTAGTGCCTTCATTTTGTGGCTCTCAATGGTTCAAATGTCGATCAACAAATTGTATAATGGCAAGGTATGTCTGTGATGGAAAAAAAGATTGTGAAGAAGGTGAAGATGAAAGTGCAGCAGCTGGATGTGAATCTGATCCTTGCTTTGGAAAAATATTTTGTGGAGAGCGATGTATTCCTCCTGAATGGTGTTGTGATTATAGAAATTGTAGTACAACTTATGGATTACGGCCTTGGCCACCAGAAACTCATGAAATTAGTTATGTACAAACAGCTTTCTATACAGTCATTGGTAAATATGCTACAAAATCTTTAAGTTTTGTCATTTACATAATAAATAGTTCTTATTGAAAAAAACTTATCTTACGCAGGATGTGCAATGGCATTTATGTTCATTGTAACAATATTAGTGATAGCAATTTGTCGCGTGCAAATAAAAAGAGCTATGAATAGTAGGTGGAATCAAAGAAGTAGAGATATTTATCGTCGTCAACCACGTTCAGTATCACTAAATATGCCAATTTATGACGTTGATGTGTATTTAAATAGAGCAGCTGATAATTATCCACCAGGTAATTTTCAAAAAAATATATATATTATGTGAAATTATTATTAATGCAAAGTAATTAATCTGATAATTCGAAATTATAATTTTTAATTTAATTTAGGTGTAAATATTATGTATAATATAAATAGTGGTGTTCAATTTGTTGGTCAACCAGTAGAACCACCACCATATTCTGAAGTTATAGTTACACCACCAAGGGAAGGACCACCTCCCCCTTATGTATCGTGTGAGAATCTTGTAGATCGAACTACAATTTCAAGAATGATAACTGATGCCTCACACACTTGTGAAAATATCATAATGCCACCGATTCCGAATTTTCATTCAGTTCAAGGTCCTTTAGATATTTTAAATCCTCAAGATATTTCTTACAATCATCATTTAGCACGAACATCTGATATTTCAAGTACTCAAATATTAGAATCAAGTACATCTACGACAATAGTTGCTCGTGACGAACCTGATCTAAGCTTAAGACCTTACGCATCTCAAGCTTTTGACCTAGAATATGTTGAGACAGATGCACTTTTATCAGAAAACTCGAAAAATGATAAAATTCAGAATTCAAAAGATATAATTTCCAAATCAAACATTCGACAAAAAGTTGTTAAGAGTAAACGATTACCTCAGGAATTTAGTAATAAAGCGAATGATAGGACACGTATCTCTTGCCAAACAGACGAAGATTCATCAAATTTGCTTGTTGTGCAAGGAAAAGAACTACCTTCAAGAGATGTTGAAAATGAAGGAATATTTTTAGAAACTGATCAACAAAATGCATGTTCTACGTCGACAATTATTTCATCCCAAACTAATTCTTCGATTCTATCATCAACGAAAAGCTTGAATAACTTAAAACCAGGTCCGAGTTCTTTTAAGAACAAGGGTAACGAAAATATAGAGTTACCTACCCATAATATAATTCCTAAACCAAGAGATGAAGTAAAAAGTTATCCGAAAACTTCAGATAATATTTGTCATGATAAAAATTCCTCTTTGCATCCTAGTCAAGCTCAAAATAGTGAAAATTTAAAACGAGGAAATACACTGATTTATGATAATGAACAGTCCAACAAGTCGAATGAGTCTTCCAATATGTCAACCAGTGTTGTTGCTTCCGATAATGTCCGAGATGTAGATAATGATTCTAATAATGAATTACAAGCTTCTGAACCATTGATTTTACCTCTTCGTGAGTCTTTTATAGGTGTACAAAAAGGTAATTAGATTCTTACTCATTAATCTATTTTCGAAACTTGAAAAAAATTTTGGAATACAATGTTCAAATAGAATTATTTTTGAACTCTTCGCAATTTTTGATGAACTTAAAAATATATACAATTTATTCTTTTTAATTGATACTATCATTTTAATTGCAATGGGGTAATTGTCATTCATATTAAAATTATGAAAAATAGCATTATTCAAATAATAATTGGAATATTAATCTAAATAGATTTATTTTAAGATAAATTATTTGCAATATTTAGATATTATTCAAAGTATAAAAATGTTAAATATAATCTAATCAAATTTTAAACTCTGAATCTTATCGTAAAAAGGAAATTGATTTTTCTTCATTAAAAGAGTTTTAACAACTTTAATGTAAATATCACATGAATGTTGAAAACAACAATATTTGTTCTATTCAATGAAATCTATTAATAGTATTTAAAATGTATTTTTATCACTATTTAGATCATGTTAATAAGTACTTCAATGTTCGTGTACTTAATTTTAATGCAAACTTTGTAAAAAAACTTTAATCCAGTTGAATTACTCATGTAGGAAATTTTATGTGTTCTGATTTTAAATCAACGGGACCAAAAATTATGTTTGAAAAATGAAATTGAAATTATTTCATTGGTGTGGTCCAATACTTTGTTTAGTTTATAAATTATTTTTGAAAGTATTTTTTATTAAATTAGCTCTCTATTAAATTGAAAATCATTTGTAAGTAATGTAAAATAATTATGAAATGTAATTTCAATAGAATAATTTTCTTTAGGGCTTCGATATATCATACATTTGATTTTGTGCTTCCAAAGATTACCGATAAATTAGTTAATTCAGGTAGTCAAAGTCGTTTGTTACTATTTTTTTAGGAGAACATCGATATCAAATTGAAACTTTAAATTTTGTAACTATTGATCATTTTAAATAATTATTTGAATCTTATATCGTCAATTAATATCATGATATCATATAGATTCCCAAACTTATATTTTCAATATTAAAATATGCTCGACAAAATCGAGATACTATTTCATAATTAAAGGGAAGTATATTTTTAAAAATCCTGATAAAATACATATATCTATTTTTGTGGCCTAATGCATATATTGATGACTAAAACTTTGAGTAGAAATACAATATATCATGATAGATTATAATTATTAATGAATGCCAGCTATATTTTTCAATTATAAGAATCATTATTTTTCTGAATAAAAATATAATGCATAGAAATTGTAATTCATTTGTAATTAATGAAATATTTTTGAACATTTGTTCTATGTACTAGGTATTTAGACTTAATAAGACTTATTTATTTTTAAAATAATTTTAATACATTTACGATGCACTTATTCAAAGAATTGTATCTATGAGAATAATTGTGTAAGCCTTTTTTAGGCTAGATGCCTTATTTCATTCACAAGATGAATTCTGAGTAACGACAATTTCGATATTTGTAAAAATTATGTTTTTCATAATCTCTCAGTTACTCGACTGTATACACATATTAAGATCCACTTGAAGAAAGTCGAATAATCTTTCGATATAATGCTTGTATTAATTAATGTCGCACAATTAAACGAGATTATTTTCATTCAATTAATTATACAATTTTTTATTATCTTACAATCTATTTCGAGCTAATAACATAAATCATAATGACTTCACATGCCATATAAATTTTTTATTACATTGATACTTATCAACTCATTATTTTATACATAATATAAAATAAGTAATATTAAATAAACAAATTAAAAACTACTTCAAAAAATAACAGCTATCAATGAAGAAAACTATTCATTTAGTGATTGTCAATCGCTGCGTAAATCTTTTGAATTTATTGTGCATCATGAAATGGTTGAATTAATCAATCAAAACTTATTCTCTTTCTTATATTTTATAGTGTTAAGTAGTATGCTGTGTTAAAAAACAATTATATATAAAAAATATATTTTTTTTTGTTATTAATTCTGTTAAGAAAACATCTTAATATTTTAGTACCGTAGTTGAGGTAGAATACTTCAAGACCAGAATTAGTAATGTAAATATAAAAAAATTATTTACTGCCAGTACTTTGTAATGAGTGATAAGGTTCTTGATTAGCTTGACTACCACGTCGGATGGGAACCCTCCAACCTTTGCGATACAAAAATAAAAAGAATATTGAAATAGCAACTAGTGCTATAATAGTTGCAATTTGCAGGGTAGAAATCATTCTAGAAGTTGTTTCTACATCTCTAGAAAATATTCGTATATAAATCCCACAAGTAAGAAGATCTTTTACTGGATTAGAATCTAAAGATGCTGTTATGTGTACTTTATTATCATCAAAATATTCTTTGTAGGTCCAGTTGACTAATGGAAGAAGGTCCACATCAACGGAACTCGGTAAAATGATCATGTCTGCATAGTCAATAAATGTAGCATTGATTTGAATATAATTGAAAGTTGTCTGAGAATTCGAACGAAGTCCACAAGATGTTATTGAATCATTAGCACACTGAACCACTGCACATGTTTGAATTCCAACTGTTCTACGTTCTGCTATAAATGTTCTTATTCCATCATATGCCACCAACTTATAGATAGAATTAGAATCAGTATAAGAAATGTCCACATCAAAATCACAACAGAAATTACCATCACATAGGGTGTGTTGTAATGAAGAATTCAAGGGTATAGATTTAAATAGACTTAAATCATCATGATATAATTGTATATCTGAAATTTCCCTCTTTCTCAATTCATCGTGAACATGTTCGATTTCTTGAGCATTCTTCCGGTTTTCATGTAATCTTATTGCTGCTTCATCAATAGCTATTAAATCTATGTTACGATTTTTTTTAGGAACGTTGCAAATTATTAACTCATTACCAGCTGAAAGCTCTTTTGTTTTACAAATCCCGTTACGACCTACGAATTATATTTACGTCATTTTTAATTTTCGAACTTTGAAGAATTTTATCTATAAATTAAAAAATCGATACAATTTTTTTACCTAAATAAATTCCACTACCACCATTGCCGAATTCTACTCGATTGTATCCAGAAGCTAAAAAGTTAACATCTTCAGCATAAGACCATCCGTATTGGGTTTGAATAGCTGCAAGAATTTTCAGTTATTTAAAAATGTATCTTTAATTTCTAAAAATGATCAACAATATAATCATTATTACCGGACAAAAAGGGAAGTTCTGAAAACCACGCAGTAGAATAGACAATGTCCGTAATATTTAATTTTCTAGTGAGTGTTATTCCAGGTTCCTTGAATAATATATCAAAACATATAAAAGTGCCAAATGTTACTCCAAAATCAGTTTGAAATGTAACAATCTCAGGTTCTGGTGTTACATTAAACTGTGGTTCAGAGAATAAATTGGTTTTCCTATATTTGGCAATAATTTTTCCATCTCGATCAAATACAACTTGACAATTGTAATAAAGTACTTTGTCTCTAGGACAATTTTCTACATTGCATGGAAGTTTTTCTGCAATATTAACAACTACATAAATCTGAGCTTCTACTGCTGCACAAGATAATAAACTTAGAACTTTGTGGACTTGAATTGTTGTTTGATTACAAGGAGTATAATTAAGAGGAACTAATGTAGCCCAGGTGTCCATTTGATCTCGGTCTGGTAAATTAACAGATGTCAATCCATCTTCTGGAAATACTATTATATCAGCATCCTATAAGTTATAATTAAAGATTTAATTTTAACAGTTCTATTTGAATTTGCAAAAAATTTTTTAAAAAATTATACATGTTTTCCAGCTTCTTCAATGTACGATCTATAAATTTCACCATTTTTTTCAACTGGTGAATCTTGAGGATTTGTTGGATCTAGAGCACCATACTCAACAACCGTAGCAGTGTAATATTGAGACTCTAGACTTGATTTCTAAAATATTAGATCATTTTAAAGTGGATAATTAAAAAACTACCATTAATAATTTTATGCCTAAAATATAACCTACCTGATATGATAAATGAAAGATGGACAACAAAATAAAAAACAATGAGTTCATTATATGTTTATATATAAATATAAGAACAAAAATCAATTTAAAGCATCTATATCGAAATATTTATAATAATTTCTGCCAAATTCGATGAAATAAAATATAAATAAATTTATTATAGGTTAAATCTAGATTTTCAATCGTTTATTTAACTTTTCCTTAATAAAATATCAAATTTTTATATTTCGTTAGTATTAGTAGTAAATAGTACAAGAAACTTGATCACATTGAATTGTTTGAATTAATTTCACTAAACATAATGTTTTTCATGTTTCTAGTTCTTTGTCTTACTTTACATACTAAATTAATACTAGCTTTAACGTAATTATTGATTTCGAACTTTGAATTATGACGTATTGAATTGTAAATATGATCAGAGCTTTGTTTATAAATAAACATAGAATTATCAACTAAAGATGATAAATACTTGGTGATAAAATTTTACGAATTAAAATATTTGCGAATTTTTTTTACTGCATGCAATTGATCTATTCATAATTATGTTTTAATTTATCATCATATCTTATTTATAAAAACAAAAAATATACTATTTTTGATACTAGTACTTAATTAATTAATCTTTAAATTCGTTTGATGCTCGAACCGCCTTAACTTCATCTCTGATAGACAAGAGTTAAACTTTTTTTGGGGATCAATAATCATTTAGTCAATAGATGGAAAAAATTGAAAAAAATAAAGTGACAAATCATCAATAACAAAAGAAAATTGGTACACATTTTCCAACTGAACACTTTGTAAACAAAAAGTTGGAAGATCTTATTTTTACCTTTGATCGGTTAAATTGCAATTTTAATTTTCTACATTTTCTATTGAGTAAAATGAAATCAAAGATGGCGACACATAAAAAAGACTTTAGTGAAATTTTCATTTGTACATCTGTCGCTAGTTTCACAACGGTCTATTTTACCGCATACATTTTAGAGTACTTTTTTGAAGTAAAATGTACAAATATTTTTCGTGCTGCATTACTATTTACTCAACAAATTCATTAATCATTATCCAGAGTAAGTTTTCGAATATTATTATTTATTTTAACTCAATAGATAACGCATTAAATCATCTGCTTTTTGTACATTGATTTATTCTTTCGATGAACCAAGCTTAAAATGACAAGAAAATGACCATTGTTTGACGGTAGTTTTACACGTGACATTTCAAAGAATCAACGCTACACGTCAGTTCAGTCGGTTCAATGGAAACTAACTGTTTATTGAGGTTTCCTCATGTATTAAATGCATGAACTGTACACTCTAAAGGCGTTGGCGATTTCAGCAAGTGTGGTTACATTATCGTTATCATTTATAACAATTAAACATTTAATAAATTTTCATATAAATGATTATTAAAACTCAATATGTGAAAATGACGAAGATATAATATTTTTATACCATTTCTCAAATAATAATTATTTTACTTGTGACCGGTAGTATATATTTTATGAGAATTAGTGATAGACAATGTAAAAACGTAACTTTAAAAAACTTCATATTATGAATTTGTAGTTGACAAGAAAGTAATAATCTCCTATTGTCAATTAATTGTTAACTTGTAGTTCTAACTAAGAAGAATGTGAAGTGTATTTAAATGTTTAGATGCTCCGAAAACTGTGTCAATTATTCCATTAAAGCTAATTGTCAAATATCCTTCCAGGTATCTTAATAATTACATTATCACTACAATATTTAGATCATTATAGTTATTCATTTTTTATTTACTCTCATATTTTTTATCAAATTTTTCAACACTAGTTTCATTTCATGTATTTACAACGTAAAAAAAAAAAAAACCTAAGTTTATCTTAACCCAATAATTTTATTATTATTCAGACTTTTGTTTAAATTCCATTCAAATTTAATATTCAAATAAATAAGGTGAATAGGGGTATGGCCTCTCAGTGTAGTTCATAGTGTTCCATTGGGAAATTTTCCATGAGAGTATGAAGAAGAATAAATAATCGGAAGATGAGGATTTATATGAAGGTGGTGGAAAAGGAGGAGGGAGTGAGGACAGACTAATATGTAGTAGTCCTCCACCGGCCTACTCTTGTTCTCTTGCTTCAACAAGTCTTTTTTTTCAAACAAGAACTATTTCAAAAAAACTCATTTCGCTCTATATCTAATTGTTAATTAAATAGTCTTACTCATTTTTTTCTTTATCTATCTTTTTAATTAAAATTTATTAATCTTATAACATATATGCAATCATTGTTACAAACCTTTCTTGCTAAAATAATTGCTTAATAAATTATGTGTAAATTTTATTTACGTTGCAGATGGACTCAATGTCTTAAAAAAATCATCACTTGTTTAATAATTGATCTCATCGTCATCAATTAAAAGATGCATATGATAAAGGTATGATAATTTGTTTACATTTTGTTTTCAGATTAAAACGAATATACTTTTATTTTACAATATTATATAATTGATAATTTTTTTATTTTAACATAATTGGAATAATTTTTATTTCATTTATTTTTTAGCCGGACAGTGATAGATTGGGAAAAAAAGCTCCATCAGGCATGTCAAATAATCAGCTCGTCGACTCGTGTCTGTAAGTAATGAATGTATACTCAATTTACTTTTCTTTCAATTTCTTTCTGTCGTTTATGATTAAAGAGATTTTAACACTTTTTTGATGGGTTTCACAGATAAATCTCAAGTTTTTTCTATCAATTAACAATATTCCACTAACTCACATTGAATATTACTCATCATAGCACGATATCTGTTTTATTTGGTTTATTCTGAGTAAATAGCACGGGGAAAAATATTGAAAATGTATGTTCTATTTGTACAAGTTATCTAAAATTAACCCACATAAGCTGAAAGTTCAACACCTAAATTAAGATAGTCTTAAGGTATTCTGGTTTCCAAGTTAATAATACCTGGACGACAAAACATACAACTATAGTATGTATTTGTAAGTTGATAGTTAAAAAAATGATTTCGAAATTAATCAGAGCTTTTCATTATCATTAAAAAACTATCAATTATTTGTCAATCATTTAAAATTAATTTTCATTTATTTAATGAATTTCAGTTGATAAAAAACTTACAGACCTATTTTTAAATTATGATTGTTAAAATATCATTTATAAAAATAATTTTAAAATAATATAAAATTGTTTCACAGAAATTATTTTTCTATAGCTGATTGTGTTACTGAACTTGTGTGGGTTAAAGTTATTTTATTTTTTTACTATTAATGGAGAATTAAAAATAAAAATACTACAATTCTATAACAAAGGTTGGTAAATCGAAGAGTAGAGCAGAGGCAAGAGCACAACATAACCCGTATTGAAATAAAACAAAGGTGACTAAATCCCTACTAATATTAAATGTTTTAATGTCTGCATGAGCAAATGTTCTAACACTATTCTTTCTACTAATGTTATTTAGTAAAAGTTAATTAGTAACGAATAATAATAAGTAGTATATTATTAATTAAACGAAAATAGTTGTCACAAAAATAAATGATTGTCAATCTGTTGAATTGTCAATCATTTACTTGATGAATAAATTATCATTGCATTGTCATTTTCATCCATTAAATCCATACTTTTCATTTAATTTAAGTGGTCCAAGTGAAACAGATTATCACAGTAGCAATGGACAACCGGAAACGCATTCCGTGCATTCATCTCAATTGTCTGTACAAGATGATCCTTTACTCGTGCGGGCGCATAATCAACAAACATCACAACAAGTATGAATAATTTGTGAAGAGTATTCAAAAAATGTTATATAATTCATCACACAGAGCATTGAAAAATTAACAATACAATGAATTATTTTCTCATCTGAAAATTTAAATAGAAACAAATGTTTTAATATGTCATATAAATTACATTATGAAACAAATAATTCTTTTGTTTGTTAATTTACGATATTGTACAAAAAAAACTGGTAGGAAAATTCTTTTTAATTATGTCAATAAATTTTTACGTCTTTCATTACATATATTTATTTTTGATTTAAGTCATGTCGCTAGGCTTTTATCATTCAAATTATTTATTACTGAAATACCACCTGATTTACATATTTGTGTTGCATATTTACAGCTAAAATATAAGCTATTGTCTTCACTTTTTCCACTCACATTAATTTTATTCCGGTAAAATATCAAATGTGTTGATTTATATTTTTGAGTTTTCAAAAATTCACATCACATGTGCTTAGTCATAAAAATTATCATTATAATAGTAGCAATTTTTTTGATGTAAAAGCACTTAAAAAAAGTATGTAAACAATCATAATACTGCTATTTTTACTTGCATTAAGTTTTATAAATTATTGAGCTGAAGATACCATCATATAAGAATACTAAATATCTTTAAATTATACTCAAACAAAAAAAAATACTTTACAAATTTTACGATTATAATAATAGTAATGATGATGGTGGAAATTGGAGACTTTATTAAAAATGAAATATTTTCTTTCAGATGACATCAGTAACCAAAGTAATTCGTGAAGTATCCCACGTAGAATCTGAAGCAGGAGCAGTTAATTATATTCCGGTACCAATGATGTCACAAGAATATCCTCACGCTGACCCGTGTTATGCGGCAGATCCGTATATGGTCAATTTTGATCATTATGACTCTTATGTGGGGTATGCAACTCAGCCAGACTATCCTCCACCACATAGTGCATATGCACCAGACTCACGTTCACCCCACAGTCCACACAGCCCATCAGAGCACAGCCGTACAACACCACCTCATGGTATGTAATCAATTGATTATTCTGTTTGTCTGGCAAATTTACTAATTCAATACTAATTAATTATTTTTCTATATTTCTGCTTACAGAATATCTTCGAAAAGGACCTTCGTATGTTGACGGAGGATATAATGACATGGGATCGGTGCTGAATCCTGCATTGCAAGATCATTATCGAATAACTCCAAGCCCTGGAGGCCCTGGCGATCAATATGGTAAACAATTCTTTTTTGTTTTCTGCTCAAACAAGATTTTCTTAAACAAACTAGCAAATATTTTTGTAACATTTTTCATAAAGAGTTTTATCAAGTTTTTTTACTTTTCTTAAGCATTTACTTCTTTTTCATTTGATGTATTTTATGAATATTATTTATTTGCACTTTTATTTGTTTTTGTTTGTTACATTGTTTTCCTTTATAAATTAATAATATGAATTTACTTTTAATTTATGTAATAATAAAAAAAGGATTTTATAAAAATTTATGCTGCAAAATTAAGGGTTTTCGGGTCTAGTGTCTGGGTTTCAGAAATATTTCCTGGTACTTTGGTCACGATTATTTCATTGAATAATTATATTTCATTTATATATTCGCTTAGCGTTTATTTTATTTTTTCATTTTCTTACAAATTATCCCTTTCTATAGATCCAATGACTGCTACGTGGAATATAGACGATTCAGAAGTACCTACCCAGCATTATAATGGTAATATGGTCTTGAGTCGTCTCAATATATTCATCATTTAAATCACACTCGTTGAATAAATCAATTCCGGATAAATATGTATTTCTATTTCAAGACTTAAAATTTATTGAAATTATTTATACATTATATTAGACCTTCTTAAGGTTATCTGATGGAATAATTTATTGAAAAGAGCTAATTGTTTTCTAATTACTTCTAACGTATAAAAATAAAATCATATAAATACAAAACTATCATAAATATTTATAGGGTTATTAATTATCATTTACAGATGAAGGCAAAGTGGCGTATGGCTACGTTTCCCCATCACCATACGGTCCGGTATCTTATGGGCCAAATATAGGAGTAGTACCAGTACCATTGGCGAATGAAGGACCATCCTACGACGAGTCTCATCCAGTTACTCTTGCTGGAAATCTAGCCCCAGGAATGTTTGAAGATGATGTTCATCTACAACGATTGCAAACTCGACATTCAGTTCCGGGAATGGTTAGTCCACTCGGGGATGATCCAAAATCAATGCGATGGAGAGATCCAAATCTTTCAGAAGTAATTGGCTTCCTTACTAATCCAAACAACATAATAAAAGCAAATGCTGCAGCATATTTACAACATCTTTGCTACATGGATGATCCTAATAAGCAAAAAACTCGAAGTTTAGGAGGAATTCCACCATTAGTGCAGCTACTGGATAACGAGAGTCCGGATGTATACAGAAATGCATGTGGAGCATTGAGAAACCTTTCATACGGTCGACAAAATGATGAAAATAAGCGAGCAATTAAAAATGCTGGAGGTGTACCGGCATTAATTAGTTTATTACGTAGAACATCGGATGCTGATGTTAAGGAGTTAGTGACAGGAGTATTATGGAATTTATCATCATGCGAGGATTTGAAAAAAGCTATTATTGATGATGGTGTTACTTTAATTGTTAACAACATAATTATCCCTCATAGTGGATGGGATCCCAGTGCTTCCAATGGTGAAACTTGTTGGTCAACTGTGTTTAGAAATGCATCTGGTGTATTGAGAAATGTATCAAGCGCTGGTGAATACGCTCGGAAAAAATTACGTGAATGCGACGGTCTTGTTGATGCACTTTTATATGTCGTGAGATCAGCTATAGAAAAATCTAATATTGGAAATAAAATTGTTGAGAATTGCGTTTGTATCTTAAGGAACTTGAGCTATAGATGTCAAGAAGTAGAAGATCCTAATTACGATAAGCATCCCATTCAATCTGTTGTGCAAAATCGCATCGCAACTCCCGTCAAAGGTAAAAAGAACGTATATTTAATTCTATATATTCAATAATGCACTCGATTTAGAAATAGTCAATGTGTTATAAAAATTTTATAGTATGCAGTGCATGAAAAGAAGAGTAAATTGAATTTTTTTAGAGTAATTGAAAAATTTATTAAATAATGAAAAAGAATTAATTTATAAGTTTAATTTATGTTAAATAATTTATTTATATTTTAGGAGAAAATTTGGGATGTTTTGGTGGTAGTAAACGACGAAAAGATGGACAGCCACCACAAAAAGAAGTAACAGCATCAAAAACTGTAACTACCAGGACAGAACCTGTGAAAGGAATGGAACTTTTATGGCAACCTGAAGTAGTCCAATGTTATCTGAGCCTTTTACAAACTTGTTCAAATCCAGAAACACTCGAAGCAGCAGCAGGTGCCTTACAGAATCTTGCTGCTTGTTATTGGCAACCGAGCATTGAAATACGTGCGGCCGTGAGAAAAGAAAAAGGCCTACCGATTTTAGTTGAATTGTTACGAATGGAGGTATTTTATTTTTACCTCTTAACATATAAATGAATAATGCTCATGTATTGACAATCAATAATCCTTATGCATTGACAATTTCGAAATATTTCTAGGTCGATCGGGTAGTTTGCGCAGTAGCTACAGCTCTTAGAAATCTAGCAATTGATCAACGCAATAAAGAGCTTATTGGAAAATATGCTATGAGAGATTTAATTCAAAAACTACCATCTGGCAATAATCAGCACGACCAAGGCACCAGTGATGATACTATCGCTGCTGTACTTGCAACTTTAAATGAAGTTATTAAACGGAATGCAGAGTTTTCAAGGTCTTTGCTGGATGCTGGAGGCGTTGAAAGATTGATGAATATTACTAAACAACGTCAGAAATATACAGCTCGTGTTCTCAAGTTTGCTGGTGAGTAATACGATTTATATCATGTTAGATCTGCAATTTGTATAATTACAATTTTAATTAGTCTTGGAGATCTAAAGAAAATTTTTTTTTATTCTTGTAGGACAAGTACTCTTTACGATGTGGCAGCACACAGAATTACGAGAAGTTTACAAGAAACATGGATGGAAAGAGGCTGATTTTGTAACTAAAACTGTGGCAGCACGAAACTCGGGAATGAATTCACCAAATAATGCAAACAGGTAAATAAGTAAATACCAATAACTAACATTTGAACAGCTATAAATATTTATTATTGTTAATTGCGGTAATTCAAATAACAAACCATATGATATAGTTATGATTTCAGCACGTTAAACAGGCCAATGGCAAGCCAGGGGAGTACCAGATATGAAGACCGAACGATGCAGAGGACCAATATGAATTCCAATAATGTAGGATGGAAAGCTACTTATCAACCTGTGAGTAATTCATTGCTTATTGGTTAATAGATATTTTTATTGCATGATTAATTACTTGATATCACTATGTACATCTCTACATAATCAATCAACATTTCTGCATTACATCCTTAACAAATTTTCCTTAAACATGACTTTACTACTTATGGCAAGTCTTAATAACTTTGTCAGAACTTTTTAGGGTTTCGTGGGTTACAATAATATGATTTTTATCTTTTACATATTGTCGCGATGTAATTTCAAAGCAGTCAAGATAAAGTTTAATTTGATTCTTAATGTATTCAACATTTTTTCAACTACCAGTATTGAATAATGGCAAAGAAAAAACAAATTAAGAATGAATTATTTTCTAAAATAAATTTATGATTTTTTAAATTCAATTTAATACTAGTATTTCGAGAATAAATTTCATGATTGATAAAAATAATTAATTTTGCATAAAATTTATATAAATAGAAAATTTTTTTTCAAAACTTATAACGAAAAATGTTTCTTTGAAACTTTAAATTCAGCTAACGTACGAAACCTGTTACAAATCTCATCTAACTTTTAGTTTACTGGAATATTGCACAAAAGAATTTGTTTTATAGCAAAGTGACGATATGACTATGGGTGATATGCAATATCCAAAAACAGGAACACGTGCACCGACTACTGGAGACGTTTGTATATTCCCCACTAATTCTGTAAGTCATCAAGGTTGCACGGTCACTCTAACACCTGTTCGATCATTTCATTTTTCACTTTCTTTGCTATTTAATAAAGAAATTTTTCTCGTCCTTTGAACTTATGTATGGCATAATTAAGCATGATTGAGAAATAAAATTATTTTACAATAATCAATTATATCTATATTAATTATAATAATTATATTAAAAATATTTTTTCAGGGCTAATTATCTAGATCATGCTTACAAACGGCGATAATAACGTGAAATTCTCCACAATAAAAATGATTATATATATACATAAGGAGATGCTCAACGTTACATCAATAAAACATGGACTGATCGATAAAATTAATTAATGGCAGCCGAAATATGAATTACGGTAATCTAATTAGAATTTTTTTATCAACATCAATAATGATTATGACATAAATTTATTATATCATTATTATTATTATTGATGATTATTATTATTAATTATTAATAATACTGTTAAAAGAGATAAAGTAGGAAGGAAACATCTTATTCCATAAACGATAATCATGGTAATGACTTTTATTAATTAATTAATTAATTAAATTATTGATTCATAAACAATTTTAACATTATACATTTAGAGATTAATACAACACAATGTTAATTGAAAAGAGATCTTTATGACAAAGTCAAATAAAAGTAAAAAAAGTTTGATATGAAATCATAAGCATTGTATAAAAATATTCATTAACATATAGAATACATTTCTAAACGTCCTGATAGCAATTATATATCTCTAGACGATAGAGCATAGAATCTATATAAATAATGTAAACACATACTATGCTATAAATGCAATTATTATTTATTGTGGTAACAGTAAATAATAAAAATGGCAACAACAGAGCAGCTCTCATGAGTATACAAAAATAGAAAATATACTCTTCTTCCTAATTTGTTGCTGACAAGTATTACTTTATACCGACTGGTTAAAATAACCCCAATAATTTATAATAAATGAACGAAAGTACTCGATAATCATGAATGTTTCGAATGATTAACAAAAAAAATATATAACAAAAAAAAAACCAAAAAAAATTTCTTAATATAATATTATTACAGAAAATCATGCGCTGTTTTATATCTTCGATATTGAAAGACACAAAAAAGTAAAAAAAAAAAAAAATATATCTAACGTCTCCTTTTAAAAATTCAAGAGCTTATATTAAGACAAAACCGTTAGGCAACTATTAACTAATCAATCATGTAACATTGTAAAGACTCATATAATATTAATTAGAGTCAAAAAATGCATTGTAAAAGTCATGTAACTCGATAATTTTTGCTTTTTAAAAAAATTTACGATAGAGTACATAAGTATTCGAATGTTTTGTTTCATTAAATCACGGCACTGAGCTAGAAATTCACGGAGTTAGTAATCTATGTATGGCTGTAAAGCAATAACTTAAATATACATTACGCGAAATTAAATTTAAAAAACATGTGTAGAACTTGAATTTCATTTAAATCATATGTATATTACATGGTTATAACATGATTCTTTTAATTACCAGGTATAATTAATGACTACTTAACGTGAATGATTAATATGAATAATTATAAATCAATTAGTTTAGAATATTGTATAAAATAAGTAAAAATAATGTATTAATATTATTTACATTTTAATATCAATTTTTTTTAAAACCATTTATTGTTAAAGAAGTAAACGAGAAAGTGTATTGAGACAATGGAAACAATTGATGCAAAAAATAAATAGCACATCTTTCGTTCTATTTCTCAAGTCATTTGAACTTTTATAAACATTTAAGTATGGAAGATTTAATTTTTTTTTTTAACTCAATTCATAAAATACAATACATTGTAAGAGTGAGTATGTTGGTGATCATTATGTGTTGCTCCGTTTATGAACATGAACACCTGTTCAGGTAAATGGGGAGGCTATCCCCCCTTTTCTGTCCACTTCCTGAGTGTCTGAGCTCTCTGTTTGTAATAGAGACTCGAAAGCAGACCATTTTACGGCCCTCCGGTCAGTCTCACCGGACATTCACGCTATCTTTTGTGACGTTACTCAAAAAAAAATCATTGAAAAATCAAATTTATTGTTTGTACTCATAATTAATTTGTAAAACAGTTATCTGTGTACTTTTTTTAACGGTCGTAAGTTGATTATTGCATTTAAAAATGATAATTTTGTTATTGTTTTAGTTTTATTCAGTATTATGAATAATTGTTCTGTTATTGTTGCATTTATTTGTTGTTAGAATTGTGCGGTAAAATTATTATTCGTGGTGAGTGAATTTTTATTATCATTTTTTTTTATTCAAAATATTTTTGTAACCGACAAATAAGGCTTATTGCTAATTCGGTTGAATTTTTTGTTATGTAAATTTTGGTAGATGGTGCAGGAAATGAGTAACTGGATTCGCAAGTATTTTAGACAGATATGGAAAATATAATGTTTAAAATTTCATTCATCTTTTTATTTTTTATCCATTCAAATTGTGGTCAAAGTAAGTATTTCCTTTCTTTTATGAAGATTTTTTCATTCAAACCAATTATTTTCCATTCAATTCCCAAATTCAATATTTCATACCTTGAATTTATACAAAAAATGATTATGACATCCCATAGAATAAATAATTCAACATTCATACATAGTAGCTAGTAACGCAATTAATTGATTTGTTTACGTATGGACTAATAATTGTTTACGAGGTTTCACAAACAAATTAATATTAATTACGGTTGTTATTGTTATCTATTTATTATTAAAAAGATACAAAAATATTTATTAAAGTTATCAGAGATACACGATGTTTTTTGGAAAATGGAGCAACAGCGTCTCATCTTTTTGTGAGCGAAGACAAAAAAGTAGGGGATACAATTGGAGTACTTGGTGTAATAGGAGATCCTAGCATCGATGGAGACATTGAGTTGAGGTTACAAGAAAGGGACAGTCCTGTAACAATTTTACCTCACTCGCGAAATTTAACTCTCGTAAAAGTCCTTGATAAAGAAGGTATTGATGGCCCAGCTAGTGTTTACATTAATGTTATATGTGAAAGACGACATACCCTAGATCCAGTAAGTTAATAATTGATTTTTATATCTCCTCTTTGCTCTGATGATTGATTCTAAAATTTCCGTGATGCTAATTAAAAGTAAATTAATTATTTATCTCTAACTATTATTTAAGACACTTCATTATTAAAGGATTCAATTGTCCGATGTAATATGGAGACTTTCTACTACTTTCTAAACCCGGCAATACTTAAATCTAACGCATTTTCGTTGAGCATCGAAAAGTACATGCTAATTATTAAGTTAACATGCAATTTTTTATGTAATTCATTAATAATTGTAATTCTTGAATGTACATGTTTCCTTTAATTTCATTTTTTTCTAATGAATAAAGTTATTCCATATAGTATCATGAACTAAATGAATATTTATTTCTTTTTCAGGGCTTTGTAATTCCTGTAAATATTCGAGTTACGGATGCTAATGATAATGCACCACTATTTGTTAATGCTCCTTATATTTTAAATATTTCTGAGGTAAGCATAAAAATATATCTGCACAATTATAATTAAGTACATAAATGAATGAACAATGTATCCAAATAAATGAATAAGGTAAGAAATAAATTTACTCGAGAAATCTTTTTTGTTCAAAGAAATAAACTATTGAATACAGAGTTATTGTTATTAATCTGATGACTGGTCATCTAGATATTCAAATTAATTCATGAACATCCAGATTAATTATACAGTTTAGAAAAAAATTTCAAACATTACATAAATATAACAATTAGATTTCAATTTTCTTTCTAATGTTCATGAATGTCGCTTTCATATTGACTATCTTCTCAATAATTATATTCATATGAAACAATTGAAATCAAATGAATAAAAACAAAAAAAATCACATGTCTATAAAATTTCTTTGGAGGAGTTTAAATATAATTGTATGGAGTACCTTTGCAACTTTCGTTGTTGAGCCATTAATGCATGAAATGCAGCAAAGCGTAACTTGAACGACCGACAAAGAAGGGGTACAAATGTATAAACCTGAGTAACGATAGCGCGCATCCGCTGTGTTAGTGTGGCAGTGACCAGAGTTGGTCCCTGCAACTACGCGTAACGCTACTGAACGCTACGCTGATGATGCGACCCCGAGGAGAAGCCAGCTAAGCACACACCGTTACAATAGTCTTCCTTTTCGGACTTTACTTGAATAAATCACTGAACCAAACACAAACTTTTATGTCTAACGATCTACTGAAAGATGACCTGATAATTCTTTCTTTCAAAACCTTATTCTACTTATAACAGATGATAAAATAGAATGAAAACTATTATTACATCACTACATTGTTATTTATTTACTCTATATTTATCGTGCTAATGTATGTAAACAATTCCATTCCTTTTTATTAAGGTCACCGTTGTGGGTACTAGAGTGTTACAAGGAGTAAGAGCTGTGGATTTAGATCAACCTGGTCCTTACTCCACTGTCCAGTATGCCGTTTTATCAGGCCCACATTCGGTAATTTATACATCCTTTATGCAACTTTACATCATTCTATGCTTCTTTTTTGTTCTACATAATTTTATTCTACTTCAGGACTACTTTACATTCATCAATGCTTTGGAAGGAACACTTGTTCTTAAGAAACCTTTGGATTATGAAACTCTTAAGAATTTTTCTGTTAATATTCGTGCCCAGGTAAATTAAAAAGAATTTCATGCTTGACAGTATTTCATAAAATCAACTCTAGTTTGGTATAATAAAATAATTTTTATTTCTTAGGATCAAGGTGTGCCACCCCAGTCATCAATTACAACGCTAACAGTGAATGTAATTGATGCTGATGACCAAAATCCTGCATTCTTACACGATCAGTACAAAATAATTATTCCTGATGGAATTATAAATGTAAATGATTATTCAATTAGAATTTTTATTATTGTTATACAGTTACTTTAATGCAATTATTTATAATTATGTAGAAAAAGATAATTTTGCCAGTGACTCCAGCTCCAATAAAAGCTGTTGATCAAGATGTTGGGATTAATGCGCCAATTAGATATACAACTCAAAATAGGATTCTGCCATTTTTGCATTTAGATCCTCATTCTGCGGAAATTTCTTTAATACGTAATTTAATGAATCACGAATTACTGACTCCAACCACAATCGTAATAAAAGTAAGTAATAGATCAAGATGTTTTTTTTCATTTGATTGGTACTTATGAAAATAAATTATTAGCTGATAGAATATTTTATAAAACGTTTATTTTATTGGGTTTTTTCTGCAATTTAAGGCTACTCAAGTTGATAATCCAGATCGATATAGCTTGGCCACTGTTGTGGTTTCGCGAGAGAGTGGTTTCAATACAATGCCTACCGCAGGTATCTATTATTGAATATTAAATTTTTTTTCAACGAAAATGTTATTGTTTTATCACAATAAAAATAAATTATGTCTTCTCGTGAAATAGGTGGAAAATTGCCTGTAAAATTTATTTTAAAAGATTTTACTATAAATGTTCCTGAAAATACACCACCTGGAAGTATTATTCTATCAACAGGATTGAATAAAGTTGATTCAGTAAGTATTTATTGAATGACATTTATATTTGCAAATTAAACGAATATTTCTTCATTATAATTGACATTTTTTAGAACACACAATTCTGGTTAGATGGTGCAGAAGAAGAATTAGCAAAGTTTTCTGTTAATAGTGCTGGTGAACTTGTACTTAGAGCTCCTTTGGATTATGAGAAAAAAGTATTACATACTTTTTTAGTTCACGTTTCTGATGGCAACAATGTGCGTACCGTATAAAGCCATAACTAGTCTCCTAATAATAATAAATAAAAAAAAAGTTTCTAATGCATCTATTTTCTCAATAATAGAACGATACTGCACGAGTTAACGTTGCAGTAGAAGACATCAATGAATGGGAACCAAGGTTTCGTCATCCACGGTATGAATTTCATGCACGAACGCTTCGTGAGGGAACAATTGTAGGTCAGTGTATCCTATCACTTTATTAATATTATAATAGAAACAGCATCATTTGATTTTACAAATACATGTATATATAAATATTACAAGGAGAAAATTCAAAAAAATATTTATTTTATAGGAAGATTAGAGGCTGCTGATGGTGATAGAGGTGATAGAGTTTCTTTATCATTACGAGGACCTGATGCACAGTATGTATTATTATTCTGTACTCTTAGATGAATGTTATTATTATGTAATAAAATAAAAATATTAAATTTAGGTCATTTATGTTGAGAGATAATGGTGAACTCATTTTAATATCACCAGGACCATTTAATAGTACATTAGCTCGTTTAGTAGCAGTCGCAACAGATTCTGGAAAACCACCACGGTAATATTATTTTCACCTATCATAGAAAAATAATAATAACAATAATTACTATTATAATTATGGCCATAAGTAATTGTGATTATAAATAATGACTTAATAGTGGATAAGATTATTTAATTGTTATAGGACCAGTATGATTCCCTTAATTGTCCATTTACCCAACGCACGAGCCCCAATTGCAGCTCGTGCAGCTCCAAGTTGGCTCAGTGGGAGTGTCTTTCTAGTTGCTGTCTTTGGAGTAGTTCTTGGACTACTTGGTGTTGTAATTTTAATTCTTATTTTATATATTTATAAGCAGTGAGTAAAATTTTTCTATTTTGTTATTTGGATCAAATAATTTAATCATGAATTCTAACTATTATGATTAATTTTAGAAAACGACCGAAAAATGATGGTTCTGTACATTCAATTGGAACAGGATATCGAGGAAAATCTCCCGTTCCATCGGCACTAAATCCTAGTCCACAAATTCTGGGTGCTAATTCTTTACACGATACATCAGAAAGTATTGGTAAAAAGCGAAGTCGAATGAAAGACATGAGTAACCCAGTTTTTGGAGAAGATAATGAAAATTCATTTAATACTGCAGGAAAAAGTAAGTTAAATTATTCGCATTTGTGTCCATAAAATTTATTATTACTCATCTAAGTACTTTCAAATCTATGTTTTGAATTTTTTACATTGATTTAAAGTTTAAACGACAACAAATATTTATCACATATTGAAGTTTATCATTATTCGAGCATGAAATTTCAAAAAATTCCATGCTTGAGGTAGTTTTACGCAGTTCTAAATATAAATGTATCTGCAATACAGAAATATATTATTAATCCAGGTTTGCTTGGAAATTATGCAAGAACCGTTAGAACAAATAGATTAGAGATAGTTTAGAGAAAACTTATACCATCAAATGATTCATAATTATTTATAAAACGATTATTTCGCTTCTGCATGATTTAACACGACCAATTTACTCGATAAATTAGTCGTGCTATAATACGATTTGCATTAAAAGTTGAATTTATCACCAAAACCAAGCTTTCAACAACGGTAAAAGGTCATTGACTTTATTTCCCTCAATTATACGCTTTAGAAAATCTCATGGAATGGTTATTCAATTTTTTTATCCGTTTATTTATATTTAATGTGATCAATTATTTACTGTAAAAATATGCAAAAAGGTCACTCATAAAGTTTATTTATATTTTTTTAAAGGTGCAACATCAACACGACATTTATCTGCATATGCCAATCGTCATAAAGTGGCTCCTTTACCCGTTCCACCAGCTCTATCAGCTACTTCTAATATTCCAAATATCGGAGGCTTGGTACAGAATATGAATGATTTAAGTTCAAGAATGAATCTTGATACAATTTCCCAAAACTCGTCGAATTATTCTGTTGATCCTCCAGATTCACTTGCTCCTTCCTGGCCCGGAAATGAAGCATCTAGACATGTGAAAAAATTATCGTGGAATGATGATAGAGTAAGTGTTTATATTAAATTAGAAAATATTTAGATTATTATTGTAAGCTTTTTTAGGTTACAGGTAGTATTGACGGAAGTATAGAAGCAAGGAATGAGAATAACCAAGGACCTGAAAAATTGAATCTTACTGTATATTTTTAATTAAGAAAGTCATTTTGAAGTAATATAAGTTAATGTTGTCTAATGATAAAATAATAGTTAGTAAAAGTGATGAATCAATAAAAAATTGAAATTAATAAACTGAAGTGTCAATAATTTTATTTATATAAGTGAAAATAAAAAAGATACATTTAGGAAATTTTTAATGAAAGAAAATAAAGAAAATGTCTTATTGTGACATCTCTATTGAACAATAAGTATACAAATCGAAAATGTTATTCTAGATCAATTATCATTAATTCTGGTAATTCACTTGTGCTACTAATAGCACTATGGCTGGATTGGCTTTTCTTCAATGAACCAGTTGTATTATTTTTATTATTAGAGTTTTTATACTGATTAGAACTTTCTTGTTCTTCTTGTTCTTCTTCGTCACTCGATATCAAATCGATTACCAACGCACTTTTCTTTTCAGGCGTTGAAGCTACCGGATTCGTTTCATCTAAAGTAAAAATTGATTAATTAGTTATTAATTGTTAAATAAATAAATCATTTTCATTCAATTATAAGAATATTCTCAATAAAATTTGAACTACCTAAATCAACAGTATCTACATCAACTTTTGCTTTCGACTTTAAGTCTGATTTGCTGTCTTTTCTGTCTTTATCTCTTTCTTTTTTAGAGACTAAATTCTCCCAAGAACCATCTTGCAGCAATTGAATTTCATTAACACCAGGTAATAATTTATCTGACTGCAAAACATCTTGAAAATAACCATCTATATCAAGATTATCATAGAGAGCAGGTTTATCACAAACAGGACAACTCCAAGTCGGTTTACGTTCATTCATTTGTAAAAATAAAGAAGCATCGAAACATTGTAAATGTGAACAAGTCGATGCTCGACAAGGTGTTGTCATCCTCATTTTTCCAAGTGGACACGCTAGAGATACTCGCAACGACGTTGTTGCTATTTCACTATCCGCATCTTCACTTAATTTTTCCTTGACTATAAAAAATTATATTGCAATAAGAAGTAAATTTCTTTCAAAAAATATGATTCCCAACAAAAAATTATGCTCACTTAGTCCTCTAGTATAATCAGATTGTCTAGCTCCTTTAGCTTTCAATCTGCTCAACAATTCTGAGCTAGTTAACTTCCGAACAAGATAAACTGCTATGGCATATCTTCTTCCGTAATCAGCAGACCAAGTTATTTGAATATGATTGGCAACTGTTGGAGATATTTTTACTAAGGGGCTTATGTTCACCGGCCGTGGCGGTCGTTTAGGTTCGACTCCTGTTTTATTAGTTGGTATTGGATTCTAAATAATTTTTATTAATGTTAATTCATTAATGACCCTTATAAAATAAATAAAAAATTAGGTAAAAAAATCATACCGGTAATGGACATGGTTTTCCATTAACTTTAACTCCTACACTTGGTGGAAAATAGTCTTCCTGTTCACAAGAGGTTTCTTGTAAACAAAAACGCATTTGTACTTGAACAGCATAGTCCATTCTATTGCCTGGTCGACAATCTCGTGAGCTGGCAAGATCATCAGCTTGTTGTGGTGTCAGATGAAATTGGAATGTGTTTTCTTGCAGTCTCATAGAGCCTTGAGGCATTAAACTTGACGGTTTCAATAACTCGCCAAGCAAATCATAGAATGGCAGCTTTTTTAGTCTCACATCTGGATGAACAGGGTACTGATTTGGCTGTTGGATTTGGAGTGGCGAAGGAAGTACCTTTGAATATGCATAATGTGGATAAACACTTGAAGTTGAGCGCTGTAGAATATAGATCATGTAAATTAATAATATTAATTGTTCGATTTTAATGGTTAGAATATTATTTTTCACGATATAGCATCTGGAAGAGTGTCATTGATATTTCCATAAAGAGCACATTAAAAATCAGTTTTATTATTAATCATATAATTAAGTTATAAGTAACTGTTAATTAACATGGAATTTAACTTACTTGTGATGTAATATTAGGATAAGTTGATTGTTGTTGATATACCGGAGTTCTAGCAACTTGAGATTGAGGTAAAGAAGCTTGATGCGCAGGTGGTAAATCTTTGGATGGAGCAGCTGATGTAGGAGGTTGTTGTGGCTGAGGTTGACCAGGTACTCGACGTGTTACGCGATTCCATGTTGCTTGCATATGTCCTGACCTAAATACCAAGTGTTTAAACAATTTTTTTAAATATATAATCATTTTGGCGAAATTTCAGTGAGGTTGAGCAACAAGATTAATCAGCATTGAACGAACAATACCTCAACTCATCGTTTCGCTGATGAATATTCTGGTCAATGGGTGGCTCATTACCGGTACCTGACTGCCCGTACATTTGATGAGCTGCAAGTTGATCAGCTCTGCCAAAGAATAATAGAAATTTATTATAATTATAAAAATATAATTATATTTATATATATTTATGTACATATTTATTAATTATAACACTTACTGAATTGTTTTATAAAGTTCTCGGATTTTGAGTTGAACTGGATGAGATCTCAATTTCAAAAGTTCTAATGCACGTGTTTGTAATTCGTTTTTACGACCAGATTTATTTCTGCCTGCGAAACCTAAAAGCATCTGAAGCTCAGATACCCGAAAACTCAATACCATATTCTGAAACACAGGAACACGTTAGTAAACAAAATTATCTCTATCTTAGATTAAAAGTCTCAAATTGTTTTCTTTTGAGGTAATATCAAGTGACAGTTTACTTATACATTTCCACTCGATTGATCCTAACCAAAAATTATCAACAGATATCTGAACTAGTTGACGCAGATAAGTTTCAAATTCATATCCTCATAGTACTATTTTAAATTAAAACTTTTAACAAATTAACTTTTAACTATAAAATATTCAAAAATAGTTTGTACATTGATTATTGTTTTATATTTATCTTCACAATTAATCAGAAAACGCCACTTTCACTATCAGTATAAAAAACCACAACATAGATTATTCTAAAGATAATCCTAAAATATCTAATTGCCGATGATTACTTTTCGTCATCAATGACTGACGAGTTTGAGAAATTTAATAGAAAAATGTATAACATTGCATAGACACTTACGAACAGAAAAAACACAATATAGTAATACTTGCCTCCAATTCATCAGTATCGGCCATCCTCGAAGATTGCTTTTTTCGGGATGCCGTTTCCCTGGATTCCCAATAAAATTAATTCTTTATAAGATAGATATTCAATTACTAACAGAGTAGAACATAAAAATTCTCAAAACTATAAATATACCGTAAGAGCGGCACGATGTAAGTGGAGATATACAATCAGAAGGCAGAAGTATTTTTTCCTTGATGTTTTGTACACGAATTCTTTAAGCACTTTACTGTAAAGTTGAAAAAGAAATTTTCATTATAAGCGTTCTAACCATAATTGGCATGAAAAACGGTCCCTTTGCAGTAATTTTTTTGAATTACCTAGATGGCGTTTTTAAATTACCGTAATAATACTGAAATTTTTAATTGTTATAAACAAATTCTCAAACTTGAATAGTATCTCATTCAAAGATGATTTTAAATGATCAACTAATGGAATCCGTAATTTATGAATATTCAGTTATCAGCATATTATAAAAGAATATAATGATAATGATTAACTACTAATAAAAAAAAATTACTATAAAAAATATTAAATAATAAGGAATCATTCAACGTACCGATGAAATGTTTTTATATAATCATCTTTACATTTGAAGTGTATGTATTACCACAACATCAGGATATTAATAAAAATTAATAAAAATTTATTGATATATCAAATTTTATTCTCTCATCAATCAATAGGGCCCCTTAAATTACCGTCATAATTACGGAAATTACTGTTGCGAGCGTGTATCAATTGAGGGCGCTGTAAAGTAACTAGATGAAAAATGAATAGTTTTTTTATAAAATAGACTTCTAATTGATTTAGAAATACAATTTTTAATATTTCAATTATTAATCTAAATAAAAAATTACGTGAATAGTTTATTTCATGTAAAAAGTTTTTAAAAATTAATCAACAACAATTCTAATTGAGGTTAGACCATGTGGTACACAATGATGCACATACAGTACTAAACATAAATACTGTGTGATTTTCTGTAGGAGGGTATAGGGAAGTCGCATGTATCACCTTCAAAAAATTAAACAGAATTTATGTCTTGTACTGTATATATAGTTGAACCAAGAAAAGAGTAGTCTCGATTTGGTGTCTAATGTCATGTTCCCATAAGATTTTATTAGGAGGCGGGAGATTAGACACCAAATTGAGACTATTCTTATTCTTTTCTTGCTTTGACTATACTATAGATGCACAGTATATATGTATATGTATGCACATATTATGGATTATACAGTACCGGACATAAATGCTGTGTGATTTTCTATAGGGGGGTATAGAGAAATCGCATGTATAACCTTCGAAAAATTAAACAGCATTTATGTCCGGTACTGTATATAGTTGTCAAAAAAATTTCAAATGTATAATGTTTTTATCATAATAAAACGTGGAATATAAGACTAGTAATAAAATGCACAAAACATTTCGATATTGTGATATTTTTTTATTTTTTTACTGTTTATATTTCATAGTAAACTATTATTAAGATTAGATTGTTATAATCTTATGAAATAAATAATCCTAATTTGCTTTATACGAATAATTTATGAACTAACCTCTAAATTACAAGTAAACAATTGATTATTGTAAAATTAAGTTGATTGTAGATTTTTATTCATAAAAATCATAAAGTTGATAATTATTATAAAATTTATATGTTAAGATTTTTATAAATAATTATTAATTTTCGATGGCATTTCCATTGAATGATCAAGTATATACAAAATCATTTACGCCAAGAGAATATCAAGTAAGATTCAGTATATTGTTAAAAATTCTTTTTTTTCTACTAATTAGATTGTTGATTTTTCTACTAATTAGATTGTTGATTTTTCTACTAATTGGATTGTTTTACAGGTTGAATTGCTCTATACTGCAAAATGTAAAAATATAATCATTTGTTTAGGCAAATATACCGAACAGACTTTCGTTACAACAAAATTAATTCAAGAATATGCAACAGGAAATAGAAAGTAATATTTATTTTATATGTTTTTCGTTAGGAGTAATGTTTTTCTTATTTTAATTCAGTTATACTTAGTAAACTTGACTTATCAAATAATCCAAAGATATATTTGTCTTGACTTTGGAAACAACACATATCAATTGATTGTTTATTTTTATATATTTATGAGTTTAATTTATTATTTTTTAGCTTGAAGATTGATGGAAATGAAAAGATTGTATGTATTCTTGAAAATCATGAATCTTGTTTGGTTAAAGCTCAATACATTGAACAATTAACAGACTTGAAAGTTTGTATTGCAGAATCAAATACCGATAATGATGAATTTTTTGATAAAATTATCAAAGCTCACGTAAGAACTGTCTTTAAATAATCTAAATTTCAATTATATCTTTTGAAGTGTATCATATAAGGGATATTTAATACTTTTATATTTAGATTTTGGTTGCGACTAGCAAATCACTCTGGAAGATACTCCAAAAAGAAAAGTCAAAAGTACCTCAAATAAATTTAATTATCGTTGAAAAATGTCAACTATTAGTAGAAGATAATGAACTTAACAAAGTTTTAAATTTATTTAAATCAACGAAGAATAATAAATCATGTAGATTAATAGGATTGGCAATACCTCTTTTTGGGGTGACTGAAAAACCTGGACTATTAGGCTTAGAGATTGAAAGACTTGAAAATACTTTTCAATGTGATGTTGAAACAACTAGTGATATATTATCTATATTAAGGTGAGATATCTATCTATCATTAGAATATTAAATCATTTTAATCAATTTACTGAATTCTCTTATTTTTTAGATATAGTTCAAAACCAAAAGAATATATTATAGAATATAAAACAGGAGTGAAAAGTAAATTACAAGAAAAACTAGAAGAACATGTATCCGATGCAATGAATTTTTTAAATGATCATCGATATGATCCAACTGAAATTTATCAAGATGAGTTTTTAGAAGATATTCAAAAAATTCCAGATCCAACACAAAAGCCACGAGAAATGTTACAGGACTTTCTAACAATATTAGAAACACTAGGACCTTGGTCAGCTGATCGAGCAGCGTTATCGCTTTTAATTTTAACAGAAAAACTTAAAATTAAAACGCCATATGAAAGACATTATCTTTTGTTAAATATGGTGGCATCAGTGATGATAAAAGTTCGTGCGATTTGTGATTATGAATTTCAAAACATTCCTGAAAAACAAAAAATATGGGAGTACTCAACTCCTAAAGTACATCGACTGTTACAAACTTTGAAAACATATACTCCATTTTACGAGAAGGGAAATAAAAAAACCAATAACTCTAAATCTGTGCCATGTAAGATTTTATAAGTGTACCAATTGTTGTCCACATTTTTTAGTTGTTTATTTTGAGATTATTTATTTTTCAGATAATCGTGATAAAAATCCAAATAATAAAATTCAAGATCAAAATGGAATAAAAATCAATCCAATGCCATTATTCAAATCAGGAGATAGACCTAAAAATCCAAAATTTATACGATCTCATAGAAATATAACTGATCCTGATCTTCTTTGTGGCATAATTTTTGTAGATACAGGATTCACTGCAAAAATTCTTTACTATTTATTGCATGTAAGAAATTATGTTTATAAAAGTTAGTGAGAATAATGCAGAAATTATTTTAGAATTATTTTCATTCTAGGAAGTCGGAAAGTGTGATGAAGACTTGAATTTTTTATCACCCCTGTATACAACTGAACGTATTAATGATGATGCTAGTTATTCTCGTGATTATGAAGCAGAGCATAGAAAACAAGAAGAGGTTTTAAAGAGATTTAGAATTCATGAGTGCAATTTATTAATTGCTACTGCAATATTAGAAGAAGGTACATGAATAAATCATAATAATTCATTATTGTTTTTTTAAAAAAATTTATTTACTAATGAATTCTTTATAGGTATTGAAATTCCAAAATGTAATTTTGTTATGCGTTATGATTTTCCGAAAACTTATCGCTCATATGTACAATGTAAAAGTAGAGCACGAGCTTCTGATGCTTTACATGTCCTTTTAGTACAATCAATTGTATCCAAAGAATGCATCTGGCAATTAGCCCAGTATCATTATATAGAAAAGGTACAAAAATATATTTGTTATTAAATAATAATTAAATAACTACATTTTTTTATTACTCTCAGATTTTATTGCAAAAATGTTCAAATAATGAACCCACTGAAGAAGAAGAGCTCGAAGCTGATTTATATTCAAGTTTAATTCCTAGCTATCAACCATTACACGGTGAAAATGGTGCAATGGTTTCCTTTAATTCTGCAATATCATTAGTTAACAGGTATGTGCTCAAATTTATTAATTCTAATGATTTATTAAATCATCTTAATAACTTGATATCTTTATTACTTGCTAAGGTATTGTGCCAAATTGCCTAGTGATACATTTACGAGACTGACACCAGAATGGTTTATAAACGAAGAAACTGTAAATGGTCAGAAGAAATATACATGTTCTTTACGTTTACCCATAAATTCTCCTTTAAAATATGTTATAAAATCTCATCCAATGCCTAATAGAGCTATGGCCAGACGATTAGCAGCTTTACAGTTATGCATTAAACTTCACAAAGAAAATGAAATTGATGATAATCTTCTACCTATTGGGAAAGAAAATTTCAAAGCGAGGCCCGAAGATGTTGAAGTACCAGCGTTACCTGATGAAAGTAAATCCGATTATTCAGAAGCACGTCCAGGTACTACAAAACGTCGTCAATATTATTACAAAAAAGTAAGTAAAATATTAGATTACATCAATTAAAGTTTAAAGACAAGAAAATTAATGAATCTTTATTATTTATAAACTAAATATAGACAGCTGAATCATTGACTGATTGTCGACCGATCGTTGGTGTTCCTGCATATTTATATCACATTAAGATGGTACTTAGTTGTCCGCTTCCTGAAGAACAAAATACTAGAGGACGGAAAATTTATCCTCCTGAAGAATCAGATATTGGTTTTGGTATACTTACTTTAAAGAAAATTCCAAAACTATGCCCATTTCCCATTTACACTAGGTCTGGCGAAGTTCAAGTAGAGCTGAAACTCAGTAAAAATACTGTAACATTGGATTCAATTCAGATTGAAAGGATTGCTACTTTTATAAATTATACATTCACCAATGTTTTAAGACTACAAAAGTATTTAATGATTTTTGATCCAAATGCTTCAGAAAATTCTTACGCAATTATTCCTGTGAAAAAATGTAAATTAAATATTTTTTTTACATATATAAATTTGAGAAATTGAACTATTAACATATGAATAATTTTTTTAGGTTGGGTAAATGGATGTGATGATGTTAATGTTGATTGGAACTTTTTAAGTATTATTTACGAAAATCGTTATACAATTCCAAGCAAAATAAAAGAAAAAGATCGAGTAAATTTCACATTCGATCCTTCAAGATATCATGATGCAGTAATTATGCCTTGGTATCGAAACCAAGATCAACCTCAATATTTTTATGTAGCTGAAATTTGTAAAAATCTAAGTCCTAAATCATCATTTCCTGGTGATGGATACAGTACTTTTGAAGAGTATTATTTAAAGAAGTATGACATTAAAATTCAGAATACAGAACAACCACTCCTAGACGTAGATCATACATCAGCACGATTGAATTTTCTTACTCCACGGTATGTGAATAGAAAAGGAGTGGCTTTGCCGACAAGCAGTGAAGAAACAAAACGAGCAAAACGAGAGAATTTGGAACAAAAACAAATTTTAGTCGGTGAATTATGTGCAATACACCCATTTCCAGCATCTTTATGGAGACAAGCAGTTTGTTTACCTTGCATTCTATATAGAATTAATGCCTTACTACTTGCAAATCAAATTAGATACCAAGTAGCAGAGATGATGAATCTTGGACAACAAGATTTAGATTCGGATTTCGAATGGCCTCCATTAAACTTCGGATGGAGTTTAGCAGAAGTTTTAAAAAAATCTAAAGAATCTGATAAGAATTCTAACAAAGAACATGGTAAATTTCTCAACGATAGTGGAATAAATTCAGAGCCTTCCGTTATAATGAATAATGACGTGAATAATAAAAATGAGAAAGAAAAAGAAACAAAAAATAGCAATACAATGAACAAAATCAATAACTGGGGTGAACTTGATGATCAAGTTGATTCTTCAAAAAAAGATGATGAATTAGAAATTGGTACTTGGAGTAATGATATGGCTTTAAATTCAATAAGTATAGATACAAATTTTCAATCTCTACCAAACAATGTAACGGTTTTAAAACCAAATTTTTCTTGGAATGACATACGGTGTGGATCACCAACTTATGAACCAGAAATGATTGGTTATTATTCTGATGATTCATATAGTGATGATGGATTTATTGAATCTTCAGATGAAAGTGATGATGAAAATCGGGGATTAAAAATATCTTATACTGGTGAAAATACTGCAGAGGCTGTTGAAGATGAATCAAAAATGTCAAAACATGAAATAAATACTAAAATAATGAATTTATTTAACCCTGATAACAAATTGGAAAGTATTTTTCTACCTTACGATGAAAATCAAGAAAATAAATTAGCCTTAGCAGAACATGAACGCATACATTACGAATTTGCAAAGTTCCGAGAAAAAGAGATGATGATGGATGGTTCTTTTATTTCAAGTGATCAAGAAATCTCTCTGAACATGAAAAAATTAAATCAGCAAGTAAACAATAATATTACTAATAATTTTAGTCGAAATTCAGAACACGTTGAATATATCAATAGCGTAGCTGAGCATATAAAAAAAGATATAGCTTCTGAAAAATTATGTGATTTCAATTATAAAAAGAATTGTAATGATATTCCGGTATCTCCAGTTTTCAATACTGGGCTATCATTCAGTTTCGATTATCAACCAGAATTATCGGGACATCCAGGTCCAAGTCCTAGTTTAATTTTACAAGCATTAACAATGTCAAATGCAAATGATGGAATAAATCTAGAACGCTTAGAAACTATTGGAGATTCATTTTTAAAATATGCTATAACTACGTATTTATATTGTACATATGACGTAATTCATGAAGGAAAGTTAAGCCACTTAAGATCAAAGCAAGTGAGTAATTTAAATTTATATAGATTAGGAAGACAAAAGATGTTGGGAGAAAGCATGATAACAACGAAATTCGAACCTCATGATAATTGGTTGCCACCTTGTTATTATGTTCCAAAAGAACTTGAACAAGTTTTTATTGAATCTGGAGTACCATCAGTTCTATGGAATCAAGCTGATATTCCATCACTTCAAGCGATTAATAAAAATGAGATCACACAAGTAATTGAAGAAACGGAACACAAGCTTGGAATGATGAGAATTGAACTCGATCAGAATGAACATAAAGATGATGAATTTGATGGTTTCCAATGTTCTATCCCTTATAATTTAATTACTCAACACAGCATCCCCGATAAAAGTATAGCAGATTGTGTGGAGGCATTAATTGGAGCTTATTTAATTGCGTGTGGACCAAGAGGAGCTCTTTTATTCATGGCTTGGTTGGGAATACATGTTTTACCAACGACTGAAGTAACACTCGTACAAGAAGAAGAGCCTTTAGATAAACTTCCGGGAAGTAGTCCTTTTATAAAAAGAGTTAATGAAAAAGGAAAGACGACATGGACTCAAATTCGTTATGGAACTTTGGAAGAACCTAGAAATCCTTTATTACGATACGTATCAAATCCGGAAAAAGAGCTGGAAATGATGCTCGATGGATATGATAAATTAGAAGAAAGTATTAATTATAAATTTAAAGATATTAGTTATCTTCTTCAAGCATTCACGCATGCTTCGTATCAGCCAAATAAATTGACCGACTGCTATCAACGTTTAGAGTTTTTAGGAGATGCAGTTTTAGATTATTTAATTACTAGACATTTGTATGAAGATTTAAGGCAACATTCACCCGGTGCTCTTACTGACTTGAGATCAGCACTAGTGAATAATACAATATTTGCATCTTTAGCAGTAAGATGTGGATTTCATAAATACTTTAGACATCTTTCTCCAGGATTGAATGTTGTCATTGATCGTTTTGTCAGGATTCAAGAAGAAAATGGTCATTCAATTAGTGAAGAGGTAATCAATTCAAAAAATTTTATAATTGTCAAATATTAACCTTAAAAAAGTATGAAGATGTAAATAACACTTAAATTATTTTACAGTATTATTTAATTGGAGAGGAGGACAGTGAAGAAGCTGAAGATGTTGAAGTACCAAAAGCACTTGGAGATGTTTTTGAGTCATTAGCAGGAGCTATTTATCTTGATAGTGGAATGTCTCTGGATGCTGTTTGGAGTGTTTATTACAATATAATGAAGTCAGAGATAGGTATGTAAATTTATAGTTGCTAATTTTTAACTCACCTATAGAGTCCTACTTGTTTTTATTTGTTGATTTAATGGATAACCTAATTAATAATCTTATCTTGCATGATATATGATAAAAATTTATTGACGATAAAATATTCTACTTATTTATCATGAAAATATGCGATTAATTTTTACAGAGCAATTTAGCACAAATGTTCCTAAGTCACCAATAAGAGAGCTATTAGAATTGGAACCAGAAACTGCGAAGTTTGGTAAACCCGAAAAATTAGCAGATGGTCGACGAGTTCGCGTGACAGTTGATGTTTTTGGCAAAGGTTCATTCAAGGGCATTGGAAGAAATTATAGAATTGCAAAATGTACGGCGGCCAAATGTGCATTAAAAAAATTAAAAAAAATGCAATCCTCTCACAGACAAAAAATTTGATATTTTGAAATAAAAAAATGTTCCATATCAGAAAACAGATTCTTTATTTCACGGTTGAAATTTCAAGTTTTTATTAAGATCCTGGTATATGTTTATATATAAGTTGCAGTATATCTTATTATTTATTTATTTAAAAACTATTATTTTATTTGGAGTAGATGGAGTGTATAAAAAAATTACAATGAAAGGAATTGGTTTACACTAAATTTATGTATATATATTTATATATAAATATATATATATATATATGTATGTATATAGTCTGCAGTCCTATTGAGAAAATGTTCTTTAGTCAACGTTGTCTTGAAATATTAATTTCACGTATCCGGGAGATCCTTCCAATGCAACTGCACAGAATGGGCATATCGCAATGTATCCGTTTGTACCGTGCGGGATAGCGACTTTTTCCCAATATCTAAAATGATAATCGATTTGTTAAATTTAGAAACAAATGAATTTATCATTAATAAACTACTTTTATGGATAAAAAAATATGAATTCTGAATCAGGAGCTAATAGGAGAAATGATTTTTTTTCCACATGAAAAATTTACTAATACTTGCTTTACTGTTTTCTCGGTTGCCATGTGACCACAAGGATTGAATGCATAAGTCGGAGGACCTCTATCCACGTAAAAAGCAGGTTCAATACCCATACACAGTTTCACAATAGGTCCTACGACTAAGCACATAGGACAACGTCTTGTAGCTTTATCCTTTTCTTGACCCCAGTCATGGTAGCCTTGAACATGACCGCACTTGAGATAAACGTAAGGTTGTTGTTGGGCTGAATCTGTTACGGCTTTTCTTGGTATTACGAGAGTATTCAAACCAACGGGACACTGAGGTCTTCCAGCATTTATGGCGTCTACTAATTCTTCTAAGTCATGTTTTGTCTATGAAAAAAAGAAGAAAAAAAAACCAAATTTCACTAGCATCCGTAGTTCTGTGACAGATCATTTTTCAAAAATTATTTATGTACCGGTGATTTTGCTAATCCTTCGGCAGATCTCCATAGCAACGTTGCCCCGCACAGATCAATTAAAGTGCCGTCCTTGAGGATATTGTCTTCATCTTCGACGACGTTGCCTTTTTGCTGAGCGCTTCTGCTTTCACGGAGAGAAAATACACCACCACCTACGCTTATTTCCCTCCATGAACCACATTGAGCTTCACCACCGCAAAATTGACCTCGTGGATGCATGATCAAAATCCCATTAGTCGTCAGGCCATCGATCTCACGATTTTCTTGCCACTTGGTCGCTTTCTCCTGGGCGTAAGTACAACGCGTGTAACATATTTTATGGAGGATGCAATTCATAGAAAATAATTTTTTTTAGTTTGTTTAAAATACTACACACCCCCAAGAATATATTTCTCGAACTGTCAAATCCCGCGGCGTAGATCCTTGTAATGGCAGGATTAGCACGGTCTGTTAAAATTCGACAAGCAAATCTACTTATCGTACTTTGAGCCATTCGAGTTTCGTTTCCAGGACCACTTTCTGTCGCTGGGTATGTGTCCATTACTACAAAGTCTATCGGTGGTTCAGATGATCGTCCAATCTAATGCAAAAATTACATTCTAATTTTAATCCTTAAATTAATTAGTCTGAAAATCGTTAATCCGAATGGAAATATTTCTTTAATTAGAGAGTTAATTAAAATTGTGATATTTTGGAGCAAAAAAAATTATTTGCTCCATTGAAGAGCATCTAATTATTTAACAAAAATTTAAACGGTATCTACTTAAAAACGGTAACAAGTAAATTACTTTAATTATTTCTTGACAATTAATATGGAAATTTGTGATCTGAATTCATGGATATTTTTTATTCTTCATCTGTTACTTTTTAAAATGCTCTATTTATTCCAAAGAAAAAGTGATTCATGTGAAAAAAGAATTTTTACAGCTATTTAAAATTAAGAGAAATCTACAGTCAATAAGGAACTAATGACGCACAAGTACCGTTAAAAAATTAAACAAAAAAACAAAGGTATCTAAAAAAAAAAAGAATGTCTTTCAACTAACTTGGAACATGTCGGTGGTATCATCTTCAGTATATTCTACAATGACTGCTTGCGTTCTGGAGAGTGTGTACGAGATTGAATGCTGTTTAACATTCAAAACAGCTTGCGAATTATGTGGTGTCTTCACTACATAATGTTTACTCCGTTTTACTCCGTTTGCAACCGGCCTTTTATACAATACAAATTTGCTGCGACGTCTTCCACGATCGCCGGGTGGTAAAAATCCATTATATCTATAGCGTAAAAGTTATCATATAATATCTTAATGGTATAATGGAAATTAGTTATCGAAAATCGATATTTTTGGAATGGATTAAAACTTTACCCTAAAATGACTAATTCTCCGTATTTCGTAGGGGCTTTAGATTTATCGTGATGATGACTATGGCTTCCATGAGGGTTGATATAGGGACGGCTGTGGTTATGTTTACTGTTTGGGCTATGGGGAGAGTCAGCTGTGTCAGTTTCTTCTACTAATGGACTTTCAGTACCGTCTCCATCGGATCTGAAATAAGCAAAGTAATAAGATTATTGAGAAATATGAAATGCGTAGATAAAAAAAATTCCTCAAAGCAACGAATATTATTTAGCAGAAAAACATAAAGTCACAATGAATGAAATATGTAATTAAACAAAATTATTTATTATTATCTGAAAGAAAATTTACCGAATCACCATCCTGCGCGTATCTTCTACAATCTTCATCAAGTGAATTTTTCTTTGAATTTTGTCGGAATCAATGATTACTGAGAATTATTTAATACTTATTTCTAATAAGAAATAAAAACATGTATTTGTTAATTACTAATAGTTTTATAAATTAAAAACACTGCACATAACGAACAAATGATATATTTTTAATTGAAAAAATTTAATTTTTATAAATATTTCCTTAATAATTGATACTATTATAATATATTTCTTTCCTATTGCTCCGATAGAATTGCAAACATTGTCATGACTTCTTAAGATACCAAGAATAATTTGATCATATAATCAATAAGTAGAAATTAATTTACATTCATACACAATGTACTAATATTTACTTTATTCAAACGCACTAATTTGAATTACTTTAAAGTTTATATACAGTTTATAAATATAATATTTATGTTAGATAGGAGCTAGATGTTTGATGTGCTTTCAATAACAAACGATAAACTGTCCAAGAGTTTCTCAGATGATCACTCAAACTTTGTCTGCGTTGCTGACACATTTTTTGTTTTATATTGCGCTGGACAAATTTTATCGTCCATCAATAAATATTTATAATAGAATTATATATTTAATTGAATTATTGATTAAAAGTTCATTTAATGCGTCACTTTGAAAGGTTATTGGCTGAGTGAGACAAGATTAATGCCGTTTTTTTTTGGAGCACAACACCAAACAATCAACAACCATCACTTGCCATCACTCTCCTACTTCTTATTTTTCTTCTTCTGCTTTACTATTCGTCTGTATTGTTTCCAATCGTCTGTATTGGTCAGTTTACAAGCAGATAAGAGAGATGAAGCCAACAAGCAACGACTTGTATATTCTCATAAAGGTCGAAGATGCGAACTCAAGAGTGAGACTTCCGTTGGTTATCTCTATCTCATTCATCATTTTCAACAGCCAATGAATGAACAGGTTTATCCTTTTACACGTCACTTCCGATGCACTAGAAAATCCATTCACATTCGCACAGCATTTGTTGGTATTACAGAGAGAAATTCAATACAAAGTACATTTCAAGTGGCGCTTTTTGTCAGAATGCGTGAGTGAGCAGTAGACAAATGGCGTCTAATCACATCTGATTATGAATGTGTGTGCTAAAAAGTATAAATTATTATAATTTATCGAATTCTTCTCTTCTAAAAGTATTCTAAGGTAATATTAGTTTATTCTTTATAATTTTCACTAATATAATTTGTACGTTATTAAAGATGTGATAGATTATTTTTTAGGCTAAAAATGCAACGTAACGCGCACACGCCTATGAAAAATCACCGCCAAAATTTAAACTATACTGTTTTTCTTTGTTTTTTTCTTAAATAGAAAATAGTAAACTGTCCTACTTTTCACACTCATTTACTACGAGGTTATTTAAATGAGCAGTAGAGTGACTTTAATTGTTTATTATCGAATGTGTTGCATTTAAAAAAGTTTTATATGACAAAAATGACATTCGAGTGAAAAAAAGATATTGAAAGTACTGATATTTCTCCAATACGTTGAAGATATGAAGTGGGCCAGTAGAACTTTAATTAACGTTAATAGAAATTGTAATGTTAGAAATGGAACAATGAACATTTATGACAGTACAAAATAAACTTTCTACTTATCATTTACCGACTGATAAACTTTCAATAAGTGAATAAAAATATCCTACACGAAGAGAATATTTTTACTAAATGTAAGTACAAAAAGTAACAAGTCCACGTTTCGAAGTTCAGAAATAAAAATATTTCTGTTTAACAGTGAATTTTCGATTGTCGTAAGTAATTAATTTGCTAAGACAACTCTTAAGTATCAAGTTAACTTATATGAACTCAAAATTTACTATCGAATAGAAATTTTTTTACTTCTAAACTTTAAAACATGGACTTACCACTTTTTGTACTTCCATTCAGTAAAAAAATTCTCTCTGTGTAGTAATAATAGCAATATATTCATTTATGTTATTCATTTTTAATGTAAGCTTCATGTTAATTTTTTCAGATAATCTATTGAAGAAGTAGAAGGAAATATTAAGTCTTAACAATGGTTAAGTTATTTGCATTGTCTATATTATATAAAACTGACACATCTGCAGTGTTATTGAAAAGCGCATATGAAGTAGAATCATTTTCATACTTTCAACGAGGAAGTGTCAAAGAATTCATGGCATTTGTCAGTAAAACGATCACCGAAAGAACACAAATTGCAGCCAGACAAAGTGTAAAAGAAGGTGATTACATGTGTCATGTCTACGTCAGAGGTGATAGCTTAGCAGGTGTGCTTATATCAGATCATGAATATCCTAATAGAGTTTGTCATACTCTAATTACCAAAGTATTGGATGAATTTGCATTAAAGTATCCACGTGATTCATGGGCAACATTACAAGAAGCAACTTGTGCTTTCCCACAAATAAATACATACCTAGCAAAATATCAGAATCCCCAAGAAGCTGATGCTTTAACTAAAATGCAAAATGACTTGGATGAAACAAAGATTATTCTTCACAATACCCTTGAAGCAGTATTACAAAGAGGTGAAAAATTAGATGATTTAATTTCTAAATCGGAAGGATTAAGTATACAATCTAAAGCATTCTATAAGACTGCTCGAAAAAATAATTCGTGTTGCAGTTTAACCGTTTGAATGTTTACATCTATATTCATTGCAATATAACTTGTTTATGAATGAAATGAAATCATTAAATAAAATTTATTCGAAGATGTATGGTAAATGTCATTTATGTGCTTTATTTTTTATAATAATATTCGAAAAAGATAATCTTTGTTATTTGCATAAAATTACAGATAATATAAAATGGATGAATTAAATTCACACAAATATTTATATAAAAGAACTTCAATAATTAATATTCACACGATATTACATCAATAATTTTAGTCATCTTTCTTTTAACGAAATGATATTTATAATATGTGTTATATATCAACCAATAAAATGACCAAATTAAACTAATTAAAATAATAAATTTATTTTATAATTACATAGTTAGATAGAAATATATTCTATGGATGAATTATTTTACTTTTTCGAAAACTTTTTTTTAAGTTTCTTGGTATTGGTTTTTCTGATAAACTATTTTCAATATTATCATCCGTATTTTCAACGTGATTATTATCAGTATCTGTAACGTTACATATTTTCTGAGACGTTAGATCCTGAAGCATTGCTTTAGTTGCATCAGGATTATCTCTTGGTACCTATGAAATTAAGAAAAATGTCAAAATGAATGTTAATGCTTGTAATAAGTGGAATAAAATGTTTTAACATAATATATACCATATGCCCAGCTCGATTGATCCAATACATTTTCAAATTCTCATACTCTTTAACATATCCTTCAATTGTATGATTAACATTAACAGAATATCTAGGAGAATCACGCCATTTAGCAGCACCTTTCCATTGTAATTTTTCTACCCAAGCAAGTGTACCAGGAGTTGCAACAATTAAATCCAATTGTCCGGAGAATACAAACACTTGCAAACTAGTTTCATTTAATAATCGTTCGACTATAAAATAAAAATAATCGAAAAATGAAAAGTTTATAAAGCAATAAATATACCAAATATATACCTATATTTGTAACTGGTCGCATGAAGTCTTCCATAAGTTCATAAAAAACATTTGACTGTTGATCGCCCCAAGTAACGTTTAAACCAAGAGTTTTTTTAACTTCACCATTCATCAAGTCTGCTAATTTTACATCATCATCTATTAACGGTTCTAAAGATTGTGGAATACTGAAACACTTTTCCAATTTGCTGGTAGGATTAACTTTTTTCAAAATATTATAAAAATCGATATTGTCTGTAACAGTGAATATGACCACTTCTGTCATACCCCAAAGTTCAGTAGCAAGAGTCCAATTTCCTGATAAGATAGCTTGTTGAGTGGCTTCTGCAGATTTATGAATGGTTTTGAAGCCTGCAGTATCTATCATACCCTACTCAAAAATAAGTAGAGTGAAAAGGTATGTATATATTATATTACATTATTGAAAGTATTATGAAAGTTAATATGAGGCGTATCATATCTTTCATCACGTAATACCGTGTGCAGTAGATATGGAGCCCAAGAAAGTACTGAATCGACAGGTGAAATCCATGAATCACCGAGAGCAACACCTTTCAACTGGCTTACTATTTCACCCTTATTTTGAGCCTAAAATCAGGAATCAATCAATTAATGGTACAAGTAAAATGAATCATTAATGATAATCTAATAAATATTTACTTGATACCAAAGAAGAGCAAATTCAGCTGCCATCTTTCCCCCATAAGACTCTGATGTAATATACGTAGAGACATTTTTGAATTCAGGAATGACTTCCAAAAATTGCTTAATACAAACTACTAAATCTTGAGCTATTTGTAAATTATTTTTTACGTATGCTGAATCATCCTCAACATAACTGAACCCAGAACCTACTGGATTGTCAATAAATAAAACATTGTAATCGTTAACCCAGGTATTATTTCTTTGGTTAAGATCAATATCGAGAGGGCCAAGTTCTTCAAAGTTTCCATATCCTGTTGAAGAAGCTCCTGGACCGCCTTGCAGCCAGATAATTAAAGGTTTGGAAAAGACATTAAAATCTTTAGATTGATCTAGTGGATTTACGTAATAAAGCCACCAAAACATATGAGCATTCTCTCTCACTGTTACATATCCCCATTCTTGTTCTCCTCGCCCGAAACCTTTTTTCGACTCTACTTCCGTCACTTGACCTATTGGTTAATAAGAATAGAATTATTAAATTAGCTTAATAAAATTATTATTACAGCAATGTCAGAAATTCTTTTATTATTAGCTTATTCAATGTATTACCTTACCATTTAGAAAGTATATCAGAAAAACTAGGATCCACGTAGACATTGTATTGACAATTGAACTTTTCTCAATGCTTGATCAAACTGAGTTGAATAGTAGTCAGTGATAAATGATTGATTATATGCGAGAAGATTTCTGATAAAGAGTATAACATCCATTGAGGAAAATATCTATGCGAGAAGTCAGTTGGATATTGTCAATGCTGATTAGATAAACCCCGACATTTAACATGATTTTTTATTTTTCATATACTAAATATTGTAATCTTTAACTTTGCTTGACTAAGCATGATTATTATCTTTTATCATATTTTTCAATTAAATAACATTATTTTATGTTTTTACTGTCATAATATTTTTCTTAAATAATACTTGAAACTATCAAGAAAATTGATTACTAAAAAATTCCAGAATTGAATAGTTTGTTAATTTTCTTATTATAATTATATAACATAAATTTGTTTTCAATTACGAATATTTGAATGGTCAAAAAACAATTACCTGAATTAATAGTATAGAAGAAAATTAATATTTCATAATTCACATAATGATATTAGGAAATTTTCTAATAGATACATAAAATATTTTGTTTAATGAGACAATTGATTTTAACTGATTCATTTTACTTTCACCTGTTCATTTGAAGGCTATCATTTTTACCTTCACTTTAGGACAGACGAAAGTAACATTCCAGTCTATAATCGATCACATTTATTACCTTTAATTGTATTGAATACCTTATATAAATAATTAAAAAAACACTTACTCAACTTAAAGCAAATAAAAAATAATTGATATCGTTAATCAAACATATTTTAACCACAAGTGGAGCTTATCATATGGGAAATTCAAGTTTAAAAAGATATTTACAAAGTCATTGATCTTATAATTAGATAAAAAATATCTAACTTTTGTATTTCATTCTTTTATAGATAATCAATAAAGATGAAAATAGAAAAAGATATCTACTTTTTCACTGTATATTTCACACACATAGTACTTCAACATGTCGTAAATAATACTTTTACATTTCATGTCATAAAAGAAAATGCAAACACTATTTAGTTTTTATGTACATCGAGTAGCGAGAGATTTACAACTTAATTTGCTTCTGTCATAGCTTGGAGAATAGCTAAAACAGCGTGAGGATTATCTTTCGGCACCTGTAACAAATAAATATTTAAATTTATGTTAAAACTTAATTAAGTTGTCTTAAGTTCGTTTACCGTCGTGTAAATCGAATGGAATCATTTGAAAGTGATAAAGAGGATTTACCAGGTGTCCAGCGCGAATGATCCAATACATTTTTAAATTCCTATAGCTTTTAACATATCCTTGAACTATTCCATCTACTTTGAATGGAGTTCTCAATTGATCAAACCATTCTGATGAATATCTCCAATTGAGATTTTCCAACCACGTGAGAGTACTATGTATTGGAACAAGCATATCTAAGTGACCGTGATATACGACGATTTCAAGATTAGTTTGATTTAAGAGATCTTCAACTGTGATTAGAAAAAAAAATTATATAATAATAAATATTTTGAGACGTTCAATAGAGATATAAATTATTGAATTTTGAGAAGGTTGTAATTTGCACACAGACATAAATAAACACTTGAGTATTTCATCACTATTGTTTGCAAACGTAGAATCGTAATTTTTATCACAGTATATTATTCTGACTTACCAGTATGTGTAACAGGTTTTAAAAAATCTCGAATGTATGAATTATATACTTCTCTGCAGAAAACCTCCCAATTTTTATGCGTGATACCAAGAGCAGATGTTACATTGTTATTTATTATACGTTTTAATAGGTTAGTAAGTATTTCAATATTTGTTTCTTCAATACTACTTAGATTCCTATTATGTGAACAGCTCTTTGATTTTTGTTCTATTAAAATATTGTATATGTTAGCATCATAAGTAAGTGTATAAATAACATCTATTGCATTGTCCATTGATTTTTTTGCTAAGATCCACTTTTTGCCATCTACAGCTGATACAATTTTCCGCACATGATCTTCTATTGTTGTGAAACCCACAGTATCTATCATACCCTGAATAAAACAGATATTTTTCTGTTCAAAAGATACAGAGTTCAGTAGAATGAATGCAATAAATAGCATAAAAGAATAAACTTTAGTATTTTTAATTTTAATTAGCTATTAAATAACAATAACAAATAATTGATGGTGAATATTAATTGGTTACATTCTACGATATTGATCCCACGTAATTCTTTCATTCATGATAAAGAACTATGCAATTTGAAAGCTAATAAATCAATGAAACTCATATTACCATTTCCAATAAATATGGTGCCCACGAACGAATTGAATCCATTGGTGAAATCCATGCATTGCCTAAAGCGATTCCTTTTAGATTACTTTTAATCCATCCGGAGTTCTGTTTCTATTTTGAAAAAAATAAGAAATAATATAGTCGTTTTGATGATTAAAAATGACAGTAATAAAAAAATTACCTGATACCACATCTGAGCTAATTTAACTACCACTCTCCCTCCATAAGATTCACCTATAATATATGTAGGAATTGTTTCAAATTCTTTGAATCTTTTCCATATTTTTTTGATACAATTAAAAATATCTCGAACATTTTGTAAAGGGAATATTCTGTTTGATGAATCGTTTGCTCGTGAATCCACGTAACTAAATCCAGTTCCCACTGGTTGATCAATGAATAAAATATTGTAATAATGAACCCAAGTGGAATTTCTTGGATTGAAATGAACATCAAGTGGTCCGATTTCTTCGAAATTTCCAAATCCTGTTGAAGAAACTCCAGGACCTCCTTGTAGCCAAATAAGCAATGGTTTTTGGAATACATTAAAGTCTTTTGATTTTATTGGAGGGTTGAAATAAAAAAGCCACCAAAACATGTGAGCCTTCTTTCTTACTGTTACATATCCCCAGTCTTGATCTCCAGGTCCAAATCCCTGTCTACCTGCTATAAATAATAAATTTATTATAATTAAAATTACATAATAAAGTTTATTTTAAGATCATTACAAAATAATTTAAATGATTGCTCATAAAATATAAATTATTATACAAGCCAATGAAATGGACAGCCAAAATGTTAGAAACAAAATCCAATTCATCTTCGTTCACATTGACTGGTACAATGAGAAATCATGATCATGAATATCGAAAACGAACCAATCCATGTCATTTTAGTACTTTGATATAAATAGTGTACTCCAACTATGTTCTGATAATATTAATATTTGAACAGTATTTATTACACCTGTATAATCATTTACATGTTATTTCTTATTAGAATGATAACATACAAATTAATTTTCAATTATTTATTACTAAGAATTTAGGATAACTCCGATTTTGTCATAGCTATTTTCGTAAAATTGATGCTCCCTGTCTCTTCTTCTACTAAATTAAGAAGATGAAAAGATTCAGGTCTGTTAGTTACATAAGAATATCAGTTTATTTGCGATTTCTCATCATGTGAAATCGATGAGAAAGATAAAAATGAGACCAGAAAAAAGATGAAACGAAATTTTTACTCGTGAAATCGAACGTTCCAAAAATTTCAGACATGCTATATCTTGTTGAAAGTCTCTCGAAGGTCAAGTTTGCCTTAGTAAAATTCACAGGTGAATGTAAAAACAGCAAACACAGCTTTTCATAGATGAAAACGTATGAGAAAGCATTCGTAAAAGGAGTCACGCAAATAATAATTGAATAATTATCATGACGATAATATTTAAATGCCACTGAACGATAAATTTTACGTTCAATACATCTGAATTATATCATACTCAAATGGACAATTTTGCATTTTTTTTCAATAACACGTGAATTAAACACACATTCACTTTCAAGATGTATCGTCGTCCAGGCAAAACGATAGTTGAAAAATTTCATTCTCATTTATTCGCCATGAAATTGGAGTTTTATTATTTGCAACATATAAATAAATTATTATGTGCAATATATTACAGAAGATAATGAGCTAATAATTAAATGAAGATGACGAAAAGCAGTTAAATAAAAATTGACAGTAGTAATTATAAAACACAATCTAGATATGAAATTTATTTTATTAAATAATTAAATGGTGAGAGCTATTATTGAAAGACATCACCATAAGTATTCTTCAATGAGTTAGAAAGTCCACATCTTTTATTTGAATGAAGACGAATTCCGATTTCATATACGTCTTTAATTCTTCATTATAATGTGTCTAAATAGAAAATGTAATTGAATAATTTATTAATTCACTTTTAATTTAATTAATAATTCGATTGATAAAAATAATTCAAGAAAAATTAATTGCCTGATTAAAGTAATTTTTATCTTGAAGAAGGAAGCTATTACCAGAAATATATATTTTAGTTTAGAACATGTACTTAGCATACATAAATATTCATTTAAATGGAGATCATGTCTTTTACATTTTTTGCGTAAAAATTATTATTATTATTATTATTATTATTATTATTTTTTTAAGTGTTATTTTACTAATATTTATAATTAATTATTCAGAAATGATACTGTTAGTAAAAATAATGACTTTAATAAACACATTGAAAAAATTTTCTCACCAAACTTAATTTACAGCTAATTAAAAATTATAATAATGCAAAAACTAGACGATTGTAGATAATCAAAAGTAGAGAAAGTGTTAGCATAGCATCTTCCTAAGTACTAAATTGACTATTAGATTATGTGTTAACTCCACTTGATGTGTAAAAATAATTTGGCTAAGAAAGTTTAACTTATCATTCAAAAGCGTTACATTAAAAAAACTTGTCTTCCGTCATAAAGAAAATAATTTCAAAAATTCAGTATTTTCAGGTATGATGTTCGAGTAACGGATTCATCAGACTTTCTACTATTGCTAAATTATTTATATTTTAATATTTATTTGACTCGAATCTTCAGCGAAATCATAAGATAGTTTTAAAGACGTTTTTTTATCTCTTTAATCTGTATCTTATTTTATAAACTCTACTATCAATTTCTCCATTTTTTTATTGATTCGAAATAACAGCTCAATTATGCAACAAGTCTGGCTAGCATAACTACTACCCACATGATGCTTTCTGTATATTATTTCCTCGGAATTCATTTCCTATTGTCACCTAAGTTATTATTAATCAACATTTACGTACCCGCAGTTTGTGTAGCAAAAGCGTCGGAATAATTCTTTTAATTGCATATATAGCCTTCTTTGTCGTGCACGCTTCGCATCCAACTTTCTCTAAGCATCAAGTGACAATTGAAGACTCCAGAAGGCCGAATCCTCCATCGGAAATTAGCTTGATTGCTCTTGCTTCCTTATTTTCTTTATTTAGATTAATTTCCAATTACGGAAATATGATTGCATGAACCATAGCATGACTATGGACATTTTTCCACCATGTCAAATCAATTAAATGACCTCTATTACATTAGGATACTTGTTGAGACTCTCTTTCAATGCTCATAACTCTATACATACCGGACCTAGGCTGGTGTATAATATCCCTACCTCACCTAGAAAGAAGTGTTCATCACCTAGCCCGCGGGTCTCATAGAGAATAGGCCCTCCTTTCAGAGATTCAACGTGCATGTCCAAATGCCTAGTCCCACCTCGCTATAAAAGCGGTGTCAGAGCCAACGAAATTTACCAGAACAGGGTTCACAGATTTAAAGAGAGGACGTAAACGCGTTGACCATTTTTCCGTGAATGGATTTTTTTTTCTTTCATGATTAAATAGTTTTATTTTTTTCTAGTTCATTAACGAAGATTATAACATCGTCAACCATGCGTTGCCTTAGTCTGGTTAGTGTTGTGATAATTAATTAGTGATATACTGTCTAGCTAATTTTATATGCGAGGTTTTGATAACATGTCTAGTCTGTAAAAGGATTAAATTATCATTCACTGAGATTAATAATAATAATAATAAGATTAGGTGCATAATAATATAGTAATCGTGCGTGGGCACACTCACTCGTGTCGTGAAAGTGTGATGATTTTTTCATTCTCATTTTTTTTGCTATTATATTATAGTTATCGAAACATCGTAAGCTGGTGCCACATATTCGAGTCGTGATTGTCGTAGTAATTCGTAAACAATAATATTACAGGTGAACTATTCTTCTTGTGATTTCAGGTGGTGTTGCAGTGTTTGCTGCTTTTCGCTCAATCAACGTTAGCCGGTCCTGTTGAAAAGAGAGAGTGAGTAATTAAATTATCTTTCTGAAATTTTCACCTCAATTTCTTTTCCATGATTTTTTTTCTACTTTAAACTAGGCTTTTAAATACTTGTTTTTATATCTCATACTTCAATAAAAACTTGGAATGTAAGAAAAAAAATTTTAATCATTAAATAATTATTGATTAATATTACTTTTCTAGAGCTCCGCTTCCCGATATTGGTTTACCACCTCCTCCTCTACCGGCAGCGTATCAAGATCCTCCATCTGGCCATGGATCAAGTGTGCCATCATCATCATATGGTGCTCCATCACCTACTTATGGAGCTCCATCACCTTCTTATGGGGCTCCAGCTCCCTCATATGGAGCACCAGCACCTGTGCCTGCTCCATCCTATGGACCTCCTGTGCCTGCTCCTTCATACGGACCTCCAGCTCCTCAATATGGACCACCACCATCTGCTCCTGCTCCAGTATATGGTCCACCAGCTTCAGCACCGGCTCCCTCTTATGGACCACCACCACCGCCTCCACCTCCAGTCTATGGACCCCCAGCTCCTTCCTACGGTCCTCCCCCAGCCGTGAAAGATGAAGGATATAGTTATCCAGCTCCTGCCCCTGCACCCAGCGGTGAATGGAAGAAGAAATTAACTTGGAAGGAGGAATGGAAGCAAGTTTGGAAAACAGAAAAAAAATTAGAATGGAAACAGGAATGGAAAAAGGTCCAGGTACCCGCTTGGAAAGAAGTACAAGTTCCTATTTGGAAAGAAGTACAGGTTGAAGCATGGAAAACTGTAAAGAAACCCGTGTGGAAAGAGGTACAGACTCCAGCGTTCAAGGAAGTTCAAGTTCCAGCATGGAAAAAAGTCTGGAAACCTGTGTGGAATGTCGTACAAGTACCAGTTTGGAAAGAAGTCCAAGTCCCTGAATGGAAACAAGTTTGGGTACCAGAGTGGGTGGAAACTCCGGGAATTCCAGCTCCAGTTTATGGACCGCCTTCGCACAGTTACGGACCACCATCAGACAGTTATGGTCCACCATCTCATAGCTATGGACCTCCAGCCAAAGATGATGGATACCATTATGATGCTCCAGCTCCCGCATCTAGCAAAAAATTAGTATGGAAATCAGTGTGGAAAAAAGTCTGGAAAACTGAAAAGAAACAAGCGTGGGAGTCGCAAAAGAAGATGGAATGGAAAGCTGAATGGAAAAAAATTTGGAAAACTGTAAAGAAACAAATTTGGCAGACAGATAAGAAGCTTGTTTGGGTTGAAGAAAATGTCAAAGTTTGGGTGCCGTCGAAAAAACAAGTATGGATCTCACAGAAAGTAAAGATATGGAAGGATGAGTGGAAGAGTAAGACTGTACCCGTATGGAAAAATGTACAGGTGCCGGCGTGGAAGAAAGTCTGGAAGCCAGTGTGGGAGAAAGTTTGGGTACCAGCAGAGTCACATCATGAAGAGGAACATCCTGGTTATCGGCGATAAAGTGTTGGAAATCTCCATCTCTTTTTTGCACTCATGATGCCTCATGTGACGGAGGAAGACATTTACTTTTCCCTTAGTCATTTTTTAATTACCTGTAAATAAAATCTTACTTTAGAATGTAAACATAGTTTTTTTTAACAATGTTTTAATAACATTTATTTTTTTACTGCTTATTGAAAAAAAATGTTTTTTGTATAAATAAAATGTTTGACTGTTGATTACCGGAAGTATTTCTTGGTATAATTGATCAAAGCGGTAATACATAAGAGATAGAGAGAGAAAAGCGATAAAAAAGACATGAGAGGTCTTGGAGGTCGCAAAACTAACCCACGGCCTTTAATGCGATACTTTCTCTAGAGTCAAGGTGGGAGAGTTGAGACTTTCCCACTCGGAAGTTGTTCGCAAACACGTGGTTATCATCTGCCTTTTAGAATTTTTATTTTAACTCCAGCTCAACTTCTACATCAACACAATCATGAATTAATACCCTTATTCAATCATCCATTACATGCATCATGAACGAAAAAAAGGTAATGGTGAGTTAAATCGGATGATATTACTTCCTCATATAAAGGACACGCATAAGCTTGGAGTGAAAAATTGCCGGAGGACTTCCTCAAGAGAAGAGTGAAAGTTTGTTCAAGGCTATGAGAATTACTAGGTCTTCCTTCTGTTAAAATATTTTTTTATATTTCACTCTCTTCTCATTCTTGCGTATTGCTAAACAATCGAAATTAGAGACGAAAGTGGATCGACAGCGAGAGTGTGTATGATTATGCAGGCACGTCGAAGAGCTTCTACATAGGCGTGTTCAGCATGTTGAGCATTAATCTCACGTAACTGAAGGACTGCGTGTTCTTTTACTTGTATACACAATACTTTTGCTTTTATTCTTTCAATGATAACAATGATGTTTATTATGCGATCATTTAAATTATATAATACCCTTACAGTTTTCACGCAATCTCCAGGACTTTTCTTTCTACCATCAATTGAAAAAATTTGTGTGCTTTAACCGTGAAAATAATATCGTACGAATTAACAATCCACATGGTTGGTTATAATTTTTCTATCCTTGACAAATATTAGATAAAAGAAAGTATTCGTTACAGTTTCATTATTTACAATTGTTTTATAATTAAACATAATAAAATCTAATTAAACATTACAAAAAATATTAAATCATTATACCGTTATATCATATTCTTAAAATGTTGAAATTTCAAACTAAAATTGATGGTATTACTCGAAATACTTTATTTGACTTTAATAAACTGCCATAACAATTTTAAGGGGTATTACAAAATCATGTTGGAATTTTTTTTAATAAATAATTCATAGATCTTGGATCATTATTAGCATCATGGGAATTTCCGCAAGCGTCTTAGGCTATTCATATAAGTGTTGAATAATAAAACAGCAAACATGGTCTTTAAGATTGAAAATGATAGTGCATATAAGTAAACTAGTTAATATATCAATTAATTCACTCTTCTCTTATCAAGATAATTCTTTGGAAAGTGCCATTGACACTGTATATATTACAAAACTGACGTATCATTTAATTTAAAGATACGCTGGCAAAAAACCATAATTTTCAGTGCACTTAGCACAATGTCGTTCACCATAAATTTCTTACATGACTGAATGCACGTTTCACTTTTTCCTGGGATTCATATCAAGCCCTTGACACTCTCTCTCTCGATGTCAAACTTGTTTATCGATGTGGTTACATACAGTAACTTGCATTTAAAAAAATACCAATCGTCGTACAAGTCATGTTGCTAGACAAGACTAGCGACTTTCTCGTATCAATCTACTGTAAATGGATTCTGTTTGCATTTTCATTTTTTTCCGGATCATTCTACTTGTTTGATAAACTCTCATTAATATTACTCATCAGGTAGACTTGCAGTTGTTTACTTGTCCACTTAACAAATAGTTTCCTTTTGTTTATAACGATTTCTTCTTATTTCATCATATAATGCTATTTTTTTTACTCCAAACTTTTTACTTGTTCATATGAACGTTGTATAATTTTTTTTAGTTTATCATTTAGTAGACAATTAAATTTTGAAACATATGAAATTTTTTTTAATAAAAAATATATTATTATGAAATACTTTGCCTTAAAAAAATTTATTATTTCCTTCAGAAAAAGTCATTCCGTCAATTTAATTCTTTTTTTACTTTTTATAAGTAGAGTCCATTTAGAATGAATTTTATAGCACATCGTCTTTTTATACCAGCTGATTTATGACAAATAAAAGTCAACTACTATGATTATTAGAAATAAAATTTTGGAATTATTTTTTTTTAACTTTTTTATAGATCGAAATTTGAAACTCATAAAGGCAAGTAGTTAAATCTGAAAATAACAACAAGACATGAAATCTAGAACTTTCGTTTGAATGCTCACGAATAGAGTGGTAATAAATAACGACAGTTTCACGGATAAACTCTTTAATGTGGCTCTGACCTGTCTTACCTCGAAGAATATCATTTCTCTCACGACCAAGAGACTTTATTCCTTTACTTTGTTAACAGGAAAATAAATGTGACTTCTTACCTATTCTATCGTATAATTGTATAAAACAAAATAATCCAAGTCTTGTGCATTTGAGTATGTACACACTCGCTTTCTTTTCTCATTCCATGATTGGCCTACGTACATTATATATGATCATGTTCAGTGCCTAGCATTGCGTATTTCGTTGGCAAGTGCGAACGACGAATATCAATAACGATTTCGATTTCGCCCATAATAGTTTGCTGAAATCCAATGGAATTTTTTGTTAATATTCAAAAAATATTCCAATTATTTTTCCATGCTATCTCTCATTTTATCCTTCGAGTATTTATTAAAACAATATTTTTTATATCCATTTCTTGGTCCAGTTGGGCTTGATACTTTCTCGACATTCCTCCAGGCAATTGGATAGCCATTATTTTTATTCGAAATTAGATTGATGGGTGGATTATTCATCAAATTATATAGAAAAATCACTTTCTGAAAGAAAAAGTTTATTTTGTGTAAATAATTTTACTATCCGATAATTTTTCCAATTATTACTTGTTTAAATTCTATTTATTAACTACCTGTTTATTATCATGTTGTGAATAATTAATGCATGCTATACAATATTCAACAATTAAGATATAGATTATACATATGGATTTTAATGATACTTGTAAAAAATTATACTGACATATTAAGAGTAAAACATAATCAACATTAAATATTTGAATGTTATAATTAAAGTAATACAATGTTTTTTGTAAAATTTTTTTACATACATAAATAAAAAGTAATCTTACATGAGTAACAGGAATGGACAATTTCTTCCGGCTCTCTTCGTTCCTTTCTCATGCTCCGATGATGCAAGAAGGTGATCACGATGAGGCGAAAAAAGGTCCAATGAGTATAATCATACTGGTGAACAAAAGAAGTCAAGACAAGAAAGTAGAACATTATACTGACCGATTCTCACAACTGTAATTGACTTCTGTGATGTAATAAGAATCATAAGACATTGATAATCATTTTCACCGTGTCATTGTTTTATATTTTCGATTGCTGTTTATTATAAATATTTTAAATATATAAAAGAGCAAAAAATCGATAAAATTTTGCATAAGTTACTAATTATAGGTGTGTTAATGTAGCTTTTTAAACCAATTCATCAAAGTTTTTATTCAAGACTTATGATGAAATTTTTCTCAAGCCATTGGATCAAAAAAAAAGTTTAACCAAAATTTAAAAACAAAAATAATTTGATGAGTTTTGAAAGCTTACTATCTTATGAATTATCTCGCCCCCAGGAATTCACTTTCATCTTTCTTCCATAATCTTGAAGTCAGTCGTTTCTATAGAGAGTTTGATATAAGCAATGACATACTACTGGAAACTGCAAATAAAAGGCAAAAATTATGTGAATGATGAAGTCTAGGAATCTAGAGCACAAAGACTATAACCTTGCCACGTAACCTTGCTGTCGGCCACCAAAGTCACGTTCTAGAAGAGTAAACATAATCATGAAGACAAGTTAAGAGAGCAGATTTAGCGGGTTTGTGGTTGGTGGTAGCTTGGAAATGGATAGTGGGAAAGAAGTGCGTCGATCACTTTCTCTTGCAAAGTTGGAAAAAGACACAGTGTGTCTGCACATGACAGAGAATGAGAAAACAATTGCTGCCTTCTTTCTTCCTTCCTTCTGGTCTTCCTCAGGATCTTTCTACCTTTCTTCCACCACTATATCAAAGCCCCCGCCAATGTTGCAACTGCTCTCTTTCAGCGATTCCGATTCGCTTCGAGTTTGCCCAGGTACGAATTTACCTTCATGGGGGAGGATACGTACCTATATAACCACGGCGTTCCGCTTATTGGACCGAGTTAAAGAAGTTTTCCTACAACAAGGGAACGTAAGCTTGCGCCCGGTTCCGTAGCGGGCGGAATTACAAAGTCATGAAGATCCGCCTAAGATGTGCGGTGAGTTTTGTGACTTTTTATTTATATTTGTTTATTATCACCACTGTGATAGTTGATATTCAATTTAAATGTAATAATTTCCTTTGGAATTATTACAGATCGTCTTAGCAGCGCTACTGCTCCAAGTAGCTCTTGTCAGCAGTAAAGCGTTAGACCAAAATGCTGTTGCTCCACAGAATCAATGGCAGATTCCTTTTCAGCCAGGGTAAAGTGTTTTTAAAGAAGAAATCAAAAAAATTGCTCATTTCAATAGTGATATTTATTTCTGTGGATTTATAGTTTAAACAAAAAAAAAAAGAAAAATAATTCAGTTTATTACTCCTTTTTTTTGTTATAAAAATAGATATAAATTGGAATAAATTTAAAAGTATTTTATTGTTATTAAAAATAAATATGTGATATTAAAAATGGAAAATCATTTTTCAGAAATAATCAGGAAATTCAGAAAAGATATGATCCTGGATCAGATGGTGGACATGATGACCATCATGAACATGGGTACTGGAAGAAAAAATTAATTTGGAAGCCAGGTTGGAAAAAGATATGGAAACCAGCACAAAAGCAAATCTGGAAGCCAGCGTGGAAGAAAATTTGGAAGCCAGTGTGGGAACCAACACAAAAAGCAGTGTGGAGGGAAATTCAAGTACCAGACTGGAAAAAAATTTGGAAGCCAGTTTGGAAGGAAATTCAAGTGCCAGCATGGAAAGAAATTCAAGTGCCTGCTTGGAAAAAAGTTTGGAAACCTGTGTGGAAACCAATAAAAGTCCCAGCTTGGAAAGAAATACAAGTACCTGACTGGAAGAAAGTGTGGAAGCCAGTTTGGAGAGAAATCCAAGTACCTGCATGGAAAGAGATTCAAGTTCCTGCTTGGAAAAAAATATGGATCCCTGAGTGGATAAAGGTTGGAATACCTGGAGAACATTTTCATGGTACCGATAAACATGGATGGCAATACACAAGTCATGATTTATGGAAAAAGAAACTTATTTGGAAACCACTTTGGAAGAAATATTGGAAACCAGCAAAGAAACAAATTTGGGTCCCAGATAAGAAACTTGAGTGGAAAGAAGAGTGGAAGCAAATTTGGAAGCCAGCCAAAAAACAAATTTGGGTGGACGACAAAAAGCTAGTATGGAAAGAGGATTGGAAGCAGATTTGGAAACCAGCCAAGAAACAGATTTGGGTACCTGACAAGAAATTAGAATGGAAAGAGGCTTGGAAACAAGTCTGGAGAACGGAAAAGAAACAAGAATGGATTCCGGACAAAAAATTAGTATGGAAAGAAGCATGGAAAGAAATTTGGGTACCAGCATGGAAAGAGATTTGGGTTCCAGCTTGGAAGAAAATATGGAAACCAGTTTGGATCTCCGAATGGTTCCCAGCTGAAGATCATCATCATCATGGCGGTGGTGGAGGGTGGCAGGATCGTAAAGATGACTTATCAGTAGATCAAAGTCAAAAAGTAGTCAGGCCGAATCAGCCTCAACAGCAAACCTTCCCTGCTCCACAACCACAAGTCCAACAAATTCAACCACAGCCACAGCAAGGATCTAGAGCTTTCGATTCAATTACGACAGACTTAGTTCCACCACCTTCAAACCAGCAGGAAACCTGGAAATTTCCAAGTCGTTAATGACGCAGTCTTATGAAGCTTGTACAAAAAGTCTTCCTTCCTCATGCAGGATTTGTAAAATAAGCCAATGTACATATAATCATTGACATTAGGTAGCTAGAGTTAAGTGATTAATCAAGAAGCTACACAGTTTCCTTCACTTTTTCCGAATCATTATTATTATTTTTACGAATATCTTTATTTTTATAATAATTATTATTAGTTTTTTACTATTTTTGTTTATAATTATACATGTTATGTTACTTGTTATCATGATTGTTAATTAATTAATTTTTGTTGCGAATAAATTTAAACAATATTTTGTTAACTATTTGTTTCATTACCTGGTTCATTTCCTGTTTCTTTAATTCACAAAATATTATCATAATGTTTGTTAAATTTATTTAAACTCTTCTTTCTTATCAAATGTTATCTATCTTCAACTTTCTTCTGAATATTCATAAAAATGATGTCTTTTACTTTCAACACTCTAAATAATGTTTATTTATTCGAATAACTTTTATTTCGTAGATGAACTCGTTATTTCTCGTTATATGATGTTAAGTTGTTAAATAAGATGTGATGTTTAAGTCTAAGTTATACTGTAGAGAAATATGTATGAAAAATAAAAGTAATCTTATCTCATGATGTATTATTTCTTTTAGCATTATGTGATAATTATTGATTAAAATAAATTGATAGAAAATAGACTATGAAGAAAGGAGAAAGTGCAATGCATTCATACAATGCATGCTTCTACATGAATGTAAAGTAACAAGAAAAGGATAAAGAAGGAGGAGTTAAGAGAGAAAGTATTCAAGCATGTGACCACCCACACGAGCTATCATTTATTTAACATATAATAAACTAAAGTCATATGTCATATATATGCTACTGTTTATCATATCTTCTTTATAGCAATAAAGGTATTTATCCAGAGTCCAGTCAATAAAAGTTATTGTAGATATCTGTCTGTTGAACATAACATAAAATAAAAAGGTCAGCTAATAGATAAGTAATTAACAGGAAAGAGTGAAAATAATTTTATTACACACTTGAAATGCAATTCATAACTACAGAGTATAACGTCAATTAAAATTTTCTCGTGTCGTCGAACTAAAAAGTCTTTCTTTGCGGAAATGAACTTGAATAATACATAAACTTCTATTCTGCGTCACTTTCCAGTCGCCTGATTTTTTCTTTTTTCAACTAACAAGCCGTTTGTATAACAAGCATAATCACACCATTGCTTGACACGTTGTATGCACATTTTTGTAGTCCATTTATAAACATATATGGACGAGTATTATTTTATTGTCTATTTTAGAAGTATTTGACCGAAATAATACTGAAATTATGAATAAAGATAATATTTGCTAATACCTCAGCTATAACAAGATATCTTTAGATATGTCTATCAATATCTCAGGTACCACAAGTAAGATAATTTTATGAGAATACTAATAATTATTGTAAATGTATTATAAGTGTAAAATATTCCATAAACATTTTAATATTTTCTTCTGACAAGAAATTTCATAAATTACTAATTTAAAAAATGTCTATGGATTACAACTAGAATTATTGATGATTATCAATATGAAAAACATCCAGCTTATTGATAGAAAGTGAAGTAACATTTTTTACTGAATAATTATATTAGTGTCTACTTAAATTAATAAATAAATAAAAGTTTTCTCAAGCTAAATCTTTTCTGAGTTTTTTACTAATTGATTCTTGTCTCGATACCAGGTAGAATAAGACGTAACATAATACTTATAACAAAAAAAAGTTTGCAAATTTTTTGCTGACGGGTATTTTTATTCAGGTCGTTTAGGTCCCGAGTGTATCCAGAGATCATCGGACTGACTATTCTTGAAGTTGTTCATGACTCTTTTAACATACTTTCAATCACATAGCTGCATTCATAATAAATGTACTTACTGCTATATAAGGAGAGAGAAGAAGGAAAATACCAAGTAATAAAGTATTAGAATACTGAGAAAGTACTGGTATCTATGAAGTATTTTCATCATTATAAAAAATGTTTTAAGTTTGATAATGGTTTTTTTTAAAACTAGTTTTGAATTTGCCAAGTAAAAATAAAAGTTATGCCTGGTGTTTAGTTTACAAAATTGACAGTGAGAAGTAAAATTTATTTTAAAAAAACTTTCAGAGCAGTGAAATGTAATTATCAAGTATGTTTATAATACTTTTACTTTTTTTCACACTTATTACGTGTATTGTTTGCTATAAAGAGTGTAGGAAACCCCGAAAATTTCCTCCAGGTAACAAAAAACTTTTTCCAACTATATAATATTAACTATTATTATTAAAATAATCAATTTAATAAGTAAACAATTTTTCATAATTAATAATGATTATCTAACTGTCATATAATATAATAGGCCCACGATGGTTACCACTGGTTGGATGTTTTCTAACGTTCCAAAGGATGAAGGCAAAAATGGGCTACCTTTATCTTGTTTTTCACCAATTATCTAAGCAATATGGAACTGTGTTAGGAGTAAAACTCGGCCGGCAAAAGATCGTGATTGTGTCAGGAAATAATTTAATAAAGAAAGTACTCATGAAGCAAGAATTTAATGGAAGGCCTGATGGTTTTTTCTTCCGTGTGCGATCTTTTGGTAAAAGGAAAGGTATTTTATTTACTGACGGCCCTTCTTGGTATCAAACCAAACGAATGACTATGAAATATCTATCTAATTGTGGTTTTGGACATGAACTAATGGACCGATGTTTAAAATATGAAGCAGAAATGCTAGTTTCTTTTTTCAAAGATGAAATTGCCAGAGGACGAGAATCATTTTCTGTCGAAGAAGCTTTCAATACAGCAGTGCTAAATACTCTCTGGACTATGATTGCTGGATATCGATTTACTTATGGTGATTTTAAGCTTCAACCCGTCTTATCTGCTGTCCGTGAAGCCTTCGAGTAATATAAAAATTTTTAAAAATCATTCAAAGACTATATTTTTTTCCATATTTTTTTAAATATAATTGACTTGCATCTCAATAAAACTGTAATTCAAAAACCACATCTGCATTAAATATTGAAAATTATTCATACATGAACAATAAATTTTACCATTTCTAATAAACGTTTAAGTCTAAAAATTATTACCTCATTAAACATAATTTATTTAGAATTGCATACAATAAACTTTGAACATCAATAGATAATTATTAATATTCATGTTGTCGTTTTCACTCTTGAAAGTATGATGGTGGTGATCATATATCATTATTCATTAATTGTTTTGTAGATCTAATGATACATTAGGAGGGATAATTTCACAACTTCCATTTCTTCGTCACATTATTCCCGAATCATCGGGATATAATAATTTAATGAAAGTTCTTCATACACTATGGTGTTTCATTGAAGATGAAATCGACAATCATGTGAAGGCACAGAGGTTCGATCAGTCTCCAAGTAATTTTATTGACGCTTATCTTGTTGGATCTTGCAATGGAGAAACTAAGAATTTTTCATTTGACCGTAAGATCTTTATTTTCTTATTACATCTTGTTCCTTTCTTCTTCATGTTATTATTATTGTTATAACTGTTGTTAACATGTAGATTATTATTTTTATTTCCAGGAGAAGAGTTAATAGTTATTTGTTTAGATTTATTCTTAGCTGGATCAAAAACAACTACTGATTCACTGACAGCTATTTTTGCTCTTCTTCTTCATTATCCAAATTGGATGAAAGCTTTACAAAAAGATATTGATACAGTTGTAGGTTCCATCGATTCTCCAAGTCAAGAACATATGCAGTTATTACCAAGAGTCGAAGCTTTCTTAGCTGAGGTAATAATTGAATAAATTAGCAGTTGAATTAGTAAAAAAAAGTTTCAAATGACAATGAATAATCTGTTGTTCATTGTAATGATATAGGCACACAGAACTCTAATTCTCACGCCTCTCGGCGTCCCTCATAGGACAATAGAAGACGTTTCACTAGAAGGTTATCACATTCCGAAGGTAAAATATATTAAATTAATTCTAGAAAAGAAATGAAGAAGAAACGTATAATTCTCATCAGCTGTAACATTTACTACTCACATGTCACATTGTTTTCTAGGATACGGTAATTCTCTTAAATTTTCACAGTGCGAATACTGATGAGTCTTGTTGGGAGAAGCCACAGGAATTTCATCCAGAACGATTTCTTGATGAAAGTGGACAGTATCGTCGTAGAAATGAATTTATAATCTTTGGATTAGGTCAGTACTATATTTAAATATGCAATAAATTATTTTTACTACGATGTTTACCTTAATTCCAACAAATAAAAATATTTTTACTTAATTTAAAAATTAAATGCTCAATAAATATAGATTCTGATACATCAATAATTAATGTTGAGTAATAATTATTTTATTTAACAGGAAAACGACGATGTTTGGGAGAACAATTAGCAAAACCATCTTTATTTCTTTTTTTCACGCACATTCTTCATAATTTTGATTTAACAGTCCCTCAAGGAAGTGAACTACCAAGACTAGATGGAATTGATGGCTTCACTGTATCCCCGAGACCTTATTTAATTAAGTTAATACCTAGGAAATAATTAAAAGCATGAAAAAGTAAGAAATAAATTATGTTGAATAATAACAAATGGATATATAAATGATTTACTGTAATTATTTGAGGTAAAATTGACGTTATTGAATCTTAATTAAATTATGTTGATCGTTCAACAAGTAAAACTTCATATGGTTTAGGAGAAATAGTTAAACCAGGTAATGGATCAGTGTCTGGTAAATTACATCCCGGTAGTGGAAGTAATTTATATCGTTTCATAATTCCAGCAAATAACAAGAACGTTGCAGATTTGGCGACAATTTCGCCAGGGCATCGTCTGTGACCTAAAAAATAGAAAAATTGTCTTCCATTAAAGTCTACATATGATTTATGATTACACATTGAGATTAGAAAGTAAATAGGTTTACCCCCGCCAAAAAATATCAACTTCTTGTTCGGAATATAAATACCATCCTTTAGAAATCTTTCTGGTTTAAAGCACTCCGGATCGTCGAAATTTTTAGGATCCATATGAATACTGTTGATATTTATGAGGATACACGTGTTCTTTAAAATTCTATAGCCATCGAGATACGTTTCCTGCAATACTCGTCGAGGCCCGATTATCGGTACTACCAATCGAAGTCTCTGTGATTCTGACATTATTGCCTCGGTAAATGGTAGCCTGCAGTTATATAAAATAAATTCAAACGATATAAAAAACATTGAGTAATAGATAATTTGAATTAATTAAAATATTATAACATACTTGATAGAATTGACTATAATACAAATTCTTTCGATTCTATCTGACTTACATTGCTCTGTCTGACAACTGAGGAAATCGGTAACCATCAATCACTGAGTCTAGTTCATGGTGAAGTTTAGTTTGAATATCTTGGTACACTGTCATGTGTAAGAAGAGAAAGTCAAGAGTAATTGCAGTCGTTTGCAGTCCCGCGATGAAAAGATCAATAAGTATCATCAGCAATTGATCTTCTGCGGAAATGAATTCAAAGGTATGAGGAAGACATTCGTTATGCATAATGAAAAAATAAATATAAATATTTATCAATTATTTGATCATCTTTCAAATAATTTATTACCAGTGAAACCAGCTTCTGGACCTTTTCCATGATACATTTCAGCTAAAAACATATCAATCAGATCCACTTCTTTGCCTTCGACGTAATTCTTTTTATGCTCTTCAATACTTTTCATCAATAATTCTTTCAATTCTTCATTCAGTGTAATCAATAATTCATAACCCGAGAGTTTTGGTGCAAAGTGACGAATCCATGGAAAGATAGAGAGCATTCCTCCAGCAATATCGAAAGCTTTCGCTCGTTTTTCCATAAGATTGAGAAAGTACTGTAATCTGTTGACAATAAAATAAACACTAAAATGCATATTTATATACTTCATGAAAGTTAATTTTCAATGTTAATGTCTTCGATAATTACCTAGCTTCTTCGTCAATTCGTTTCCCAACAGCAATACTCCAAATTACATTTATAACTGCAGGAGCTATTATAGGCCTCATGCATACAGCTTTATCACCGTGAGACTTTAATTTATCTAGAATTATCTTTAGCTCGTCTATTATTTTACTTGTCATTGCTTCATGACCAAAGCCTAAGCTCTTCAAACATCTAATTAACCATCCACGCATTTCCTTCCATTCGGGACCATCAGTCATTGTAATACCTTTTATGAAATTTTTTTATTAATCAATTACATTAAACATTCTCTGTTTGTCTAATTTCTATAATTTTTATTCAAATTATGAAGTAAAAAAATAATTCTTTTAACGCTCTATAGAATTTAAAGAGTAATTGTATTCATTATATTTGTTATCAACTGAATCACTGATAATCTATTATTTAACAAGTATTAAGTTGATGAATTATTTTTTTTAATGAGAAAAATACAAACCTTTTTTTAATCCCATATTTCTAATTTTTGCAAACTCAGTCCAAGGTCTACCATCGAATTCTTCATTACGTAATATTTGTTGAACGGCTTCATAACCAGATACAATATTAACATAAGAATTTCCTAGATAAAGACGAATAACATTGCTTCCATACATTTTTGAAAGCTCTGTAAAGGCTTTGTGCTGCCCACCTAGTTCTCTACACAATTTTTTTAATAACTTTAAATTTCCAACAACTGGCCATGGAAAAGGACCTATAAGTAAATATAAATTATTATTCATATGTCTATTGTAAAAATTCTTCTTATTTATGCATTCTTCAAATAATCTTGTAAATTACACAGAAATATTTAAGTCAAACTATATGGTATCCATATTATAAAAATAATAAAATAACAGTATATCAGCAAAATTTACGAAATACTTGATGTTATATTGTAATTTAGAAAATCATCAGTTGACGCTTAGTATGAGTAATCATAATGTAAAATAAATAATTCCAGCGTGACATGCTGTTAATTCGATCAAGTGAGAGATAAAAGATAGCTTGATAGCAGAAGGAATGATAGTTGTTAGTAGGGATTTAAGAAAGAGAGCTGAGTGAATAAAAAACATGCTAGCGCTATTGGCTACCATCCAATTTTTAGGATCTATAATTGATTACCTGTTAAGATAAATTAAACCATAAAAGCTTAATATACCTGGTGGGATATCTTTTGGTCTTCGAAAATATATTATAGTAATAATGAAACATATTACAAATATAAGTAATAAATTAACAAACATAATGTAAATAATTAGAAACCGTAAAAAAGAATTGAGTTTAAAAAGATTTTATAGACGAGTCTGCTCGAAATACCCTGATAGAACTAGTACAATGAGTCTCTGTTATCCCTCGTTTTCTTGCTCATCTTCGTTTCCCTCCTCTTCCTACTTCTATATCCCTACTTATTTCCTTTGTACACGTGGTCATAAATAATTTCAAACCATAACTAGTTTATGTATTTGACATCATCATATTCAAACGTTTATATAAACTCTTTTTTATTGGAATTAATTTTTTTTACAAATCAACTACAATAATATGTACATAAATTAACAACATTCGCAGACTTATATAAGATCAAAATCTCCTTCAGTTTTTCGCTTTTTCACGCCAAACTTTTTTCCACGTATTTGGGAATTTTTCCTTTTCTTTGCTTCTCTTTTTCGTTGCTGTCTAATTATTTTCTTCTTGGCTGCAAACTCTGGATCTGTAATTACCTGTAATACAAAATCACATGGATCAATATTAAAAATACATGATTTTCAAATTTTGTTATAAAAATTATTTCTTATAAGAAAAATAATTCAATAGATTATTTACCCTTTGTGTTTGAGTCTTTCTTCTTTCAGCTTTCTTAGTATCAATTTTTTCTTGAACCTTCATCAATAATCTCACGTATTCTTCATCCCCAATTTTTTTCTTGATCATTTTAGCAACGTCTTTGGCTAACTGTTTTAGTGATGGATTAGGTTCCACTGCAATCATCATTTCTCTGACAAGCGGTGATATCATTTGAAAAAGAATAGGCTCTAAAAATGGCTTAACAGGAATCGTTGCGACAACTCCAGCAATCCATTTAAATACTGCTGTTCTCTGCAAAAAAAATTGCGACATCATTTGTAGTGACGAGAACTTGAATACATTACATTTTTTCAATAGAAAGTTATTCAAAGATCTCTTTATTAAGCCTGAAAGCTACTGTGACATCTCTCTTTTTTTCTTTTTATTTAACTATTTATAAAATCTATATTCATAAATCACGACCCACACATTAAATATTTGACTCTAGAGCACATTATGCCAAATAGTTAAATTTACATGAAATAAAAAATTATAAAATAATAAAAATGAATGAAATACATTATAGAAGTATATGAAATTGAACATAAACAAGAGAAAGGTACATTATGGAGTAAATTTCTTTTCTTTTAGCCATTTAAAGATAAGTTAATTTTTTCTAGATACTTGGCTATGCTTTCAGTGTTCGTTAATGAACACAAAAACTTGATGGTATCGATTACACCAGATGAATAAATGGAATAAGAAATGAAAAAAAAAATAGTTCGTAAACTATCTAGTAAAATACTCACCACATTGATTGATTTAGAGTTCTGCACTATTTCAATATTTATACATTTACGTAGCCACTTCATCATCCAAAAATTTGAAATTCCAGAATGGAATTCATTTTTATTTTCATTTAAACTGGTTTTATTCCAAGATAATGTTTTAATCACTCTTGATATAAAAACAAGATTCTTCACAACTTGGTCAAAAAACTCTTCCACTTCTATTCCTGGTTGTAATTGAGCGATTAAATCCAAACTTAGACTTTTTAAAGTCTTTAAAGGACTTGAATAAATATATCCTTTAACTTTTTCTTCATCTTCTCCTATATTGTTATCTTCTGACGAATTCGCTTTTAACTCCGTAGCTTGAATGAGCTTAATTAATTTGTCTTCATTAATCGTTGCTAAAATGAATCCTATTTGTTGTGCTGCTGCAAGTCTAACCCACAAATGAGGATGTGCTAGATATTCTTGTGATCGTTCAGCAATGAACTGGATAGAATCAACATATTTATCTGATTTTAAAAATATGGGACAGTTTGAAGAAATTTTTAATGTCAATTGAAGAACTTGGAAAGCATGGTGATCTTTTATTCTTTCTTCATCTTCAATACTAAATTCTTCAACTTTATGTTCCCTTTTCCTTTTCTTCCGTCTTACAAACTTTCCAGGTTCATCGTCATTTTTTTGTTCATCATCATTAGTGAACTGTTGGATAATTAATGGTAGAACAGACTCTAATCTAGTTTCAAAACTATTTTTCTCAGTGGTAACAAAAATTCCACATAATTGCGCAGCCAGGCGCCGATGCATGATTATGGTGTCTTGAAACCAAGCTAAAATAATATCGAATAGTTTGGAACGTTGGTTATGAGGAACTCTAGTTATAATTTGTTTAATACATTGAGCAGCATGTTTACGACAAGTAGGGTCATCGTCGTTAACCAATCTAACACTAATCATTATAAAAAGTATCTCAGATTTATCTACAAGAACAGTTGAAGGAAAGCCAATTATGATACTGTGAAGCATTTCTAAAGCACTGAGTCTTCCACTTTGTACTTCATAATCCATTTGTGTTAAATAAAATCTTAAATGTTTGTCCAATTTTTCTCCTAATGGATATTCCATTAAAAATTGATAAAATACTGCTCTACACTGTTGTCGAACATTTTCAGAATCCGAAGTAATACTTAGAACAGCAACTTTTTTCATAACTCGATGAATTTGAAACACATTCAACCGTCTTCCAATAATTGCTCGCAATAGATTGAATGCTGTAGCTTGTTTTTCGTAATCATGAAGATCCTGTTCTGCGTATAAAACAAGAACCTTGACCTCATCATAAGTCATTTCGAAATCTTTAAGATCTCGAATAATAACTGACATTGTTTTGAATGCAGCCATAACCAGGTCGAAGTTATCACCTTTTTTAAGACCAGCAACACCATATTTGTGTAAAATCTTGAAAATTAAGGAACAAATTTCTTTAATATTAGTATGAACAGCTTCTAAATCCATTTTTAAAACCCAATTAAGACACTGTAGAGCTAGTGTACTCAATTTCACATGTTGAGATGTTAAGCAGTCAGATAAAATTGTTACAAATGGATTCAAATAAGACTCGAAAGCATCACCAGCTACTTTTTCTCTTTTCAATAAAATATGTAAAAGTTTCAAACCAAATTCCAGCATAATATGATCATTTGTGGAGCCGGTAGTTTTAGCAGATGCTTTAATACCAGATCTGCTTTTAGGCTCTGGAGGAATAATGTAACAATCTGGTTTTTCAATTGGAGATTTTGAAGATTTTTCATTTTCTTTGTCTTTCTTTTTATTTGGATTGAAACTAGGAATACTTTTCGAAACAATTCCATAAAGAAAAATAAGCATTTTGTCACTCGGTATAAATGTATTGTCTGCTAAACCTAAAACAGTATGTCTTAGACACTCCGTGACTTTTCTGACAGTTTTATGACTCCGCGTTTCATTTAAAACATCGCTGAGAGGTTGAACAAGATCCACAAGACATGATTCGTTGATAAATTGACTAAGGATATGAAATATATCAAAACTTTTAGTTGATTTTGCTTCAGATACATTTTTTGTTATTGCCGTTACTTCTTTTTCTTCTGCGCTGAGACCAAAAAGATCAACTTTGCATACTTGAAGAATACTCTGAAGATTATCATTCATGTGAGTAGGCGTCAAGAATGGTTTTAATGAAGTTAGAACAGCTTGAATAGTATAGGCTAACACATGAATTTGAAATCCTTTAGTCAATAGAGAATTCGTTTCTCTTAGAAGATAGTGTAAATAATTAGGACCTAGAGTAATCATTATTTTTTGAAGAATTTCTCTTGTGGCACGTCTTACTGAGTCAAGTCTTGATTTTAAGAATGTACAAAGTTTCATGAATATTCCTGGAAGATTTCTTTCAATTAAATTTTCTGGAAGTTTTTGGAGTAATTTAACAAGAGCGAGAGCTATTGGTACTCTCATTAATTCTTCTTCTTCTTTATCTATTCCATGTTGTTTTCTATTTAATTTATGACTCATTTCATGTTGAGTTCGTGCAAGAATTGAACGATTAAGCTGTGGTAAAAATGTATGAGTAATTTCAAATACTAATTTTTTAGCTTCAGACGGAGAAAGAATTGTTTGCTTCTCCATAATCAATTCTTCAACTTCCAATTCTGGTTCTTTATCAACTGATTTTTCATTTTCTTCTTCACTTTCTTCTTCAATTTCTTCTTCATCTTCATTTTCTTGTGCTAACTTTTCCTCTAACAATTCTTCAGCAGTAATTGTTATTTGATGATCAACTTTTTCGTCATTTTGATCAACCTCATCTTTTTTTTCAGTACTTTGTTCAATTAAGTCTGTAGAATCTACTTTCTCCTGTTCCGATGTCATCTCAACATTAGTTGATTTTTCAGAATCTTGCACTTCTTCTTTCTGATTCTTTTTAGGTTCATTTAAATTTTTAATATCTTGTATTTCTTCTTTCTCTCCAATTAGACTTTCATTGAGAGTCTTAAGTTTTGATAGATCGTAATGAAAAGCATCTAAGATAGCAACAATCACTCGCACAATTTGCTTCCTGAATTCACTTTGAGTTCTTAATTTACTTAAATAAATCTTTAAAATCAGTGAATAATGATACCAGGGTAATAACCTGCAGACAGTTCCCACGGTTTCTATGGCAGAATCAACAATACTATTTTTCCCAGTAAAAGATTCATTGCATAGATAAAATGAAGCTACAGGAAAAATGAATTGCGTTAATGTTTTGGTATTTGGAGGTTTTTTTAAAGTCTTTGAAACTGAGCAAAATTTTAGTAATGCTCTCACTTTTTTGTGCAACTGTAGATGTAGCAGATTTTCAAAAAAATCTCCATCAGGATCATTCTTATTTGTCAATAAATGTAAATCTTGAAAAACTGGATGATCATCTGAACATTCCATGGCCATGACACCCAGAAAAGAAATAGATTGAAATCGAACAGCATTATTTCTGTTTTTCATTCCATCTTTAATCAAATTTAATATTGTATCATCAATTAAATATTTTCGATCACTAGGATTATTTTTACAGATTTTAACCAATTTTGGTCCTAAAGCATTTAAACACTGTCCTGATGAATCTTTCATAGCCAAATCACTTTCATTATAAAGGAAATAAAAACAATTATATAAAACAGCAACACCAAATTCTACATTTAAACTATGACTCTTCTCATCCTCTCCAGATATCATAGCATTAATTTCACTAAAAGCATCAATTCTTTTATCATAGTCTGGATGTTCAAGCCATTTTTCATTTACTGCGTTCAAATTTTTTAAGACACTAATATTTTTAATCATAATTTCTTTAGAAAGTGATTCTGATGAATTTGAAACATTATTTGCGATTGCCTCAAGCAACGTCAAAAGTAATCTTCTAGGCGGCGCAGAAGATATGTTTAATAACAGTGGCAAAATAGCTCTTATATGAATCTCAGGTTTTGTTACAGTCTTCATAAGATTAGCAATTGTAGTCAGCAAATCTATTATTGTATCTTCAGATTCTCCTCTTGATGCTTTTTTTACTAAAATCGGTAACAATAAAGACAATAAAATATTTGATGAATCGGAATCTAAATTTAATTCCGAGATTCTCGAAAGAACTGTAGTTTCCACTTTATTTACATTCATTTTAAACCTTTTAAGTTTACGTTTTATGTAATTTAAAATATCAGAAACATAAGGAAATAAAATTGCAGATCCATAGTTGAGTGTTGATCCTGGCAAAACAGCATTAGGATCAATTTCAATAACATTTCTTGGATATATTGGAATTTTTGGCAAAGCATCATCAACTTCCATAGCATTTTCAGACACTGACTCATAATCTGCTAGTGTTAATAACTTTTCAATCATTTCTAAAATAACATTGGCCACTCCTGGATGTATTTTTTCATTTAAAAGAAGCTTCATGATGAAAGGAAGAGGTGAGAAATTTTTGTTGTTATTTTTATGTTTGACAAGAAGACAAAAATATCTTGAATTATGACACCAAGTTGAAAGAAGTTTCAGAAAAGCTGTAGGACTGTAAATACCTTCAAAAGGAAGTTTTTCTAACCAAGGAAACACTGCAACATCGAATACAGCATCCAATTCTGATGGAGACCAAGGATATGTTTCAAAATGTGCAAAAAATCTCGTTAAAATTCCAAAACAACTTGTTCTGAGTTCTTTAATTGTTGATAAAAATCCTAAAAGGACGTTTTCTGATTTTTCTAAAATGCTTTTTATCTCAGCAAATACGCATATGAGCATTGCAAGAAGCTTTGGTAATAAATTATTGGACATTTTTGCTCCAAATTCTTCAATAACAATTCCTAATAAATTTACTGCACTTCTCAATCGTGCTGGAGGAATAACATTCGATAAACTGAGTTTCTCTGATATTAATGTTGTTAATTGTGTTAAATCCTCTATTTTATTATCAGAAGAAAGATCAATATTATACCGTTCAAGGGGTTTAAAAGCCATTTTAGCAAAGAGAATCATTTCTTCTTCTTTTACACCCATCAAAAATCGCAAAATAATTTTTCTTCTAGCAAGACCTCCAGCTGCACCAGCAGCTCTTCCAGATCCTCTTGTTACTAATTTGGCATAAATTATTCTCATTAAAATTGGCATCAAAAATTCTCGATGCTCTGGTTGAATCGTATCTTCCGTTTCTTCATCATCAGCTATTTTAAAGCGTGCTAACTCATTTCTTAAATTTTTTTCATCAATAAGACCATACAAATGATCTTTGTAGGGCAATAAATTCTTCCGTTTGTAGGCGAATATACAATCTAAGACGCTTTTTTGCAGCTCTGGACTTTTAAACGTTAATAATGTCATGTAGATCTCATTTAGCTCTGCTTCTTTATATAAAACTCTAGGATTCTGCATTAATGAAAGTAATTTCAACTGAGCCAATAATATTTTAAAAATTGGCTTTCCTGTTTTTCTCAATTTTTGATTCTTCGAATTTTTATCTGGCTTTTCTTTATTTACTTTTTCTTTTTGTTCATCTTCTTTTTCATTACTCTCTTCATCTTCCTCTTCTTCATCTGATTCTTCAGCTTTTTCAAGCAACGTGTCATCTATTTCTTGCCTTTTTTCAATACTATAAGCTTTAATAGTATCAGAATTAGCTTTAAAATAATTACGTTCAATTAATTCAATAAATAAAACTGTAAAATCACGATTTCTACTTTCACAATATCCTGGAAATTCACTCAAACATTTCCAAAGAAGATATTTATAGTTGTCGAAATCAGGTTTATCATTTATCTCCAATCGTTTAGATAGATTTTGCAAACTGTTGCATTCAAATATATCACAAATGTTAGTAACATTATTAGCATGAAGCTTTTCATTGTCTTGTTTTAATTCCTCCATTAAAATTGGCCAAAATTGTGCACACTGTTCATCAGCATAAGAAGCGATAGCTTTGATAACTGGATTCCATAGAAGAGAAAAATTGATGTATAAATTCCCTAATAAATATCTAAGTGAACACTCATAATATTTTGGATTTAGATTTGTAACACCTCGAGTTTCAAACGATAATGCTTCTAGATGAATTAATCGATTCCGATAAGTTTGAACGGTCACTTCAACATTTTCTGCCATAAATAAATGTTTTAATACATTACTATCTTCTTCTTTTTCTGTAACAAATATTTCTTTAACATTTGCAAAAAGACTGTAGAGATGACAGACGGTCGATCGTATTCGTGAAAATGGTGATCCAAGTTGTTTTACTAAATTTTCATTTAACTTATCGAAGGTTTCTTTATTTAAATATTTTTTGTTATATTCACTTTTTGAAATATAAGTATAAAAAAGATCTAGACTGTTTAGAATATTTTGATCGTTATAATACCTTTCAATTAATTTTAGAAAATCGATTCTATGTTCTTCTAAGAATTCCTCAAATGTTTTTTCATTCATTATACGAATCATAGTGTGAAGAATGAGTAAAAATGCAAAACTTTTTCTGCCAATGTTACTCTCACAATTTTCATTCATTAAAGTTTCATATACTGAAACAAAAATATTTTTCAATTCTTTAATTAAGTCCTCATTTATTGGAATAATGTGCGGTAAAATAACAACAACTTTCAAAGAATCTTCATTGATAAGATTCGTTTCATAATTAACATGTTTCCAATTCTCTAATTTATCTTTAAACAATCCTCGAATTTTTACGGGAAAAGTTCGTAAATCTAAATTTAATTTTCTCCAAGAATCTTTTTCATATCCATTGAGACTTGGAGGTACTTTTGAAGTAATTATTTCGGTAAAGAGGTCTAATTCTTCATCAGTGAGCTCTTCTCTGAGTATACTTCTTTGTAATGTCATGGGAAGAACTAGAGTTTCAAAAGATGAATGATTAATTAATTTTTTTATTGCATAAATAAGCATTTTTCTGTTGCTAATTGACATTAATTTTGAAACTAGTTCATTACATGTCTCTTGACTCAATTTGATACCTTCTGCAAGCAATATTGTAGCAGATAAATCAATCATCTCAATCAAAATATTTTCACTCTGAGTTTCATAGATTGAAATTCCTTTAATAATTCTGGAAATTAGAACTGATGGATTTTGAAGTATTTTTCCATATTTGTATTCTACAACAGGAATAATTAACTTTATCAAAGCCATTAACATTTCGTTTTTCTTCTCATTACTTCCTGCAGTCAATAAAATATCATCCAATTTTTTCACAACTACCTCCCAAAAAATTGCATTGTGTTTGAAATTGATTTGAGTTGCAATACATGTAAATACTTGATGTAAAACATCAAAAGCTAATTTTTGATCAATACAATCATTAATTAAAGCATCTAAATAAAGATTAAGCATTGATTCAGCACAAGAATGAAATTGTCCAGATATACCAGAAATTACTTCAAATAAAAGTTTTCCACATCCAACAACTCCATTTGGAGTTTCTTCTAAAATTGTAAATAAGAGCTTCAAAAATGCTTCTCGATCTCGCACTTTTCTAGCAACAAAAGCAAAGCTTTCTGCAGCAAAATTATTGATGTAAGATGGCTTAGAATCCACTAATAAAGGCAATAAAAGCTTGAAAGTTTTATCGATATTTTTGACTAAGTATCTCCAGAGAAACTTGAATAAATAAGCCAGTGTTGTAAAGGCATACTCAACAATTTCAGGATCTTTCATGTTCAAGAGATCAATAATAAGAGTGAGAAAGTGTGGAAAGTATTCATAAAAATCAATCTGAAGGTCTTTTGCCGTTGCTATAACCATCTCTAAAATAGGTTGAAGAAATGCTACATTCTTCATTTCTAGATACTTTGTCAATGATGCAATTACTTCCTCTTTATGGTTTATTAATTGCGGAAGAGTAATTACATGTTTCACTTCGTTTTTAAAACTCGTATACCCTTCTGTGAGATTTAAATCGTTCCATTTTGTTAATGTTTTGTAAAAGTTTGATTCTAAAGATTCTTCATCGGCATCATTTTCCTCATTTCTATGAGCTACTCGATGAAATACATCAACATCGATTTCAGATATTCGATCAGCAAATCTTTTGAACTATATTTGAAAAATATGAATTAAAATCATTAATAAACATATCAATAATAAGTATCAGCAATGTAACTAAAGAGGTTATTTTACCTTAAAAGTATTTGTTTCTTTATGCCGAACAGGTTTATTCTTCATTTTGATATTCCACTATTTACCACTGTATTACAAAATTAATAAATTAATTATGGTTTAGAACAAATAAATTATTTTCCACAAATAAACTTGTTTTGAGTAACAAGTTTATATAACAATACTACATACAAAACACGTGTTTCTAACCTATAAATCGAAAGAACAAAAAGGCGTGTATAAATTTGAACACAATCGCGATGAATAATCTCAGTTACGCCATCTAGTGTATTTGTTTTGTAAGATCGGTAAAGAAAATAACTATTTCTCTATATATATAGCATCTATAGAGCATTTTCCATGCTATAGAGTATACTGTTGATATGAAAGATCCTGACCATATTTTCCGTAAACACATGTGTGTGAATAAATCTAACCTAAAATTGGTTTGTTGTCATTGTAAAAAATTGTTTATTTACGTTTTAATTGTGAATAAGTATGCATTTTATTGTGATTTAACAATTTTATAGAATAAATGGAGGAAAATTCGCGAAATAATTCTCGGAAGGAGAAAAAACATAAATTAGATAGTTCAACTGAGCAATATTCTCATTTAAATGCCACCACGTCTGAGGATACTTCATTTACAAAAATTAAAAAGAAAAGAAAAAGAGAAAAAGGTATTTTCAATATATTTTCTCCTGAAAATTTTCATTATTTTCGATCATGATTTTTTTATAACTTTTACATACAAATATTAATAAAACATATAATTTATTATTTTCAAAATATTTCAGATCATAGCTTAGAAAGAGAAGCTACAGAGCAAATTGAAGTAGATGATAATAATTCTGATGCAAATGAAGTAACGCACAAATATTCGAAGATTAAATCTTCAGATGATGTTGATAGTAGAAAAAGAAAAAAAGTAAAAACAGAATCAGGCATTGAAAATAATAACAACTATAATGATAATCATGCATCTGATCTCTCTAGTGATGATAGATATAAAAAGAAAAACAAGAAAAAACATAAAAAAGTTGAAACTTCAGAAGTGTCTCTTAATGAAAATTTTAATGGTGTTGAAGCTATTAGTGCCGATAATGAAAAAGTTAAAATAGAAAGTGATATGGAGACCGATCATGCGATAAAATATCTTGAAAATAATGATTTCCATATCAATTGTGAATTAGATACCCTCAGTATTAAAAAGAAGAAAAAGAAGAAAAAGAAAGAAAGAATTGACGAATCGAATATACATACAAATCAGGGCCTAGAAGATATTAAAGTTGAAGATCAATTGCAATATACAAATAGTCAATTATTAGGTTTTAATTACTTAACTGATAATATTGATACTAGTGTTAAAAAAAAGAAAAAGAAAAAACATAAGGATGTAAAAATCGAAAACGCTCTCTTAGATAATCAATCTGAATCAAAAACTGAAGTAAAAGTACAAGTTGAAAATGGAGTAACGGATTCTGATACAAAGGTAAAAAATGAAACTAATCAAGAATCATCCATCTACTCATCAACTGAGATACATATTAGCATAAACATTCAGAATGTGATGAAGTTAATTATTGCTTAAATGATTCAAGTATTAAAACTGAAAAAGAAAAGGAAGTAGAAATTGAAGATGAAAACAATATTGATGAAAATCATAAAAAAAGTAAAAAAAATAAGCACAAACAAGAAACGAATAATGAAACAGTAGAAATAGATTCGTTGATAAAAGAAAACGATTGTATTGAAGAAAAAGATGGTCTGGAATCATCCCAAAAAGAAAAAAGTAAAAAGAAAAAGAGTAAAAAGCATAGTAATGAAATAGATGTTATTGAAGAAGAAATCGATACAAAACATATTGAACTTATTGAATCTCAGCATAAAAAGAAAAAAAAGAAAAAACATATAAAGGAATTAGTAGAAGAAGAATCAGAACCTGTGCATCTAGATTTAGATTATGAGACTTCTAATCAAATTAAAATTGATGAAGAACACGTGTCTATTCGCAATTGTAAGAAAAAAAAAAAGAAACATTCGACAGATTCGGAACCTGTACATCTAGACTTGGATTATGTGGCTTCTGATCAAGATAAAATTCAAAAAGATTATTGCGATCGTTACAATAATAAGAAAAAAGATTCAGAAGACTCGGAACCTGTACATCTAGACTTAGATTACATAGCTTCTGATCAAGAAACCAAAAGAAAAGACCAGATTGATAGTCTCAGTTATAAGAAAAAAAAGAAAAAACATAAACACCATAAGGAAGCGAGAGCATTTGAAAACGAAACAGACTGCGATTCACCAAAGACAAGATATGAAAAAATGGAAAAAATCCTTCAAGAAGAAAGTTCCATAAAGGATACATCAAATAAACAGCCTGAAGAAAGTAGTGGTTTTGAATCAGAAGAAGGCGATTATAGTGAAAGTGAAAGGATTCCTAGAATGAGCAAAACAAAACCATCAATTTTTATTAAGTATCCCAAATTAGCTAGGATTATGCAAGATTCAGAAAGTGATGACAATTATCCACATCTACAGCACCGAAAACTAACTTTATCTGAGGCTCTGGTAATTATTAAAAATTATACTGAATATTTTTCAAATTCGTTTACTTAAATACTTTTTTCTTATTCCATAGAAACTGTCAGAACTTGAAATTCAATTACGGCATGAACCACCACCACAGCATCAAATAGAAAAGTATCCAGGTACTTGTACTTTGACTGTAGAAGAAAAAAAAAAGTTTATGGAACATTGCGAATTAAAGAGTGGTAGATTTACTTATGAAGAAGATCAAAGAATAGTTCATAATTGGAAAAAATTCTGCAAAGTATGTATTTATTTATTTTGGATTATAATTTAGTTACTGTAACTAAACTGTTTTATTATTGTAGACGCATGGATGGAGAAGATCATTAATTTATCCATTCTTACATCAAACAAAGAAAGGATTCTTTTATATTGCTTCAGTCGAAGGAAGAAAGAAATTCGTTCAATTCTTAGCAAAAGGTTTGCTCAACAGAAGTCTGTACAGTGTTTATAATCGTTTTAGAAATTTATATGGTACTCATAAAAAAACTAGGTAATTAATAAATTGTATGACTAGAAGAAAGTAAAAAATTAAGCATAAAAAATATAAAATTTCTTTTGATATTTCTAGGTATACAAAAGAAGAAGATGAACTACTAATGAAAGAAGTTAAAGATCCGTATGGTCGTAATAGATTTTCATTGATTGGAAGAAAATTGAACAGAACAAGAGCATCTGTATGGCGACGTTATAAATTGTTGCTTGCAAAGAAAAAAGAAAACTCAGATACTGAAGATGAAGTAACAAATAAATCAACCAATAAATAAATTTAGGGAAACATTTCTTTTAAATCTCGATCTAAATGCGACCGAAATTTTTATTTCTCATAGAAATAATTAGTGTAATTTATGAATGGCAAAATTGAATTAGGTTGAAATGTGAAGATATGTCAAATTTTGCGATTCATAAAACCAGAGCCATTACACTTCCCACTGAGAAGTTAGTTAAATTGTAAATAAAAAAACTAGGTTATAAGAATTATTTAAGCATATTTATAGAAAAAAGAGTACATTGATAACTTTTAGTATCAAAGAACCTATTTTTAATACATGATTATATAACATTCGTTCAATACATCTTTTATCAAGCATTCATCAATAAAAAAATTACTACAATTTAGAATCTAAAAAAACTATTATGCATTACTAAGAATTATAAACTTTTTGTACAGATGTCAACATGTATTTTACCATCAATACATAAATGTGTAATTGATCATTCTATTGTCGAAATTTAGAGTGGTTAATGAGTTTATCAAGATAGAAAACTACTACTTAAAGCCATCATCATTTAATGTGAGTAAAAAATAATACTCTAATCGATTTAACATCATTATAGCATTGATGAGGCAGCGATTCGGTAATTTTTAATTTTAAATTTTAAAATAATAACGATTATGATAATTTTCATTATTATCATCATTATTAATGTTATTATTGTTAGAATAATTCAGTCTCCTTTTGATGACACAATATCACTGCTCAAATTATTGAGAAATGGAGAACATTTTTTATCTACATTTTAATTATTTCAATTAGTTGTTATGTTCTCAAAACATATTTAAATATTTTGAATATATTGTTATATTATTCACAGTTTTTCGTCTTTTATTTGACGGTTTGCTTTAAAATGTTGGACCAATGAAGGCCATAGGCCTTACAGGCGATTCTACATTAATATGAATATGATGAGTAACATGAGAAAGAGGATCATCTTGTAAAATTTCACCATATTGCGCTTTACAACGCTTCTGATGAGCGAATAAACTTCCACTGTGACTGTAGGCAGCACCACATGTTTTACAAACATACGGTTTCTCTCCAGAGTGCGTGTAAGTATGTTCCTTTAAAGTACTCAGCCTTTTGAATGCTTTGCCGCAGGTTTTACAAAGATAATTGGCTTCGCCAGTGTGACGGGTTAAGTGACGCCGGAAAGCAGAACTGACGGCAAATGCAGCGCTACAAACATGGCAAACGAAAGGTTTATCACCAGTGTGAATACGAATGTGATTAGCAAGACTCGTAGTAGTCGTAAAACCACTGTTGCATGTTTTACAGACGTGAGGCTTCACTCCTGAGTGTGTTCTCATGTGATACGTCAAAGAAGAATTGCTTGGATAAACTTTGCTGCAGATATGACAAAGATACTCACGAGGAACTTTTTCTTTTGGCTTATTGTGAGTTTTCTGATGAAGAACAAGACGTGCTTGACTTGCACAAACCTTTTTACAAATCTCACACGTCACAGGCTCAGCTTTTGGCTTATGCATCGAAACGTGTCTTCTTAAACCTGTTTTCGTTGCCATTATTTTATCACAATGCTGACATTTATACTTGCCTGATCCATCTTCATCACTCTCCTCTTTCTTAGTTTGATCATTAGATGTCATATTACTATTGGAAGTACGATTAAAGCTTTCATCATCTGACTCATACAATTTATTTTCATCAGCCAAATTATCTAAAAGTCCGTGTCCGTGTTTCTCTGCATGTTTCTTCAAAGTATCGGGTCGGAAGAACCATTTTTTACACACCGTGCAAGAATATTTCTTTTCTCCGTGAACTAGTGCGTGTCTTTTAAGATTTTTTAAAGTTGAACAAAATTGATTACACATTCCACACTTGTACAACCCTGGCGCACTGTTGAATTCATCTTGTTCATTTGTCTGATTGCAATCCTGGCCCAACTCATCATCATCTGACTCATTTTCATGCTTCATGTCTTTCTTATTGTCACTGACATTACTATTAATATTATTATTATTTCCTTGTGTATTATCTGTCTTTTCTGAATGAGTGTTTAGATGTCTTGCTAAACTCTGTGGCTTAGCAAAACAAGCATGGCATAATTGACAAGCGTGTGGTTTCGATTCATGAATTTTCTGATGTTTTTCTAAGTTTTCGATTTTATAAAATGATTTTAAACACGTAGAACATTTGTGTACTTTGTGATGAACTAGTGAATGATTTTGTAAACCTTTATGAGTGCTATAACGTTTAGAACACATTTTACATTTAAATTTTTGTTTTTCATGACCATCATCGTCCTCATCCATCATCTCATCTATACTATAAGATTTTCCAGTAGGTTTCGCTTTACGTGTTGGTCTTTTAGGAGGTTCATCTTCCGTAACCTTTTCCCATTTATTTTCATTTTCTCCAGGCTGTATTTGCGATTCTGTTTTTTCTTCTTGTTCTATATCTTCCTCCTCATCTTCTTCATCTTCATCTAAGATTCCTTCATCACCTAGAATCTCTCCTTCTTCTTCCTCAGCTAACGCTTCTTCTTCATCAGCACTTGCTGACGTTAATAGATGTTCATTAATATACTCTTCTGTTGATACGTTTTTCATCTCACTTATTATTGTAACGTTTTGATTCTCTTGTAAGTTTTGATCTGTCTCTATTGCATTACTTATTGCCACTTCGGTAGCATCAGCTTGTTGAGAATCTTCATGCGTTTCTATTATTACAGTTCCTTTCTCTATTTCTTTAGCTCCATCAAATTGAATATTGCAAAGAAATAATTTATCTTCAGCTGCCATATGATTTCCATCGATTACTTCAGTTGTCATATGATTTCCGTCTACATCAATTGTTTCAGTCGTTTCATAGACTTCTATTGTATTTGATAAATCTTGATTTAATGCTTGAATTTCTTGTTTTACAAAATAATTAGGTTGAGAATTGATTGTTTTTGTCACAATAATATTTGTCTGTAGCTCCGTTTGAGTACTCGAATCCTAAAATTATTAGAAATATTTTATTTTAATTAAGTGTTATTTTAACGTTAAATTTAGTTGATTTGTAAACGAGCTTTTTTGTTCGTTATGTCATTCACAAGTCAAAAAAAATTAGTGACACTATTTTTATACTTAAATACTCACTATAAAATTAGATCGAGCAGGTTTATTATAATACAACCGAAGTCGAGCATCGGAATGCTGACATTGTTGACGAAATTCATGTGCCACATTAGCTTTGTAGATGCAAACATCACAGATCAATGAAGGCAGACCATCTCTTTCATGAATTTCAATTGCACCACATGTTTGGATTCTTTGTGAGAGTTCAGAAGTTTCTCCTGATTCTTGATTTAAGCTAAATATTGATGATAAATTATTACATTCAGAAAGACATAATCTACAAACCCTGTCCATATGAGGAGGCATTTCAAAATAATTTACGCTCATTGTTTCGGCTTAATTAAAGACTTGTTTTTTTCTGAAATAAATGATTATATTTAGCCGCAAAAAATATAAAAAATAATCATAATGATAAGCAGAAGTCACTTACTAAATTTGATTAAATTATTTTGCATGTGTTATTGTAACAAATTTAAATAAGTGATAAGAAAAACAATTAAAATAACTGGTGCTCAACTTTAATTGGTGAATAAACTCTTGAGATCATGCCACGATTGTTGAATCTCGATTCTAATTTTTGAAGTTCAGTGAATCATCTCGTTGTTCTTAATTTACTACTTGATTGTCTACATTATTATACAATATCACATTATTTCACGTTAAACAATTCCAACAAGTAGATTTCATTGTTTTTTCACGTTCGAAAACTTAACTTTCTTCTTTGTTCAATGGCTTCCAAAAACTCTTCCTTTTCGTTGAGCAACCACAAACTAAACACGATCGAACTGAAGATAGAAACCGAGACAAGTTGAGAACAATTATTTTCTCATTGAAAAGACAAGATGGTAGAGAAGAAATTTTTTACGTAAATTAGTTTGGCGTCATCGAAGTAATTTTGGAGTTTTATCGACAGTCGATACTGAGGACGCCATATCGTAGTTCTTTACCATTGATTATGAATGGTGATAATGAATTAATTATTATTTATTATAATTGTTTAATAATATTTATTAAATTATAGATAAATACATAAATTTTTCGTCCATTGTTTTGAATATATTTATAGCTCCAAATCTAAATTTAATTGTAACATTATAATAAATTTCTTGTATGTATCAAAAAAATACATAAACTCATAATAAACATTTTTATTTTCAAAATTTTCATTATAGATACAGATTATAAGAATAAATAAACAAAACAAAAATAATTATTGTTCTAACCTAACCTTTGCGAATATTTATCAATTGCAGAGGACGCCATGTTTTGATTCCTCGATTAATAACAGTTTATTAACACAGGACACCAACGTTTATTTAATAAAATTTTTAAAACTAACAACAGAATATAATATGAATGACATTACATCCTAGACATGCAGTTAAAAAAATTATACTGAATAATAATAATCACAAAACTTTTATTGAACTTAAAATAAATCAATCTGCTTATGAGGTGCACAGCCATGCGGTCATAATTGTGGTGTAATGAATCAATTGGCATTTTAATGTGTAATGTCCACTGTCAATAAGCTGATTGCATACCAAACGAGTTATATTTGATACCTATATTGGCACGAAGAGGCGCTGTGAAGTTTAATAAAATTCTTTGGTATGTAAAAGGCCTTCAGTCAACATCTATCAGAAGTCAGTGTGCTGTCAAAAGTCGCACAAATACTTTTACTCCATTCCTCATCATATAAATTAATATTATCACTTTTTTATCTTTTAAATTCAAGTATTTCATCGTTAGTCAAAGTATAATCATCGGGGTAAAACAAATTAAAAATGGATTTGCAACAACAGATTGCTGAACTTCGACAAAAATTTTTCAAAAAAATTGATGAAGAAGGTGCTTCAGGTACAATTTTCGATCGTTTATAATTCATATATTTCATAAAATTATTTTATTTTATTTTATTATCAGTTATTCCTAAATCGATGATAAGCAAATTACTACTATTCTTAAAGATAGAAAATTTTAATTGGTTTAGAAAATTAATTGGATTAGTGATTTACATGATATTTTTTGCCCTTTGAACAGATGAGCTCAAAGGTCAATGTGTACAAGTAGTTGAACAATACCCTTGACTTTACTAATTAATTTTTTATATGATTTATTACATATTTCTACATCTTTTTTATGATTATAGAATTATTACTAAGTAAACTCCTCAATGAAACTAAAGTTTACTTTATTTTTTATGTAGCTAATTTTCATCCAAATGATTTGAACAGAGCAAAAACTCAAGATGACTGGTTACAAAGATTTCTAGTTCATTCGGAGTACAAAATTAATGAAGCTGTGAATATGATGTGGACCAGTTGTGAATGGAGAAAAAATGTTGGTGCCAATGGTAAGAAATGTCTTACATTGAATGCTTATTATAGAGCCATTTATTTATATAATTATTTTAGACATAACTGAAGAGAATGTTAAACAAGAAATTCTTGAGGAAGGAATTTTTTTCCCATATGGTAAAGATAAAGATGGCAAAACACTATTTGTCATCAAGTGTAAATTGTATGTAAAAGGTGTCAGAGATACTGCAGAACTTCAAAGATGTGTCATTTATTGGCTTGAGAGACTTGAAAGGTGCTCTTTTTTACTTATATTTTATCACCTTGAACTATCAATATTGAATGAATATACATTAATTCTTTTATATCATTCTTTTTAATATATTTTAGAGAAGGAAATGGTGATCAAATAACGATATTTTTTGATCTAACTGATTCTGGTTTATCGAATTTGGATACAGATTTTATAAGATACATAGTCAATCTCTTGAAAAATTATTATCCTAATTTTTTGAACAATATTATTCTACTTGAGCTTCCATGGGTGTTAAATGCAATATTAAAGATAATTAAAACCTGGTTGCCACCTCAAGCAATACCAAAGATCAAACAAGTCAATAAAGCCGGTTTAAAAGAATTTGTAGATTCAGATGTTGCCTTAAAAAGCTGGGGAGGAACAAGCGATTTTGTTTTTAAATTTACTCCAGAAATTCGTAATAATACTATTGATAATGAAAATGGAAAACTAGATAATAAAAAAGTACACTTTGCTGAAGGATCTCCTCTGAATGAACAAGCTCCTTCTAATTTTGGAGAACAAAGTTTTGAAGAGACAAGTATATCAATTAGACTATAAAATTTTCAAAAAGCTTTTACTTTATTATTCTTACATTTATTATCTTATTGTTTTGCAGTGCTTTCCATTATTCCAGAAGTAATCTCATTTAATAAAGAAGGCCAAGAAGTTGTAGGGACTCTTCAATTAAAAAATCAAACTACAGACAAGTGTCTTTCGTATAAAGTAAAACAAAATTTTCAAAAATATTAACTTGCTAAATAGAATCTATTCTCTAATGTTGATTTCAACTAATTGACGTTACAGATAAAAACAACAGCACCAGAAAAATTCAGAGTACGTAAAAGTAATGGTGTTCTCCTCCCAGGGCAGCAAATTACGGTTACTGTTTCACTCCAACCTGGCTTTAATCTACGTAGTTTATTGCACAATAAATTCTTAGTTATGTGTCTCCCTATGAAAGACTCTAAAATGACAGCTGAAGATTTGACAGAATTTTGGAAGGTACAAAACATATATCAATTTTATTCACTAATGAAACTATTCTATTAAAATTTATCGTGTTGACGTTTATTGATCTTTTTACTGACAGTGTATTTTTAAAGAGATCAATAAGAATTATACAGATTGAAAATTTCAAATGCTATTGAATATTCACGAACATCAATAAATAAATATTTTCAAAATTTAATTTTTAACTTTCAATGAGAAATATCAAAATTTTATTCTTATTATAGATAATAACTTTAATTTGTTTTTAGACAAATGGAAATTCAGCTGAACAACATAGAGTATGGTGTCGCGAAGGCGGAACTGAAACAGGTTCAATTTTATCATCGTCAACAATAAGCAATGATCGTGTCAGTGATAATCTATATGCTAAGGTAATATAACATATTTAATGAAAATAATTTGGAGTGCTGAAGATATTATCAATAAGATATAAATATATCAATATTAGTCCATTAAATGAGAATGTCATTTATCAATCATTTTAGATAGCACACTTAGAAGAGTGTCATACGAAATTACACAAAGATCTACGAACTTTGAAGCATGTAATGATAGTATCAATTATTTGGACAGTCATAGCAGCTATCACTATAATTTATATCCTTCGTTCAGACATTGAAAATGTTTTGGGGAGTGAGCAAAGCTGCCACATGCATCGAGAATAATACTGGGCTTAGTGATAGACGCTTATAATTTGTATAATTATTGATTAGAAGAAAAGCTTAGCCTACATGTATTTATAAAACTTCGAAAATTCCTGTGCTACTAAGACTACCAAGGAGTGACTTGGACTGTGTAAATAATTTATCAGCATTTTTATTCATTCCTAAATTGTACTTGCAAATGTTTTTTTAGTCTCTTCTTCAAGAATGAACTTCACTTATAGTGAAAAGTAACCTCATATACTGCATAAATGATATTGAAGAAGAGAGAAATATTTTTGTAAGCTTTTATACTAATATTTATACGAATCTGTGAGTGTGAGCAATCATGATACAATGAAAATTTTGAATACAGTGATATTATACGCGCAAGTTTTCTTATATTTCTTACGTATAATCAGAAAAGAGAGACTTATCCTCTCTAAGAGACGGCTCTCTTTTTTGGTATAATTCAACTGAGATCTATTAATTTAACCAACTGAAAATATTTAATGCACATTAATAAAGTTAAAAAATTGTTATTATTATTATAAATACTGTAAGGATAAGGAGTATACATATATATATATATATACATATATTTTATAAAATATAAATCTAAAATTTATTAAATTAAAAGAAAAATTGTTTACTATAAAACTTCGTGATCTAAATGATGTTATGATAAGAATAAAATGATTTGTAAAGAATATTTACTTTCCAAACAAAATTTGCAATTACTGTACTAATACTATATAATTATTGAAAAAAGATAATTTAACAAATTATTATTATTCCACAATTCATCGGTTGTTTTCGTCAATGACGACAATTGACGAAATTTCAAGTGGTGGGGATAATTGTCTGCAAGAGATTTCTCCTACTCTTGACCCACAGAAGTCACTCGGCTATGAGTTTCCCGCCCTTTTCATGTAGCGTCCATTTTCGTCCGTCCGCTGGCGTTAGTAGTCGAGTTTGGTGCGTCCTCTGCATTAAGCGCGCGCGTTATCGTCTCAAAATAATATTTGAGTGCATAAATTCATCAATCAATAATCATCATTAGTTGAAAATCAATTTCTACTACTTGATTTGGCACAAAACATTAAAGAACGAAGCGTAATAAGTCAAAACAATTCAACGTCGACATGGCGTAGAACGGAAAGACTTTGCGAACAAATAAAATGTCTGAGGATCGCTTAGTGTGAACAGATCCCCTCTCTCTGTCTCTCTTTCAAGTGTGCAGTGAATGACGCTTGAGTTCAGTGCGCAGGAGAATTTGCGCAGCATTTGAACGCGACTGCTTGGTGTGTTCGATCGGCCATATTGGGTCTCTTTCGTCTCTTACACAACGCCCTCACACGTATGAACGAGGTAAGTGGATATTTCTACACAACGTTTGAGGCCCGAAGGCTTTCGTGGCGCCGCACGTTTTTTCTTTCTGAGTCTCGATGCGAATAACGTAGCCATTACGGATCGAATACGGTTAATTGTTGTTAAAACAAAAGAAAACGACGTGGGAGTAACCTCGTCGTGGGTCTTCTAGCGAGTCTGGTGAGTAGCGTAGATATTTTTTACGAAAACGAAACAGCGCGGCTCCTTTTCTCTACTTGCGTCCGCCGTCCATATTGATGACAGCGCCGACAGTGATAATTTTGTGAAATTTTTGTTCGTTAATGCCCCCTGTCTCCTGGAATCGAAAGCACCCTTGGTGTTGGTGTTTCTCAAAAGCTCCACCGACAGAATGCGCGGTTCCTAAATCACCAAAACCTCATTTACAAGGCATTTCCAACTTCCTGGGAGTCAGGGTCACCAAACCCATACGAGGTCTTATGCTCGCGTCGGCCCACACACCTATTGCTTTACCTCCAGGATCTTCCTTGATCCCATCACCATGGCGTCCTTGCTTCTAAACTACTTTATTACCTCCAAATTTGCCTGCTTACATCTATCTATTAGATAACGATTAATTACACACTTGAATTCGTTTAATAAGCTTATATCGATCTCTACTATACACTAAAACTACGTCATATGGTACGCTTTTATCAATACTCAGTCAGCCTATTTCATATGTATTTCATAACTATGATGATAATTTACATTTAAACAATCACTTTCAGATCTTGGAATTGAATTAATGATCCTACAATGACCACTAACGTGGCTACGATAAAACTAGAAGAGGGTCAGGAGTCTGTTACGGAAATCCAGACCTACCTTGAAACTTTTAATAAAGAAATTGAAGGTGGTCAGGGAGAACAACTGCAACATGTGCAACGTTAGTTTTGTTTTCCAATTTTTACAATAATGTTTTTTTAGTTGATTTAATTATATTAATAATTCTTGTCTTTTCATACATAACAGTTCAACAAGTTGAAGGACTATCCGGTGGAGAAGAGGGAGGAACATATTTTGTTGATCAGAGTGGTCAATATTATTATCAAGCAAACAGTGATGAAGCTCCGGTGATGACTCAAGTTCAAATTCAAGAAGTAGAAGAAGTTGAACAAAGTGAAGAAGGCGTTCAGGAAGAACAATATCATGAAGTTGAAGAGTTAGAAAATGTTGAGACTGAAGATGGTGATGGACAGTCTAATAATGCTGGAGAAAATGTTGTTCTTAATTCAGGTGATGCATATCAGACAGTAACAATTGTTCCTTCAGATACAAATCCGGGTGAAGTAAGCTATGTTTTGATCGTTCAACAACCAGAAGATGAAGAAAAAGAACGTGTGGATGGTGCTGAAGGCGAAGAAGGCGAACAAGATCTAACAGTATACGATTTTGAAGACAATGAAGATAACGATGCGGGAACAGAATATGAAGCTGATGATGATAAAGCAAAAATAATCAAGTACCTGCCGAAAAAATCGCAGACAGTAACTCAAGCTCACATGTGTAACTATTGTAATTACACGAGTCCTAAACGTTATTTATTATCACGGCACATGAAATCTCATTCTGAAGAACGACCTCATAAATGTAGTGTCTGTGAAAGAGGTTTCAAAACTCTTGCATCGTTACAAAATCATGTCAATACCCATACAGGAACCAAACCACATCACTGCAAATTCTGCGACAGTGCATTTACTACGTCAGGTAAGATTTCATAGTTATTTAGTCTACTTTTTAACACTTTTCTTATTTCTTATTGACCCTTTTTTGTTAACATTTCAGGCGAGCTTGTCAGGCACGTACGGTACCGCCATACTCATGAGAAACCACATAAATGTCACGAATGTGATTATGCTTCTGTTGAGTTATCAAAACTTAAGCGTCACATAAGGTGTCACACTGGTGAACGTCCTTATCAGTGCCCGCACTGTACATATGCAAGTCCTGATACATTCAAGCTCAAACGTCATTTGCGTATTCATACAGGTGAAAAACCGTATGAGTGTGATATCTGTCAAGCTCGATTTACACAATCTAATAGCTTGAAGGCTCACAAACTTGTTCATAATGGTGAGTTTTAGAAAAAAACGGTTACTATTTTTTTACGATTATAGATATCTTCATTTATCAGTAATTTATTACTAAATTATTAAAATAAAGTTTTGTATTTAATTACCAACACCTGGTACTACTGATTACATAAAAAAATAAATTAATAATATTCATATCGTTAACTTATAGTTATTATTTTATTTTGATTTCTTTTTATGAAAGTAGTTGTTGCTATGAAAGTAGTAATTCTAATTTTAAGTTAAATTAATAAAAATGAAATGCACTAATTCATAATCACTTCTACTATTTTTTTTTCATCGTTTCCATTCGTATGGTGATTTTCAGTGGGAGACAAACCGGTATTCCAATGCGAACTCTGTCCAACGACTTGTGGTCGTAAAACAGACTTAAGGATCCATGTGCAGAAATTACACACATCTGATAAACCACTCAAGTGTAAACGTTGTGGAAAAACATTCCCAGATAGATACAGTTATAAGCTTCATAGTAAAACACATGAAGGAGAAAAATGTTATAAATGTGATCTATGTCCCTACGCATCGATATCAGCACGTCACCTTGAAAGCCATATGCTTATACATACAGATCAAAAGCCATATCAATGTGATCACTGTTATCAGTCGTTCCGACAGAAGCAGTTGTTGAAGAGGCATTGTAATCTTTATCATAATCCTTCTTATGTACCGCCACAACCGCAGGAAAAGACACATCAATGCCCAGAATGTGAAAGGGCCTTTAGGCACAAAGGAAATCTTATCAGACACATGGCAGTGCATGATCCTGAATCTTCTCTCCAAGAAAAACAACAAGCTTTAAAAATTGGGCGACAAAAGAAGATTCAAATAATTGATGGTCAAAGAGTGGAAGTAATGACAGGTAATATAGAGCTTATTTCAGCATTTAGTTTAAGAACAAGGTCCTGGATGTTTACGATATGATCAAGGTCATTGACTAATCTCCATGCATTGTTAATGTAATACAGGTGACTTAGCTTCTAAACTTAAAGGTTACGAAGAAGAAGAAGAAGAGGAAGAAGAGGAAGAAGATGTGATGGCTGTTGAAGGAAGTGATGGTCAACAATATGTGGTATTAGAAGTCATTCAATTGGCTGATAATCAAGGAAGTGATCAGGTAATTAATAATTACATATTTATAATTTTTTATCTGAGGAAATAAATGATTTTCTCTATTAAATAATTTTTTATTTTGGTTAGATGGCCGTAGTTGCCAATGAAGACGGTGATATAATGATGCAAGATCCTCTCAGCTCAGACGGAGGAATAGTTACCACATCTAATGAAGCCAATGAGGCTGAAGAAGAAGTGGATATTTCACAACTTAAAGAATCAATGTCGAATAAGAAGACTACGGTTCAAAAAGAACAAACAGATAATAAACTCCGGAAAGAAATGGAAAACTGCTTTGGTTTTGATGAGGTGAGTTAATAAAAATTGTGGAAAAAAAAATTTACATACCCCGTTTCATAAAGATTATAATGAATAAATATTCATTCATAGGAGGAAGAGGAAGAAGGGGAAAGCGAAATGCATCTACTAGATACAATTTCGTAATGACGATGAGCCTATTAATGGCATCAATGTACCTACTTAGTAGTTAAATGTTTTTTGTTCATTTTTTCGCAGTAAGTTGGGACTCATTGTAAGTCATTGGAAAGCACACATACGCACGGAGTACATTGCAGAAATTGTATTATGCAGTGTAATATAGGTACATATTATTATAATTCTTATCAATATTATTATTATTATTTATATGCGTTAATAATTAGTCGTAACACTTAACTAAATAATGGACAGAAAAGATATTGTACAACAATACGATTTTTCTTTAGTTGTAATGAATTGTCATATAAAATCATATTTGTTTGAAAAATAAACTGGGATCAAGTTTTATTAATGGAAATTTTATTACTTGATGAAAATGAAGATAGCATGACAGTCGAATATGTAATCTAAAAGAATTAATTTTTGGTCTGCGGTAAAACGAGCGTTGTGAGGCTGCCATGTACATAAATGTTCCTTAAATATTCTGTATTTGATAAATTAATTGTTAAATAACTAAGTATTTAGTTTAAATTAAAACTATTCATTATTGTAAGATTAAATCACGGATTCATAGTCCTAGAAAAGGACTTGGATATTCTTTTGAATAAATCAATATTTGATGTAAGAAAGGTATTATAAATAATTTGAGACTAAATAGTCAAAAACAATGCATCGTCAGCAACCAGTGTTTTTTCACAGAAAGTAAAAATTATTTTACTTTAATGATTAAAAAATAATTTTACCTTGGCACTTTTAACTTTTTCTCACAATAAACCATATACTCTAAAAAAAAAATGTGACGAGATATGATCTAAGAAATGGTTTAATTATATATTAATATAATAACATAATGCAATCGACTTCTTTTAATTGATTTATAAATATAAATAATTTTTTAGCTTCATTTTAAAAAATAAATAATACAGATATTAACTTACTTCTTGAGTAGTTGATGTCAAATAATGACTTTTTCACTCTTGTCTGGCGCAATTATATATTTTTCAAGTAATGGAAAATATAAATATATAAATATTACATATAAATATAATAATACTAGATGTATCTGTACTAGGTAATAAGTATAAAGTTGCATCGTATTTATTAAGGCAATGTGTCCTTTCGATAAAATTCTCCCTATTGTCTTTATAATGTCAACCAAAAGAAAAAAAAAATTATTGAATATAATTTTTTTCAAATTAATCTGTGAAATTTGTCATGATAAATTACTAAATGAAATAAATCTTGAAACAAAACAATTAATAAATGAAAAATAATGAATTAATTATAAAGAAAATTTTTTATATAATTATATTGTACAATTGTAATTTAGTCTTTGATCAATACTGTTAACATACGCTGTCAACATTAAGTAATAATAATTACACAAAAACAATAGTAATAATAACATTAATTGATTAATAATGATACTGATAGAATATACGAATAAAAAAAATCATATTTCAATCAATGTTTTAAATTTATTTCAAGATTGTGTATTATTAATTTTCTAATAAACATTAATTTTAAAAGAGAATGGAGCAGAGAAAAAAATAAAAACCTTATCTATAATATGAGACATCAGTTAAGTGATTTTTTAATGTGAATGAGTGAGAATTGCACATGGAGAAGGGCAAACATTGACTTCCCATGAGCTTACTTTCGCCCCTCAAGTTGATTAGTATGATGGGGGAGTAGAGGGGAGTGTAAGCCGCACCCAGGTGGAGGTTCCGTTGTGGTCGTCAACCCCGTTCACCATAGATTGGTATTTATAGACAACTATCACGATATAGATTAAATTTGGGAGTGTCCTTGCAGATCGAATGGCGTATAATTGATTACTAATGCAAGGAAAGGAATAAAAGAAAAAGAGAAAGAATGAATACTCAAGCGAGGTAATTTGAAGTAATGTTGAGAAATGTAAGTTTTGAACAAACAGTTTTGTATTCTTCAAAAGTTTTTTTCTCTATTGTAGGGTACAGGCTACTCTACAGGGACAAATGGACGTGACATGGTGTACAAGAGGTGGCCCACGCGAGAGCTCGACTTGCCGTTGCCTCCCACGAGTCTTCTTCTGCGAACGGGAACGAGGGAGAGTTAAAGAAGGCGCACAGCAATACATACAAGTATGGAGTAATATAAGAAAGCAGAGAAAGAGCCGTAGAGAGATGAGAATAAGAACGTCAGCGGGTCTGTGGTACTTGTGAAAGGCCCCTGAGGCTTTTCTTTGGTAATAAAATGATAACGTCCATTATACAGTTTATACATTCCGGTTCGCGATCCTGGGGTCAAAGTCGATAGACTGATATAGCTGGAGGCATGTCAAGTGTCCTATTGTCATTTATATCAAGTGTTAATGGAAAAAAGAATGAAAACATTGGATGAATGCATTCACACTTGTGAGGAAAAAATACCTAATACAAGGGAACAACAAATTCAAGAGAGTCTTAGGCTCCAGGCCAACTTGGAAAAGTGATCGTCATGGAGTAGATTGTTCGACGATGCCTGGGATCCGTCGATTAACCCGGATAACCCTGTGACGGGACTGGTGAGGCCCAGGATATCGTGATAATACCACGATAGGAGTTGTATAGTCTCCAACAGTGTAGACTAACCGTTATTGGCCGACAGACACACACCGTTGTTGTGGCACTCACCTCTCTAGATATTGCCCAAGAACAATGATTCACGATTCGCGTTAGACCGACGCGACGCCCTACGATTTCCGTGTTATGCGCGACTCGAGCGCAACAGGCTTTTATGCACTCTCTCGTGACTTCCCCCTGTGTGTCCGTATTATCGCCTTCAGCTAAGGTATGCCCTGGTGAGTCTTACGACTGCTTACGACACCCTCCGCATTTTTTGCTATGCGATTTGTGTCGACAGCCAATTCATTCCATTAAATACTCTACATTTCATCTTCCTATTTTTCGCAATCGTTCCACTTAATGCATTTCTAAATTCACTTTTATACCGCTATACCTTCTCTCTCTCTTCAATCTGAGCAGTCAGCTTTGACATAAAATTATATGCCTACAGGAGAAACATGATTAATACGATCAAGAAAAATTTTTGCAATGATGTCATTGTTTAGAAATAAAGATTTTTATGATCAAGTTCTAAAGAGTGGATATGAAATAGCATTTATCCGGTAACTGTATCAATTATTAATGTAATTATTGGATTATTATTTCAGTAGTTATCGTAAAATTATTATCAGCAATCAAGAAGTTTATCAATAATTATAGTTTTGTAGTAAGAATCAAAGAAAATGTTGATACAATGAATTATGACCACCAATGAAAAAATTTCAGCTGATCATTAACGTGAGTTATTAATAAAACATTAGTTGTAAAGATTATAATTGAATTATTAAAGAGGTTAGTAGAATTATTTAAAGGTCATTCATGTTTTATAAAGATATCTCTTTACAACCATCTTCCAGTAATCAATCAATTAATCTGTTTTTTGTCTTTCTATTAATGAAATAATTTAACCCTAAGGGTAATTAGATTTTTAGAGTAAAAAATATTTATCTATTTTACGCTAACAAATAAATAAAAATAAAGAAACTTCATTAACTAAAATATAATTACTATCAGGTCATTTTAAACTGTTGTCTTTACATCGTCATACAGGCGTGTAATTAATTATTCATTATATTCCGATTAAAAAGGTGTACATTTAGTAATAGAATTTTTACAACTAGATCATTGAACAATCGACTTGATTAAAACTTCTTGAAAGTAATAAAGAAAAATACTGAAATTATGCTTAAAATGAACAGTTAACGAGTGAATTAAAATGAATTTATGAAAATATATTCAATTTAAAAGTTAATTATTAATGTAAATATGAAAGATTGATTAATTAATAATAAATTATATACATTATTGAAAGAAATAGATAAATTTGATGTAAATAAAATCAGAATAGTACTAAAAAAGATATTCCCAGTGTACATTGCAATTAAGCGTCCGTCCAATTTGTGGCCTTCTGACACGGCGCACCCTCACCAATTTATATTGTTTGACGTGGTAAGAAAATTAGTGCTGTAATATCTCTATACCGCTACACGTAATAATTGCCGGACTTAATTCAACTGTATGTATCCATGTATTGTACGTGTAAGACATACTTGCTCCAATTGTAAATGATGCTATCAACTTTAATAGATTGTTAATCTATCTGCTTTCTTTATTAACGTTAATGAATAAAAACCATGAGATACTTGAATTATTTCATTTGATGAATCAGTGTATATACCAACTGGTAAATTAACGTGTGTTCATTTGATTGTCTCGCGCGACTAGGCGGCGGCGGAACTAAGAATGACGAAGAGAGAAAACCGCGCGTAACGCGTGTGCTTCTATATACTGTCTACCAAGCGTTGAGCTTCTCTCTACCTACGTCAGTTATATCCTGGCTGCGATAGACGTTAGCCACGCGATCTCTTTCGTCGAAACATTTAAATAATATTATTCACTTGGTTTATATCATTATTTATATTACGGTAGATTTTAATGAATTTTGCAAATTTTATTGTCAGCATAATTACAACTTTTTTTTTGTTTGAAGGAGTTGATGATGATAATGATGATTGTAATGATTATGTTTACAAGTGGTTTTAGTGAACACCATGTGAATTGGTGGATTTAAATGACTGGTAATTTGATTTAAAGACACTTTAAAAGTTACAAAACTCACTGGTGCTCGAAAGGATAATCTTTGTTCTCTCGTGGAGGGCGTTACATATCCGACATTTCGCGAATGTGTAATTATTTTCAAGCTGCATGATACACGTATGTATATCTTGTACGAAAATTGCATAATCACACGAGTCACGCGGCTTGAGAATAATCAAGAGACTGTTGTAAAAGATTTTTTAGTGGTTTTTCAAGTGGAAATAAATTTAATGTAACAGAGGGAGAAGCTGCTCAACGTACAGAGGAAACAGAGTCGACAATTTTCATGGAAATGACGCAACGAGACATGCATCGTAATGGGCTGATCATCGTTGGACGCAATCCACGATCTCACAAGGATCGAACTGGAAAAAATAAATTAAAAAACTCCAATGTTATGTGAAGACTTTTTGCTACTTTTTTTTATTATGGCTTACGTTTTGTGGAGAGTATTCACCAAGAAATACACCAAGGTGCGGCTTGGTATCGCGAGTTTAGCTGTGAGTTATCTTTTTTTTTTCTTCTCTCAATTATCTCTTAACTTTGAAATTTTTTTACACTTTTGTTAACCACCTTTTCTATTTTTTTTTTTTTCTTTTTTTGAATGCCTTTTTGCTGCTATTAAATGATTATTTGTGTGGATTTATTTTATATCAGACAAGAAGCCTTGATTAATATAATCTGCATCGATGAATGAATCGATTTATTTTCCTATCATAGCTCGAATCTTGTAACCAGTCACTGGCGATTCTCGATCAGTTTGAAGCTGGAGTTTGTGATGCTCCTCCCGCGTGACCGTGAACTCTGAATCGCCAAGCCAAAGAACACGCAACTGAAGAAGAGAGTCTGCTTGAGAGTCTCTCTCGCTGCGTCATCCTTTTCAGTATGCACCAGGCAAAAGAGATTCCAGAATTAAAAATAAAAAATATCCAGGATGAGAAATAAAATAAGACGATAAAAAGAGATAAATATTTCACCTAAAAGAAAATTTTTACATGAAAGATTCTCATGATGATGAAATTTTTCGTTTATTATTATTATTATTTGAGTAATTAAATAAAATTATTTTCTGCGTATACTAGTGAGTGATAATTATTTTTTAATAATCCTGAAGATTTGAAAAATAATTATGTAATTACGATGTTTACTCTTATCATAAAATTAAATCAACATTATAAAATAAAAAGTAAAATTTACACAAACAGCTATACATAAATATTGTTTCTCATTAATTACAATGTTTATTAAGAATTTATTATTAATATGTATGAAAAGTTTTCACTTCTTTATATACATTATTATACATCCAATAAAAAAACAATATTATTTTCTGTATAAAGCTATTTTTCATATTGTTTTCTGTAGCCAATGGTTCAATATATTGGATATATTGCAATTTTCATTCACAAAACTCTAGGGAAATAAGATAATAATCTACTCTGAAGATAAAATATCTTTGTTATAGTAATATTTATAGATTTAAATTAAATAGTTAAGCTAAATCCACCTGTTATAACAACTTGATAATAAAAATTGAATGATAAACAATGATGAATCATTACGTACACGAAAGAATTCAATCAACTTGTATGCTAATACAGTTATTTGAATCTACACAATCAGCTAAATATGTAATGAATAAAAAATATCGTGGCAAAAGTATTCTCAAGGGTGAAGAAATGGAATTCCATCATATAAAAATGAATTGACATTTACAGGTATTCCTGAGGAATTCTTTGAGAGATTCAAAAATAGGAATAGAGAATAAAAGAATATAAAATCGACAAAACAAATTAAAACCAAATAAAAAAATATATATTCAAGGCCTTAATATGCCTTTGTACATACCCAATTACTAGTTTCTTTCATCAAGAATACGTATAAGAATAATAATTGACTATTGTAACATAAAATTTTTCTCGTCATCGCTTTCTTCATATTTGCCCTAAAAGCGTTGAGTCAAACGTCTTATTAAACGTCTATGTGAAATCTTGCTCGTCCGCCGGATGAAGCCTTAAAAAACTTAAATAGTAATTAAACGAATTTCACGTCAGTGGTATGACTATTGTTTTGAATAAATATATGTACATGAAGAAATTAAAAATACGTCCGCACGAGCCCAAGACTTTCGCGCATTTCCAAGTATCAAATTTAACTCATCTTTTTCTGCTCCTTCCACTTGACTCTGTAATATCTCATACTGAAGATTCTCAAGGTGTGCTGCCGTGTGAAAACGATTCGATGCAATCTCATCGATCAATTTATATTATCTACCATCAATGAATAATATCAAGATCTTGCCTCCCAATGTGTTCGATTTGTCATCCAGCTGTTATTCATTTTATTCTATTTATTAAAACGCACAACACCGTTAAGTCTATTTAATAATACATTGAAAGAGGGTGAAAGAAAATTAAATGCATTATTTAATAATGAATAAAAGACGAAGACAGCAACAGATATGTGTATGTAAATGAAACACTTTATTCGCGTGTGCGGATACTTTAATTCTCCCTATTCTTTTCATATGTCGCACTGTTAATACAATAATAATTTTTTCCCTCGACTTTGTACCTATATACATATACGAGATACGAGAGCGTGAGACTCTGTTATTTTCTTTCTCATCTCCAATTATCCCGCTATTTTTTTCTTGATTTACTATTCATTTTTTGACAAATATATTACTAGTAAAAAATTTTTAATTGCGTATTTATAATAACAGACAAGTGTATTATAAATATTTTATTTTATTCAAGTCATTTATTTGATTCACTGTTTTCACTATTCTCATCATTATTGGAGTGATATATACGAAATTAGCAACGGCTTTTAAATTTATTGCTCATATGTTATGAAATAAAATCTATGTATTATTGTAGATGAGTGTTATTGTTGATAATAAAAAGTGAAAATTGTTGAATTTTAATTTAGTAAGAACGATATTTATTTCATGCTCCAAAAATTTGAGAGTAGACAATTGTGTATTGTATTTCATATATTTGAAAATAAGAGTTTTTAATTAAAATTTTTTTAATAAAATTAATAAAAAACATTTTGTTTTTAAATCATTAATAAATTTAATTTGATCATTTTTTTTTCTCTTTAAATGAAAATAAAATTAATTGATAACTATTAAATTAATTAAGGAACAATTTGTTTTTCTGTTTCCTGGTATCAAGAGTGATTAAAAACAATACAAGCAGCATCTTAAAAAATGTTTACTGTTGCTTCGTGTAATTATATGGATGTTCATATAAGTATAATAATGTGAATAATAATATAATACAAGAAATGAATATAAAAATTTTTTTCGGTTACTTTTATCATGTACAAACGACGTCGGCGGTCGGTTGATACGTATCTTTATTTATTGCGTTATTAAAGTCGACGCTCACACGAGTGAGATAACTGTTTATAAAAGGAGAAGCGCATACAGAATGGTATGAGAGCTGCGGTAGAACGAGAATCGTGAAGGCAATAAATTGAAACGCTTCGCTCCTTAGTTGGCTCCTGCATTTGCTCAAGCTCCTTTACTCCTCCGCAAATCGTACGCGTACATGCCAACCAACTTTTTCGTGCACTTGACACCCTTTTCGGACTCTATACGAACATTTGTTCAATGTATCAAAGAAATTAACAGAACATTAGGCATGTAAGCTATGCAAATAGTTTGATAACAAAATCTATGAGGCTGACTTAATTGATCGTTACGTGATTCTATTGTATTATTCAAAACTTGAGAGGATTATTTTTGCTTATTATTTGCAAGACGAATTATCTTCCCAAGGAAATGAAATTCGCCAATAGTCGACGTTTATTTCCACAGATGCCGCCACCTGGTTCTCGCGCTCCTTCGTAAATAAGTTTAAAGGATCAAAAGAATGATTTTTAGTTGAATTAGATAGTAATTAGATTGTAAGGATATGCTTAATTGAACAAACTGATCTGAATAAGCAGGAAAATAATAAGTTTGAAGGATGTAGATATTGTAGTTTAATGTGAAATTAATAAAGGGGCGAGAATCTCGCGCATGCCCACCTTCCACTGGAACTAGTTCATGACCTGGAGCTTGAGTCGACCACTGATATCGTACATATCCGTTCCTTTGACGCAACACGCCCTGAATCCCAAGTGTTTTCAATTAATCCTTGTCTAATTAAAATAAAATACCTAACAATGTAGCCTAAAGAGCAAGTATTGGTATCGGATTTACTTGATAGTCAGATGGATCTTATATGGGGGAATGACTTGGAATTCTCGTGAGTGATACACGAGAGATGAAAATATAATCCAAGTTGAAATATACATTGGATATTGTGCGTGAAAATTAAATGAAATGGAGACTGATCAATATTTGTCATGTTCAAGACAATTATCCGACTTGTCCTTGTTGTTGAAGAAAATGAAAAAGAAGTTGGCTGGATGTGCTTGTTGTCGTCCTCTCAAGTGCGTGCTTGGGACCCGTTGGGAAGATGAACAAACATTTAATCTGAGAGCATTACTCACATATACAGTGAACAAGTGAGTGCGGGTCGATTCTCGTGATTTTCTTGAACACTCATTTTTTTTTATTTTTCAATCGCGAGAGTGAGGAATTATTTAAAAGGAGAAAAAGAAGAAGATGAGTCACTTTGACTGGAAGCTATTGCGTCGTAAGAAGGTACACACAGCTTTTTGCTTCTGTTTACACTCGATCGAGGATAGAAAATGGTTTTGTGTATAGCGAGATAGAATACATGTGTAGGAGAAATATAAGAGGGGAAGTGAGACGAAGAAGAGGGTTTATAAAGTCGATAAATCCATCGTTATAAAAGGTGAAATAGTCTCATGGATAGGACGCGCATGCCTCACTGCTTTTATTTGCCCGTCATCTAGAAGTTCATTCAGCATAAACTTGATGTCACATTTTGCAAAAAGAATCTTGAGTAGAGAATGAAAGTTATACTACATTGAAGGGGTCGAACTGAAGGAAAAAAAGTTAGATAGATGGCTAGAGGGATTCGTGGCAAACAACTTTCCCTCTTTGGTTAGTGAGCTGCACGAAAGAGTATAAAAGCGGGCAGTTGATGGTTAGGTATAGGACGAATGTTGAACGACTTGAGCAGCTCCTTCGACCTCTCTTTTCATTCCCTCCCACTAGCAAGTTTGTTCACTTTAATCGCTTATCTTTGATGGCACCTCTCGCTCCCACACCTTTTACTAGGCTTTTCTCTTGCTTACATTTACTTAACTGATGATGAATATAATGCATACAGACAACATTCAACTTATTATGTTTCAGGTAATCCCAGCTGAACGACGTGTTGCACCAGGCAAAGAACTTGAAACATGGACTTTGGCTCCTGACTGTCCAAGTGATGATATTCCAAAGCCTAAAGAGTCAGAAAGTATCATTAAAGATGACCAAGTCCCGACTGAAGACTCCTTGGAACCCGTCAAGATTAATCGTGAACATGAGAGCCGCAAAAGTCGAGCTAAAAAAGTGAAAAACTATCTACGCAAATGCAAAGGTGCTTTGTCGTCTACTAAAGATGATTCCAATACTTCGCATCAAGCAAATAATCACAGTGGTAGAAGTAGTAGTAGACGGTCTGCTTCATCATCCTGGTACTTGGAAGACTCTTCATTGTCCAACTCCACTGAGAATCGCTCCAAAGAATCTAAAGAAAGTTCTCATAATATTCTACCAGCACGAACTACTTCTTTGACGCGTTCTTATGAATCTCATACCACTACACCCCCTTCACCACGAAGATTTGGCTCAGAGAGTCTTCTTGATTCTACTGATAGGTTTGAAGATGCTGTTGACTTTGATTTAAATAAAAATGAGCACAGTTTGAATGTTGAAGATAACAGTAATAATGATCAAGTTGAAACTGATGCTGATGAGAGTCAATTACTCGCTGGATGTTCTTTATTATTTGGGGTAAGTTGAGACTTTTCATATACCTTTAATTTATATCATTTGTTTAACTTCATTTTTTTTTATCGTTTAAAATACAGTTCTCTTTAGGTCACGCTATGTTTATCTATCTCTGTTACAAAGTCCTCGGTTATTTTTATTTTTAACTTAACATCAATTATTTTTTTATGATAAAAGAAATGAGAAAAATAATAAGTTTGTTTGAAATAGCAAATATTATTATAATAATAATGAAATATTACTGTTTTAAGTAATGTAGAGGAAGAATGATTTTTTATGAATTCAGATCATGCATGTGCATGCTCTACTTTTAAGCGCAATTACGAGATCTTTTATCGACGAGGAATTTTTCATGATATAAAAAATGTGTGAGGAACACATTATTCAAACTAAAAAGAAAATTATTAAAGTAATTTTTTAAAATAATGATCTGAATTTTGTTTTTTTTTTCGAAAAAAAATATTTATATAAATTTTTTAAAGGTTGTTAACATCTGGTAGTTGTTAAAAAGTAATTGAGTAAAGTAAATTGATAAAAATGTTTTTAAATATATATCAATTGTTTTGATTCAATTTACTACGAAATAGTTTTGTTTCAACTGAAAGCCAATTTTTCTCGGTAAAAACAATTTCAATTTACTCTTGTCGACTATTCGCCTGACCCAAATATGGAAAAAAAGATATTCTTTCATTTTCCTATTTTTATTCATTTCATTTTCGCAACTGTTTGTAACTGATGAATGGCCTTGCAAATAATTTGAAAACTTTCTCTCCCACTTAGACCTTCTCATTTTCCAAAGGCTCCATGCACTCGGGGGTTCTTTCTCCCAATCATCAGTTTGTAATCGGCATTTTATGTAACAAAATTACTATATCATTCTTAAATTTATCATTATGATCTCTCAACATATCCGTCATCACTAGGTGAGTCTCACCTCTCTGTGGCTTTCGCCTGTCTCGTGACGATAACTCATTCACATTACATACATGTGTTATTGTATATTATTCTTACAGTTAATAATATATATTATTTTAATTTCCGCACATATACTTATAGTTGTTTCATCTCCATAAATTTATGATTTATTTTTTAATTAGTAAAATCATAGTCAATTTCATAGAAACGTTTTAAGAAATTTAAATATGTATTTACCTTTAAGAGATTTATATTTTTTTTTACCATTTAATGAACTTTCTAATTTTTCTTTCAATCACGTTTTTATAACTCTATAAAAATGAATAAGGGTTGAAATATATCTTTAATTTAACTGGAAAAATGCAGGAAATGTTTGAAGTGAAAGGCGTCTAGCATATTTTTTCAAATAAAATAAATACCAGTAACGTTAGTATATAGTAGTTACCGTCAAACTTAATCTATAAATTGTCGGTGTATGTATATTTTTCTAGTTTAAAGGAGAATCATCAAGAGTATCTGCATATCTTGGTGTTTCAATTTCCAAAGTATTCAGTCTCAGTATTGCAGAATATAAATTAAGAGAGCGAGAAAGACGATTATTTCTTTACGCTCTTCCATCACCGACAAGTTTCTCAACGGGGCGCCCATCATCGAGCTTTGAAAAACGACTTCTCAAAAATCTCCTCACATCACCTCTCTTCTTTCTTCTTTCACTTGATCTTTTTCATTTTATTACACTTTTTTTCTTTTAATATTAATGTTCTTTTATCTCACCGCTTAAACGTCGTTGAAGGAGTGAAAGAAAAATTACAAAATTGCTTAAAAGGCTTGCGATTTTACGAGAACGTTACACTTGGCCCCCAGCGGGGTATAAATCATGTAGAATTAACGCTTTGAATGAGGATGATGTTCAAGTAAATAAATCAACTTGAAACGATGCACGTGGGGCACAGTTATATTGTATTCATGTGAGGTTTTTTTTTTGAACGCACAACATATCGCTGTGGTTGATCATGGTTTTAAACACTCCCGTTGTCCCCTTCGGGAGAGATACCACATCCTGCTCTTCAACACATGTCCTTTGTTGATTGTGCTAACGTGCAAACTCTCCAAATATTGACGCGGGGATATATATACTCAGTATATAATGTCCCCTGCTGTTTCATTTGTGCCCACGCGTGCGCGCAAATCCGACCAAGTTCCCACGTGTTATGACAATCTGCCCGCAGGCTTCTTATCCTTCCGGCCCGCACCACTTGTATCTTCAATAAATTTTGCTTCAGTACTCTTCTCTATTCTCTTTTCAATTTGTTTTGCAGGGCCGTGGAGATGTTGCATCACTCGTCCGGTGCCTTCTTGGTCCTATCTACGGTGAAAATGTACTCGATCCACTGACCAGACAAGCTCGAGACATTCTCGTGTGTGCTTATCACGGAAATCTTGAGAGCTTCGTTGAATCCTACCTCGTGCCTGCGTCTCAACTACTTGCTAAAGTCAAAAGTATCGTGTCTGACACGGTAAGTCAATTTACTTACTATTTTCATATTTTAAGTCGTTTTGTTTCTTTTTTATCTCTAATCGGTTATAGTTATGTTGTCGTCCATTTGCCTGTCGTCGGGTTTATCATAACATTTGTATGTATCTTGGTGTATATTTTATGCTAAAACTCCAGAGTAATTCAAGCGTTTTATGATTTAAAAAGTTTTTTTTTTTTGTTTCTGAAAAGAATATCAAGTGATCTATACAACTTTTACACACTTTGATTACTAAATGAATTTTTGTGTTAAAAATGTAAATAAAAAAGTTTCGCAATATGTGATATTTTTTATCGTGAGAAATTTTATAATAAATGTTTTAAAATAAAATAGTGTCGTATCATATTTCATTTCATTAATTAACGACAATTTAATGCACCAAAAAAGTGATGTTAATTATTATTTCAGTTGATTATTATTAATTTGTTGTAATATTTATCTTAAAGTTTTTTGGAGCACTTGTGAGCATGAAATGTAACATGTAATGAAATAAGCTATAAATTAAGAGATTGAAGGTTCATTTAAACAATTTAACACAGTGAAAATTGATAAATTTGCTTTCACGAAAGACGAAAGTATTACGCATAATCGTGGTGTGTAAGTAGAATGATCGACTTTCCACTGAACTGATTGACCACTAATTCAATGATCGCAAGGGGCGATTATTATACCAGTGTTTAATTCGTTATCCAGGATTCTTGTTCCTCCATTCGCCATAATAAGCACGTTGTCCAGCTACTCAATCATATAAACTCTAACGCACATTTAACCAATTTTTTTATTTCTCTCTTCTGTAACCACCACCGGAGGAAGATATATATAAGATTGAGGAATAACCTGAGATTAAGTTACACTTTCTTCTGGACATCTAGAGCGAGATTGGGAGAAAGTTTCGCGAATCGATACTCTTATCGAATCAACGAAACTTGATGACGAGTTAAATTTCGACGTAAATAGAGTAGAGTTGCAATCATTGGGCCAATCCTTTCATTAGATCATCATGAAAGAAACTTGTGGCAATTTTTATCTTTTCTCTTAGAAATTATTGAATAACCATCATATTTTCTTTCGTAAAATTATTCAAATATTCCATTGAAAGAAAAATGTTTAAAAGTTTTAATAGATAAAATTTGAAGTAAAATATTTATTTAATTGTAAAAATGTGATGTTTAAAATGATTCGTTTTTTGTAATCAGACTTTCTGAAGTATTGATTTTCTGAATGAAGTGGTCCAATGATAGTAACATTCCCCCTTAGCTAGTTTAGAATAAAGCAATACAAACGTTAATTTCTTTTTTCTTGGGCGTCGAAAAAGTTTGCCAAAGATAAGAATAATGTTTTTTTTTAGTTTCTTACACTTCGCACAGACTTTTAATTGCACACCCGGGTTGATTTAGCATTAGAATGCCCCCTGAGAATGTGGTAAGAGATAAGAGAGGCGGAGTTTTGCCTCGAGGTTTTGCACGAAGAGCGTCCGAGTGTAAATACATTGACTCACAAGTTTTGTTTCTCGGATTGTTAAATAACCGAGACGATCGTACAATAGATTAATCCATTACTTATAGTACATTTTAATCTTTATATAGATTTACGTGTGTGACGTAACAATCGAGTCGGGCTTCCGTCAACTGTTGGTTATGGGAGCAAGGACGAAAGGGAGCGTTCAATGGTTAAATAGGTTAACCACAGTGTCCTTCAATAGTTTCCACCCGAGCGGATTGCATGCACCGAGAGCAAATCTATCATCAGCTGACTCTTGTTATTCAAGCCACACGGCACTTTTATTTGCTCAGTTACTGAGTTCGTTGGCATTTCTTCTTCATGCTAAAGATTTACCGGTTCTCCAGGATTCCCGCGCAACGCACACACTAGCGACATACTGTGGCCAAAAGACCAAATACATGCAGTTGTCTTATAGGAGAAGCGAGCGCGCGAGAATATGAAAAGAGGGGATGGTGAAAAAGACAAACGAGTGGGGAGAAGAATAACGCGAACGGGTTTGGCATCGCGAGTGCTAAAAGCACCGTCACGGGGGCATTGCCGTCCCTGTCGCGGTAGTCGCCGGTTCGATCGGTCGCGAGTCTGCAAATCAAACTCTTTGTCATTGCAATTGATGCTGGAGCAACTTGACGTGTGTTTATGTGACCGTTAGAGCTGTTCAACCGCATGAAGAAGGGGATAGTACTTGTATGAATACCACGATGGCCAAGGAGCTAAGCCGCAGTGGATTTATAGTGCGACATAATTAATTATATCAAGTGATAACGTGGGTGGAGAGTCGCGTGTCATTGCGAGAAAGTTGGGACCACTGGAACACATGAGATTTGTTGGGGTGAACGAATCGTCGTCGTAGGTCAGTTACCGCTCGCTCGCGCCTGGCGTCTCGTCGTCGTGAATGGTGTTGTGGTTCCCGTTTCCCCCCCGGACCTGCTGCTGTCGAGTTGACCTTCGATCACTTTATTTTTCTTCTCTTTCTCTTTCTTCCTCTTGTCTTTTGCCCACGACTGTATACGGATCAGGATAAAGAAGAGACTCCAAGACAGTCAAGGCATTTTTTATCCTTTTTTCGACTCCAGAATACAACATAAGAGGATCGTGAGCTGGTGAGTTTATTCCTGAGTCTTTCTCAAAGTCACACCGAGAGCTGTAAAGTTTATCGTGTGGCTTAGTCGACGAGACCACCCACAGGCGGTTCCAGAGCGTCTCTAAAATTTATCTTTTGCCCTTTCAACTGAAGCTAACATATATTTACTACGACAGGCATGAAAAAAAAAAATTGAAAAATATTTTTTTTACACTAGACAGGTAATTCAGCGAAAAATTTACGGTGGGAGCGCTCGAAAAATGAATTTTTTATGAGCTAAGTATCCGAATTCGTGCTTGAATATTTTAACTGAAAATCATTCAATTTAAATTTTTAAATTAATTATTGACAACAAAAATTATTTGAAGTCATTTTGTTGCTTAAAAAAAAAAAAGAAGTACAGTAAAATTACACTAATCTGGCACTGTTAAAACGATTTAATTTAATATTTTAAAGCTACCTTAAAAGTTATTACAATCCAAAAAAGTGGAATATTTAATAATTTACATAACAAGTCTCATTTTTAAAAAATAAAAAATCATTATTTTTACACGATAAATAAAAATCCGTAAAAATTACAAGCTTGTACATTTCCAAAGTTCGTTGAGTTGTTTTACAGATAGTAATTACAGAGCTGAATAATTTTTTACGTTGTTGTAAGTAGTACGAAAGAGTTAACTTTACGAGCTCATCTCGTTCTTGCAATATGATGATAGCACGAAAGAGAGCATATATCCAAGAGTTTTATGAGTTGTGTCGATCAAAGCGGCACCGGTTTTGGCACGAATAAATCGATTCATGCTTATTTAAGTCCTTTAAACTTAACAGTTTCTTCTCCTCTCTTTCATGTCCCTATTCGTCTTATCATAAATATCGTGACGATTGACGCAATGTACTTGCTATCGGCGCAACGATAATACTCGTGATAATGACAAGATGAATTTATGTACTTATTATGCGGGTACAAACGTACACACTTGGAATGAATATATCTCGTGTGTCCAGTGCATTCCGTAGCACACACAACCCACACGCCTGTTGGCATGCTTATGTCTTTTATTTTTTTTTTCTTTCTTCTTTGCCTCTGCACCCTCTATCCATGCTCAGGTATACAAGAAGTCAATGGCGCGAATCTCGTAATCGAAAGCCATGACGCTACGTGGGCGTTCATTCCACTCGTTTTCTACACCCTAAATACCTTTCATACACTCAAATTCATTCTAAACCTGTTGCGTTTCATTTTTATTTTCATTCGTTAGTTCACTGTGTGTGCATTTGAGTGCAATTGATACATTTTCATTTTTTCTCATGATTAATCACCGAGTATGAAACAGGATCAATGCAATCGTTGATACACTCATTCAGGAGGTGAAAAAATACTTTCGAATCTAAAGTAGGTAGTGATATCATTTTTTCGTGTATATTTAATGGAAAAAAAATTTTTGATTTAATTAAACAGTTTATTTATAGGCTACTATAATTTCGTTATGACTCAATTAACTGTCTAAATTTTGTATGCTAAATTTAATATTATTTTTTTTTTTTATTATTTTACTCCAAAAAAATTGGAGCAGAAGAAATTAATTTTATAAATAATGAACTTTGTAGGGTCATATTTTATTTTTGATCATCTGAATCATTATGCTGTTTACAGTGTGATAAACGAAATTGAATATCAACCGTAGTGCAGATAAAATCTAAATTCTTTATACGTTAAAAATAATTATAAACAAATACTTGTATTAATCATGTTGGACATTTTAATTAAAAATAATCCCGCATTATTTTGCACGTTTACTGTCCTAGATACCATGCATGTAATACTTGGAATTGTGTCGCAATACATACATTTGTTTCTAAAAAACCAACTCGATCGAGTTAACCACAACAAAGAAAAGCGGAAGCAGCAAATCAATTACGACAAAACAAAGATTTAACTTTTGATTATTGTTTTTCGATTAAATTCAAAAAAACAATAGATATTTCAAGTTTTTATTTACCTTATATTAGTGATTAATGAGCACATTGATATAAAATATCTATTAAAAAATGTCTCAAAAAATTATTTATCAAAGAAATAATTATTATTCAATCTCTTTGACTAGATAATAAATGAATTTGACTAAAAAGAAAAAAAACAAAATTAAAACAGAATCTGATAATTTTCGTATTTAACTACAATAGCTCATGGCAATTTGTAATATTTATTCTTCCCTTTCTTTCGCTATTTAATCTTCCGCTTCCGTTCCTCTTTGTTCATTGACTTGATCAGGTCGCAGGTCATCATCACGAGAAGGGGAGTTGGAAGATTACGATATGGGGTCAGTAACTGGGAAATCGTTTCTAAGAATCTCAAACTGATTGATGAACACTCATTAACTCAAGCTTTATTGCATCAACTAATAAATGATGCGAAATTCGTGGTTTTACCAAAGTTTGTATAAGTAAACACAAACACAAGAGGGTAGCAAGAAATTAAAGGGACAAGAAACACGTCTTGATGATGTTTTGCAACCGGCAATTACCCGAATGCCAGCGCGAGCGAGTCTGTAAATGGGTAGCAACATCGAAAGTAACTTTTTTAACTTCTCACGGTACATAACGAACGTGTGGCGTTGCATATTCTCTATGGGCACGGCGTCGGCGGTGGTATGGTCATGTGCTGTGACGTGCGACGAGCCGGAAAGCGATAGTGAGGTAGACTAGATCGCAACTCTCTGATCGGAAGAAAATAAAGTCAACATAAAGAGTGAAAAAGTACTGTTGAATGAGAAAAAAAAGGTCAAGTTGTAAACTGGATAACTGGAGGAATTCAGTAAATAAACGAATTCAATACAAGTTGGATTCCAAGTTTATTTATTTCAACAACGGTGACTCGTTGACCGTGGGACATCGTGATCTTGCCGATAATTGAGACGTTGTCGGTATAGTGTGAAGTTAATTAGTGTAAAAGTCGATCTCCTGACTTATCTCCTGCTTTAAAATAAACGAGACAATTTAAATCTTGAGCTCACTGATATTCTTGTTGGAAAAGCAACCGCTAAGACCGGAAATTTCTGTATCATGATGACGTGAATTCCTTCGAGATACTTTTTCTTGTAGGTAGATAATGTTTTTCTGCCATAAATTATCCATTGAATGGAATTATTTATTATTTTATTAATATCAATGGAACTGAGCTAATAATAAAAATAAATTTTATCAAATTATAAAGCTGGAATAAAATAACAGTTTGTATGTGATAAATAAATATTATCGATAAATTTTATTACTATTAATTAGTTGAATTTAAATAGATAATTTATTCATTTTTTACGGTTAACTTTCAAGATATAATTATTTTTTATTCAGAGCAGCTTTATGTGGTAGAAAAATTATCATACAAAGTTCTATAATTCTTATCGAAGCTTTTCTGGTGAGATAAGTGTATCGTTGAACCTACGCACTAATTAAATGCACATTCATTTTTCTATTGTTTTTTTCACCTTTTTGTGTTTCACACAGGATGAAAATTATTTCTTAAAAACGAAATAACGATGTTATTTATAATAAAATCTAGTATAAATACAGATAACAAGAATTTCTCGGTATAAGTTATGTCATACCTTTTGAAAAATTATTTTTTCTTGTTTGCATAAGAAAATAGAGTATATTTAACTTGTAAAGCCTGATGTATACAAATATATATGTATTATGTATATATGTGTATAGATACATAATACATATAAGCATCTTGGACATTACTATATGAGGAAGCTCAGGTGTCTAACGGAATTACGTGTAGCGGGATGCTCGCAGGTGTGGTCTAGGCTTTTTTGTGCGGGATTGAGCTTTGTGCGAATTTGATAAAGTGGATTAAATTGAGCGTTGAGTCGTGTATGTACTCTCTAAAATCGAAACAAGGAAAAATGTTATTCAATAGAGTAATTACGTCCATTGTTTTCTCGAGGAATTTTTTTTTATCGTGATTTTTTAAATAAATGACAATAAATTGAACAATCTAAACAATTACTGGATTTTAAAATTTATCTAACAAAAACTATTCATCATTTTTTTGATTTTTTTATATTTTACTTCATTATATAATATTTACTTTAATAATACATTAATTTCTCAAAAACATTTAGTAACATTAATTATCCCGCATGACAAGTGGTCAGTTTTTATCTCAAAATAACTATAAAATAATTAAATTAACAATTTGTACTGTCAAAAAATATTTTTCCTTTCAATAAATATCAACAAGCATAAAATGTCTGAACAAAATCAAGGTTTTTCACTTAGAAATTATTTATGTATTTAAAGATATGGCAAAAAGGAAACAAAAAGTAAGATATTTATTATTTAGATTCTAGAAAGTACACATCATTAACAGAAGAATTGATTCCGTGCAAATATCAATAACTATCATAAAAATATAAAAAATATTTATTTCTAAAGAATGAAGATCGATAAAAATGTCAGATATATAATTGGAATATTATGAAAGGAATTCTTTTATCAGCATACCGAGGATTATTCAAATGGTGAGTTGACTTGCTCTCGTTATTGCTTTCTGGGCATATAGCAGCATCGTAATTACCTTGTAGGTATAATTTTCGTGGAATCCTGTGTAAAAAAATGACTTCATTACCTGAGGGAGGCATATACGTACGTATCAGACCGGTTAGTTTACCTACCTCTGGTCGTTTCATGTGGAAGACTGCTTGGTGCGTTGCACGAGCTTCTTCGTGACGCTCTGAAGGTTCATCTCAATCCTCATGTTCACTTAACATCGTAATAACAAGTCACACGCAAGCATATATTCGACAGTATGTGGATTAAAATTGAAGCAAATGAGGGAAAAAGGAAGTGAAATTGTTGTTGAAATTGACTAGTATAACTATAAGACACGCACGTGGATTTATTTAAACGAATAGAGAAGGTTAATGAGATGGTGACAAGAGAGTTTTGCAACGCGTGGCTGCTTCTGGCGCTCGTGACTACCGCGAGTTACTTGAAAATTTTATTTCATTTATTTGCCCAGTTTGGTATAAACAACTAAGTAAGCCTCTTTGACTACGCCATTGTGTGTGATGCCAAGTGAGTACTTTGTACTGTACCCCATAGGGGGAATAGAACTCGAGAGAAGAGCGTGGTTGAGGTGCAGGAATGGCCCGATCGAACCCGGAAGACAGAGAAACCCACTGTGCCCTCGTAGGACAAGCTCTCTCGCACGCCACACATATAATACTCTTCGCCAATCACGAATATTTATCTCTAAATCACTTTCAACTCGTCTTGAGATTCTAATTCAATATTTTCACCTTCAATCAGTTTGAGTCTAGTTCTTTTTTTCATGCCACTTTTCCATTTACTTTAACAGCTAAATTGCAATCAATGCTAATAATTAACTAGATTATAAAAATCTTTTTTTATATTTCAATAATTTATTTTAATATTGTGAAATATTGACTGCTAAGATTAATCATTTAATTTTATATACTAATGAGTTCATTGGCTACATCTTGGTCTTTTTAGTTGGAATGTTAATTGCTAAAAAAATATTGTATTGTGGTGAAAAAAAAGACTGTCATCCAGTGAAAAAATCAGTGGAGTATGCGAATAAATTTTCTACAACATTGTTGTGATGAACTTTGTCTAGACAATTATTCCCATAATTGTGTGAAGCAGCACTTACACTTCCAATCTCAATCTCGAAAAAATAATAATTACGTGATATTTATTTAAACTAACGTCTGTTTTCTTTGCCTGTCATTCTTCAGTCTACTGTGACACGTCCTTTCTCGGTAGACTCATACATTTTTATACTGTGTGTACCGATGAGGATACCATACGCACAAAGTATACATGGAGCTCTTTTTACTGATAGATTTCATAGAATTCTATTGAAATCAATTAATCTATACAAATAAAAACTTTCAAGTCAAGAAAAATAGTCAAAGTAAAACGTTATTAAAATAAATCAAACTTCTGCTACTTGAATTGATAATTAAATAAAAATAAAATTTATTTTCAACTCACTGAAATTTTTCGTTGAATAACTCAAGTATTTCTAAGAGTATTTCAACAGGAATTAACTACTTGGTAAATTAGATAAATCAAGAAGCTCTAAAAAAAGCTCGCCAATTTCAAAATAATTCCCTAATATTTTTATTGAATAAAAAAGTAATTTGTATGTAAGATGTAAAATCATCGTTTATTTTCTTTATTTGCCTTTTTTGATGAACAGAATGACAAATCTTTGGTACCTGATGGCTGGCCGTTGACTCTGGCTGGCACTGGGTTGGTACTTCAACTTGGTGAGCTCGGGGCTTCCGCTTTGAGACACGGGGAATGTTATCTCTGCGTGCGAAGCAGCCGGCAAAGCGGTGGGGACACAAGCAGTGTCGTCAGCAACGAGGCGACTACCAAGAATAACGAGGGACAGCTGGAAAGGATCATCGATATCGTTGAGGTTGCACATGGCTTCACGTTTCATTTATTTTATACAATTAAATACTTTGTTTCAATTATCTTTTAATTTAAAAAAAAAACATTCGATATTCCTACATAATTCATCATTTTAATCAATTGCAGATTGCTCTCATTTGGAGATCGTCAATGCGTTCACCAGGAATTCTTGCTTGGGAGCGTGAAGACGATTTTATGGATTGGAGAGAAACTTCAGCATTGAAGGACCATCAGCAATCAACAAATCTGTCACCTACATCTACTCGTCGAAGACGAATTAAATCCAAGGAAGATCATCAAAGTTCAAGAAACCAAGACATTTCTCCGTCCTCATCTTCAAATAGTCAGCACCATTCTAATGTACCTTCACCTCTTCGAGTCTCTTCGGAGAACTCTAATACTTCTGGAGTCGATGACAATTTACCCAAGTTACCTGCGATGAGGTTGGATCAGCGACAAAGTGGTCGACAAAAAGAAGAAACTAAAATCCAGATCGAGGACTTAAAGAGACCAAGTTGTCTTGAATCTGTTATTAATAACCGACATCAAAAAGATTGTCCAGAAAATTTAAGTGAACAAATTAATTATGATGAACTCACAAGCCTTATTGGAACACTTTTGGTTACGGTCGAGCGTAAAATTGAACGTGTAAACCTGGATGACTTGGTATTTCCATGCCCTGCATGTCGAAACATTGACACTGATGATCCCCTTCTTGGTTGTAAGTGTTCTGGAGCTGAAGAGTGCAGTAATGAACATGGCAGTGACACGTGCGATTGTGGTATTGTAACAGAAAATTGCAGAAGCTTTGAAGTAGCAGGAATTAAACATATTGACAGTGATGATGAAGAAGAAGTACGAATGGGCTTTGGTGAGTTTGATGTATACTTGGAAAATAGTTGACTTGTACATGAGGATCATGAGAATATCCTAATCGCAATAACAATGGGGCGGAAGTAACGAGTTTCCTGTTGTGAGTCTTTTAAGCTTGCTTGACTTGACTATTTTTCAGTTCTCTTTTAGACTCACTGTGTTTACAATACACAGCAACTTACTTTTTTTACTTCCATTTAAAGCTTATTTTATTACAACGATTATTTTTATTTCTCTTAAAATGTTTTTACTCAAGTAATTTACAATCAAGGCTACTTTTAATGAGCTATTTTAGGTAACAATTAGCATAATAATCAATTAGTTAATTATCTCGTTTTCATTTCTTATCTACATATTATTATTCAATTCCACTCATTTTATTAATTGAATGTTGATTTTTCATTAATTCTCATAGACATTTCTAGTATTAGATTTAAAATGGAACAAAAAAAAATTGTTTCTACTAAATTACTCCATAAGGTATCATTTATTAATTTGAATTTCATCATTTATTTTTTGAATGAGTATTTAATTGGACATGATAATATATAATAATTATATTAGATATAAAGTAGCGAAATTGTGCAACATGAAAAGTCAAAATTTGATTGAAAAATGAGTGAGTAGACGATAAAGAGGTATCGATTGAAGAGTCGCGTGTGCTTCTTAGGTTGTTTTAAATGCACATAGTCTTGTATGGTTGTTGAAATTGTCGGTGGGAACGCCCCGGCAATTACGCGGATCGCGTTTCTTAAGAGAAAGAGAAAGAGTAGATCGACTACACTGTCTGGTTGCCGACGATTGCCATTCGACGGGTGGTCCTCTCTCAAGTTCTCTCTTTTTCTCTCTTCCCTTTCCTTCGTTTTCTGTCAAGGTAGAGATTGGAATACATGCGTGTAGAATACCAACACAGTTAGATACAGCTGGTTTCCACTTGTCAGTTTCCAGTTTCCATTTGAGAGTTTAATCACTTCCGCCCTTCGGGCTACGCTTTACCCTCATTCTTCAATTTATTCTCGATTATTCAGATTATTATCATTAAAATATTAAAAGTTTATTATTAAATTTCATTTCTAATATTATTTCTAATGTTTTCTTTTTCGTTTCAAGGATCCAAGAGAAAAATCGAGGAGGAAGTACCATCACCACGAAGCATCCACGACCTTCCTGAACGTGTTCTCCACTGTGGTCTTCGTCTACAAGGTAAATTTTCAGTCGCGATGAAAGGACGATTCATGCATTACTACTCTGTAATTCAAAGTAAATTCGCACGTGCGAGCTATGTACTTCTCACTGTATCTCTCTGGCCGTTGGGTTTACCTACTTACCGCAATCGTGATCTTACTCATGTGGACGTATATACGCGCCTTCAAGAGACCAAGAAGAGAGTAACCAAGGCGGCGTGTCAATAAAGTCGAATTCAGGATATGACCCGGATCCCATAGACTTGAGAGTCTATACTTCACTCAGTATTTTTTACGTTCATCGATAATGTATTTACTTATATTTACGATTAGACCAAGACAATCTTGATACTTTGACTTTCTGCATTCACTGAAAAATTTATAGTATTCATTTTTTCTCTATGCTGCATTTATCATTGGCTTTATGGTAAACTTGGCTTGCAAAATAGTATATTTTACTATTCTCTAGTATTCGCCTAGTCATTCTAATGAGATTTCAACGGATATTCAATGTTTTTTGGTTTAAATTATGATAGATTGTTTATTTGTATTTATAGAAATATTTTATATTTTAATGAGGGTAAAAGAGCCAAGAAAAAATTTTAAAAAATAATTATGTGTTATTGAGGAAGTTATAAACACTTAATAAAGCTAATTTATTGGAAAAGGTATCCCTTTTGCACTCTAGTTAAAACTCTTTTAAAATTAATGCAAATTATACTGAGATTCATTACACTTGACTTTTTCATTCATTTCAAAACACTAATAATCATTACGAAAAAAATCATGTAAAATTCCCTACAGCTTATTTTTATTTTTCATTTCCAGGATACGCTGACGATCTTTCAGGGAGACTTGTTCTAGAGTTTGATAATACCTCTGTTCAAGAAACGAAGATTTGTCCGAGGGAAATTGCGTCGTATCTTCTTTATCTCTCTAGACTTCACAGGTAGTTAAACATACAATTTTAATTTTTATCATTTAGCTGTTGCTACTTTAAGTATATCTACTTTAATAAAATTGCAAATTACTTAATTCATTTTAATAAAAAGTATTCACCACTTTTAAATTAAATTGAAGCATTACTTTTTTTTTGCTGTACTGGTGTTGCAACATTATTTTACAGATTAATTTCCAATTTGAAAATTATTAACAGAAGAACATCGAATTTCACTTCTTGTAAAGTAAGAAAAATGAATTGGAATACGAATAAAAAGAAAATAATTAAAGTTTGTGAAAAAAATTTAGTGAAGGTTAAGATGTATCGTATAATTTTCAGAATTTTAAATTGAGCCGTATAATTTGATAAAAAAAAAAATTTAATTAAATATCAGTGAATTTTTTTCAAATAAATAATGTGCTATAAATATTTTGTAAAAACGTTTTACAAATTATCAGTTAATTTAATATTTTCTGTAGAAAAAAATTCCAAATTACAGAGCTTGAATAATTCATTAATCATGATACCTTAATGAAATTTAATTATTATCCCTTAAAAGATCATGAACAGTCATTTAAAATAGCTATTAATTGATAAATTCCATAAGAGTTTATGATAATAAATTTAATTGAATATTATAAACTAAAAAAAAATCATTTTAATTTAAAGCTCCGATCGCACGAAGAACGGATGGACGCTAGTGATTCGAAGAGGAACCTCTGATGACTTTGATACCCTAGACCGTGCTCTAGTGTTAGTTCAAGGAAGAGTAAATGTTCGGCAGGCTTTTTTGCTGCGAAATTCAGATAGTCCAGAGCCATCAACGAACTCCCAATTTCCCCGCAGTCGTGTCAAGGTAATAAAAAGCAATTGATAAAGAAGTTGGGTTACAAAGAACGTGAGTAAATTGATGTAAATAATGAGTCATTATTGAACAAAAACATGCCGAGGATAATAGGGCTTTCTATTGTGAATTTCTCTGGGTATTCAATAGACTCAGTATTTCCATTTGTTTCCCCTCTTCTTATACACTCTCAATTACCAACCGCCCCATTCTTGTAACTCGTACATATGAAGCATGTAAACGGACTTCTCAAATGAGAGAAGAGACCAATAAAGCTATCGTGTGCAGGCTTTAATTCGAATCGATGGAGCAGCGAGTAGTCGATAAATTGATAAAATAATTGATCCTCTTATTTGTTCCACAGATAACGAGCATTGATGACGCAACCTTAAGCCGGCGCATCCCTCGATTGAAAGACGGAGATTATAATCATGAAGAATGGATTGCCTTTTATAAGGTAAGTACTATTGAGATTAAATCATTTCAAATAAAATCAATCAACTGTAAAAATTCTTATTATCATTCAATTATTCAAGGAATATGACAGCTTGATGACCGAGTGGCAGAATTATGGAAGACAACTCGTAATGGAGATGTCAGAGCTAAAAGATTCTACGAATATTGGTAGTTCTCTAACACCTCTAAGTCGTTTGTTAACTGAACCAGAGTCAAGAAGAACATTGAGAGAAGCATCAGAATGTCTAGCTTCCTTGGAGGAACGTGCAGAAACTCTATCACACCTGGATTATGTTTCAAGTGCAGTTCAACGTGCCAGGAGGCTCATGGAGGAAGTTGGAAATGCAGCAACGCGATTAGAAAATAGTTTTGAGTCTCGTCGAGCAACGATAAGGAACTTTGCTGTGCTGCGGACCATCGAGGAGCAAGCCAGAGAGGTAAAGATGGGATGAGAATTCTAGGGAGATATGGTGAATAAAAGCTATCGGGTGAGAAAGCCCTCGCTCTCTTTGTCCTCTTAGCGATTCTGAGAGAACGTGTCTAGGAGTATGGAAGCTAAACAGGCGAATGGACTGTTGGAAAGCAGAGTCAACGAGCCTACCTAGCTGTACCTTGATACTATTGTTGTACTGAACGTTCATGCAAATAAGCGCGGAGTCTCTTTGCCGGCGTCATGACGCCTTATAGGTAGCAGAGAGAGGTCTTTTGCTCTTGCCGTTAACATCTCTGGTCCCATGACTACCTCTTGTCCTCTGTGTGCTGGCAGCAAATGTGCGCGGAAAAAGCACGACGCAAAGTAGTCACGTATGAATGCACACATTGTCTATTAATTGGATGATAGAATTCATAGAGATTGAAGATTGTGTATCTAGATGACGAGAAAAATGTTCATTTTATCATTTGGCGTAGTAAATTAATGTGTTGTGCTCCGCAATAATTAACTGGACATTTTTATTTTCTATGAGGATTGAATAAAAGTTAAGTCCATTGTCGTGGAGATAAGACGTTTGGAATCACGAGTCTGGGTACATTATATTCATTGTTACTCGTGGACGTTGTGTACTCGACAAAGAGACAAGAGTACAAAGAAAGAGATTGGCTGCTGGAGAGGTGGTCTCGCAATTCCTAAACCGATATTGCATATAAATAAGCCGGTCACACGACGGCTGTTGCGAAAGTATAAACGCGACTCTCTGTCTACCAAGGGGTGACTTTATTACCATGTTGCTTCTTTCAAGACACGATTCTGTGTATGGATTGTAGTGAGATCAAACTAAAGATCCGGCTTGATATTTTTTCCCGATTTTTTTTCTTCCTTTTATTTCAAATAAATCATTAATTATGAGAACGGTGGGACAGGTCCACCTCGGCATGCCCCAGAAACCGAATAACCCTCTTGTCGAATTTCATTTTACTCAAGACTTTGGAATAACCCTCAGGGCTTGGCCTCAAACAAACACGCTGAAGATGATTTTTTCGGGGTCGTGATCCAATTGCTGAAGCGAAAACGAGAAAACGAGAGCGTAGACTTCCCTACCAAGTGAATGAAGAAAAATTGAATCCAATCCAATTTTTTTTCCTTGGCACTTGACGCTAAATCTTCTTTTTTCTCCTTTCATTCTTATTTTCATTCTTTTTCTTAACTTTCCTTTTTCCATTACAGGTACTCTCGTGGCTCTGCAAGAAGGGAGAGGACATTCTCAATAAGCACGCAAGACACGCAGCCACAACCCTCACCACTGCACGACTTCATGAACGAGACTTTGAAAAATTCTATTTTTCATCCATGGTAAGTCAAATTATCATATTTAAAATACAAACAAATTAATTCACTATTTAACAAGTAACTAATCTACCCAACCATAACAAATCATTTCATTTTAAATTCAAACACAGACTTCTATTTTACCATAAGTTGGATTGAAAACCCGATACAATCCTTCACTACCGACACTAGTTTTCATTCATCAGCTTACATAAGAAAAAATTTCCATTGATTCAAATGCAGAGACTTTCTAAGAATTCAAATGCCCTTTGTAATTACACTTGAATAAAGTACAAAGAGCGTGTGAATAATGCAAGTTTTTCATTATCGGAGTAGGGAGCGGGAATGAATAAAAAAACAACATAATATAATGAAAGAAAAAAAAAACCTTGAGTAATTGCAATTTTAAATTGTACATTAAAACTCTTTGAACTTACAAATTGAAAACTGTAGAGTGGCTAAAAGTATAATAGTTATTGTTGGACGATTTGAATCAAAGGTGAAAGGTATTAAAGACTAGAGTTAAGTTTGGGTAATTGCTAACTCTGGGACTGATGGGTACGTACTTGTACCAGTTGTGCAAAATGATCGATCAAAGCTAGGTCGGTCGTTCCCCAGTCTTCTTTATAACAGTTTAGGCAAACAGTTTGTCCGTATGCTCTAATTACAGTATTTATTTTCTACTTTTACTTCACAATGGAAATAAAAGGATTGTTCTTTATAGATATAAATAACGATAAACAAACATTAATAATACCAGAAGCTTAACTCATAATTCTTGAGTCACTAAGAGTTTCGTTATTTATTGTACATTGCATAAACTAGAAGATTTAGAACCTAACGAAAATGTTTGCGTGTCCTGAGACGTTTAAGACCTCCATGACGACCGGATTACGTTCGTTCTGGTGACCCTATTACGCGTTAGCACGTCCAACGCGTCGTGGGTGTGTCATTACATGCCGCGAGAGTAAAAGACTTCATTATACATTTTTCCTCATTGTTTATTAAATTAAATACTTAAACAAATGCGCAGGTAAACGATCTAGATACCAACGAACACAAGATAAACTAGTAATTTTCTTAATTATTTTTAATTGACTCGTTAAAGTTGTAAAAAAACAACAATTTTATGTTTGTGAAAATTATTATTATTATCATTATTTAATTTTCATATAGATTCTTGTTTATTTAGTCTGAATAATTTAAGTTGGCATGAATAATTTCTTAATTATTTATAATTGTCCACAGTTAGAAATTTCATTATTGCAGTATTTATTCAAATTATTGTTTATCAATTCTAAAGATTATAAAACATTTTTTTTAGCATAGAAACATTACTTATTATTAAAGTTGATGAATGTAATTAAATAATATGAGTCTGTTGATTTATAATTTATGACTTTTATTTATCGAGAAAAAATTATTTGTTACGAGGGAATAAAAATTCTAAGAGCCATAATAAATGAAATTAATTTAATAGCGTGTTTTTAATTTGATGAGAAATTAAAGTGATGTATGAAAAGGGTGTAAATATACATACTGAAGGGAGAGAAAAAAAGTTTCTAATAAAAGATGGAAATAAAAAAGTGTGACACTAATCAAGTTTTCTCTCACTTAAAATTAAAATGTTGTCAAAATAGGACAAACAGGATAAACATGAATTGGCGTTGTTAACAAGATCTTTCTTAATCGCAAAAAGCTTTCCTCTGTTAACTTTTAACCTTCTAAAAGTAATTAACTGTTAACTGCGATCTTGACTTATCTCTCGGGTGATAACAATTGACTGGTTTTTCCACTTAAGTCAAATGTCTATTTATGTAGTGAATGAATTTCCGGAGGGTTTCGTAGAAGACATGATTTTTTTTTTTATTTTTTATTACGATATTTTTGATCTTTGATTCTCGCATTATGAGACCAGAAAAAAGTGGCGATAAATTAATATTCGTTAAGTGGAACTAAAGAACTCAGTCGAGACACACAAGTTGAGTGAGAAAAGAAGTCATTGAAGCGCGTTCTTGCACGCACGTATTACGAACTCGTCCTGCGTACAAATCAGTGGAAAGGCTAACTGTATTATTCCCAACAACGTTTTGTCGTTTTATTATCGTGTCAAATGTTGAAAATCTTGTTACACTCAAATCAAAAATTTATATATCGTTGCTGGAATATTATTATGACGATACGTAGTTAAGTTTTCATGATATCTCTGATCTAAGACTGTTCCCACGTTTCTGTAAATTTATGTTATGTCTAATACTTGATGTAAAAAATATCAAACTATGCTGCTATCCATGAAGTCGGTCTTGCTTGACTGATATACCTCTAGTGGAGCAATCTGCAGCCTTCAGTCTCGAGTAATTAATGAAAGGGAGTGCCTTTCGAGTAATCGGTACATGCGTTCACTCATTTTTCACGCCTACCGATCTCGCTAAATTGACACGTGATGCCACGTGACCGCTGTACGTTACTTTGAAATACTCAAGTAATCCTATTTGGAAATTAATCCTCGCTACTTTGAGGTAATTAATTAATTATTTTAACAATTTATTTAACTTTTACTTGATTTATTGATACTGTTGTCGGTTGGTAATTCACTGGTGAAATTACAATGCAATTTTATTATATAAGAATTTATGAATTAATATATAAATGTTCACGGAAGGAGTGATTTAAAAAAATTAACATGAAATTCTCATGGAATTAACAATTCTGAGAAGAATTGGGGAAATTAATTGTAATTAATGATCTGAAAACTGAGAACAATCAATGAATCCGGATGAGTTTTAATACTGAATGAAATTTATTTAAATATCTTGAGGAGAAAAAGATTACTCCGAAAGCTAAGTAATTCCCCATTAATTAATTTCTTATTAAAATAGAAATTGTTGGAATAAATTTATAAGAAATATTTATATCTTGCAAATAAATATCATAAAAAATTTATTAAAAAAATCTAATAGTAATTTAGTTTATTTATTTTTCTGAAAATAAAGATTAATCTCAGTTGTTCAGCCTACGCAAAAAAAACAAGATTAAATTATTTCCAGTATGAATGATTTTATCTAAGAATCATAAAATTTTTAGAGAAATCACAAGCTCATTTACTCCCACTGGGTTGAACCTGTTACATTAAATAGCTGTCTTCATCAAGTCCTGATAGATATATATCGTTCGAAAGTATCGTATAGATCAACTGAATAGATATTATTTATAATTGTACAGTTTGATTAATTAATTGCACTGTTTATATAACGTACATTAGCATTAACTTGACTTTACCTACTATAATATAATTTTAATAATAATCATAATAATTTATGTATTTTGCATTAACGATAGATCTTGATAATAAATCGATATATTTATTCTTCGTCAATATTCTGATAAAATCTTCAAACAATCATATTTCTATTCAATTCAATGTATACAAAATTTCGCATAATTATTTTCATTGAATTGGAGTAAGATTATATCACTAGTAAATAATTTCAATCAGCCAACTATTATCCACAGCTACTTATAGGAATCTCATTTCCGATTTAATGAATATATTAACCCAAAGTCATTTTATGAAATCTCCATTTTAATCAATAACTTCAAGTATGAACAGATAAAAAAGTTCGGGAATTTATTTATGTTCATAATCTCTTATCAGTTTAATATCAAGACACTTTCGTGCTCGATTTACATTCCAATGCCGGGTAAAAGGACAAACTTAATTGGCTTTTTTTCTAAACTACTCCAGAGCACTACGTTCGATTACAACTTTTTCTTCAATGTGGGAAAATGAGCACATTATAGAAATCTATTCGAAAAAATAATTCGCATTTATGTTAGAAAATACTTTCGTCAATAAACATCATTTTAAGTAGATGCTAATAAACGAGTATATATCGCGGTATTTTAATGAATTTTATGAATATTCCACTGACCCACTTGGGTGGTAAGCCGAGTAAAATGCTCTGAAGATACCGCGCTTTTATGCAACGTTTAGAGCATCATCATCACCGTCGTTCAACTAGTGATAATGAAAAAAATAAAGCAGAGAAACGTGTACGGCAAATCTTCTAAGGAAAGCGATCAACATTCTTGATACGTTAGAAGCTAAGATTTTAACGACAGACTGAGAGAGAAAGGGTGAAGGGGTAGAGAGTTAGAGTTGCGGACAGTCGAATCGAACGAATCGACTTGCAAGCGGGGAACGCACGGCATTAGGAGACGGCAGTGAAGCCTCGCTGCGATACACGGCAGTAGGCCAACAGCGTTCGTGCCGTACTCTTCGTATTTTCGCGTCTAAGTTCATCTCATTACTCGTTTTTTGATCGTCAAACCAGTTGGAAAATATTTGGATTAAAAAAAAAAAATTTTTTCCTGATGTGATTGTGAAGTTTTTAAGTTCTGTTTATTGGCTTTCTAATTTCATTTTTAAATTGAGTAATTATTTGAAATTATTACCAAGTTATTGACAAAAATAAATATTACGTCAGAAAATTTTTGAAATTTTCGGCGCGAACGTAAAAATTCCTTGACCTGTTCCGATCGATGACTTTCCAAAGGGAGAAGTGTACTTTCACTTTCTTACGAGTGTTGTTGTTGAGGATTCACGATGAGGAAGATACTTTGAATGCTATTGGATGAAATAAGAGAAACATAATAATAACATAAGAAATATGAGATTACTCGAATGTTAATATCAGAGGAAGAAACTGAAAAAAACGGCGGCTGCCGTTTGCTTTCATTCCGCCGCAAGTCAGAGGTCAGTGAAGATGCATCAAGTCACGTGGAAGAAGTGTCGATGCGTTTTGTTGAGGTTTCCTCAAGTTTCGAGAGAAATTCGAGACCGAGGAAAAAAATTCATTTAAAAAGATCACCAAGAGCTGCATCAATTGGATCACCTTTAGATGTTAGAAATTCCATTTTTATCAGATTTTTTCCTGAGAGATTAAAAAAAGTCTTATCAACTTCGCCCTGTTCTCTTGATCAACCTCTTGTTCTTCAAATTACCTCAAGATCTTTTGATGAAACCAATGATATAGTTGACGGTATCGTTCCGATTAGATATTATAAAGTAACTGACTTAGATGAAGTAGAAAAGCAATCGGATAAAAATAATGTAGAGTTCAAGCATGAGAAAAATTGGCGGCGTAAGAAAAAGGCGGATAAAGATGTTGAAAAAGTAAATAACGATGAGAGGGACGCTTGCGTCCTTCTTGGTCTTCGACCCCTCGAGGTTGATGCACCGAGTCTTGTCACGGTGACCCCGAACGAGTCGACGCCCCCGCCAATTCCTCCACCACGCAGGACCAATGCAAGATGCACAAGAAGAGACAGAGAACGCGCTAGAATTCTCAAAAGACGCAAAATCAATCTCAGGTCCTCATCTGAACCAGTGAGTCTTTTTCCAAACTGTTTAGCTTTTTTTTCTAAACTTTTTTCTATTCTTATTAGACTCGAATGTTTGTTTGAGAATAATAACAAAATTGTTTCAATCTTTAAATAATTTCCTTCTATTAAAAAGCAAAAAACTATTTTTAGTTCAGATTTTTTTATTCGGCAAAATTCGAAAAGCTTCATTTGTTACTTATTAAGTTACTTGTTACATGACAAGCAATTTATTGGATTTAGAAATTTATTGCTTTATTAATGGAAAAAAACTCAGTTACATAAAAGCACTTTTAAGGTACTCGACCTGGATTTAAAGCAGATTCGTGCATTCTGTGAGACAATTATTTTTTTTTAATTACACGCAGTAACTGAAGAAAAGTACAAGATAATAAAGACTAGAGTGTCTTCCATACTCGGTAGTTTTGCTCACAGGCATGACGACGCATACGTTTGTATTTCCTTTTTTAACAACATATTGCACCACTTTGTGTGCTAACATCAAACATTTCATTTCTCTTTTTATTTGTCTAACATGAAATAATATCTACCTATCTATATCTATCAAGAATACACATGATTATCTGCTAAAAATATCGCTCGAAGAATTTTTAACTTTCAAGGGCTAACGAAAGACAGGTTTTTTTTGTACATTCTTAACAAATCATAGAGCAAGAAAAAACATCTTTGTGTGTAAGATTTGTAGTTAATTTTATTTATGATGAAAAAAAAAATTATTAAAAATTTTAAAAAATAACTGCGGCCTGGATTTGAACCAGGAATCTTCGGGTAAACAAATAGATTTGAACCATCAGTCTTATCATAATCAGCTTTATTATGAATACTTATAAGTAAATATATAAATCTGATAAATATATATATATATATCTCTCTCTAGGTATTAAACTTACATTGCTAATATATGATCTCGCTTATTCATTAGGTATTGCACCATATATTATGTAATAATTGCTGCACTGTTTTCAATCATTGAAGGGCCCATTTTGTCGTATTTAGCTCAAATCATATTTACTGTCCCGATGCGTTACCATTTACGCTACCGCAGGTACAACGACTACTTTAATTTGTATTCTTATGTAAATTGAATTTAAATACGAACGAGGATTTACATTGGATCAGTATAAGCTGATCACATTGATACGAATAATACGATAAAGAACGCGATGTCTACAATTTAAAAGATGTTTTGTTCGAATGTATTTTTAGAAAAAAAAAAAATAAATAATTAAAAAAAATCCTGCAGCCTGGATTCGAACCAGGAGACCTCAGATTAACAATTTAGGACCAAACTACTAAGAATCGAAAGTTACTATGCTAAGTTCTAGCCTATGATAAGTCTAAACCTTATGATGTAATGATTACATATACCTTGCAACTAGTTCCTTAAAATTATCATAGTTACGCTTGCCACTGTGATTTAGTGCTATAAGGTAAAACCCCAAAGCTATCATCAGCACTTAATATTAATGAATTTAATAATAACTAATAACTATAAAGCTTACAAGCTACTAATAACCAACGAATATTACCGCAATGGCCGGTCTCATTCGTACCGGAATTCGTCGACTATTAGATGTACAACTGAAACATTTGGTAGATCCGTTCATTTAAATCCTAAATTTTTGTTCTGACGCGTTACCACTTACGCTACCGCAGGATTGATATGAAGAAGATTTTAATTTCACTTTTATATTGTACAGCAAGCAGAAATTCCTAGGAAGTAATGTGGGGATAGACTGAAGAACCAGCATTAGTTAGAATTAGACGTAAGGGACGCGTGTTTACATGGACTTTTAAATTTAAAAGACGAAAAATACCACAATTCACTTCTGAATAAGTAGTCTCCGACAAAATAAAAACTACAAGTACTGCACTTCAACTGTTGAGTTTTTGTCGAAGACAAAATTAAAATAATAAAAGCTAAAGATTGGAACGTTTTTCAAAGAACCTGTCTATCATCAGCTATTGGCAGTATTTGTTCGAATGTATTTTTAGAAAAAAAAAAAAATAAATAATTAAAAAAAATCCTGCAGCCTGGATTCGAACCAGGAGATCTCAGATTAACAATTTAGGACCAAACTACTAAGAATCGAAAGTTACTATGCTAAGTTCTAGCCTATGATAAGTCTAAACCTTATTATGTATAATGTATAATGTATAATATTATGTATAATGATTACATGTACCTTGCAACAAGTTCCTTAAAATTATCATAGTTACGGTTTCTACTGTGATTTAGTGCTATAAGGTAAAACCCCAAAGCTATCATCACCACTTAATATTAATGAATTTAATAATAACTAATAACTATAAAGCTTACAAGCTACTAATAACCAACGAATATTACCGCAATGGCCGGTCCCATTCGTACCGGAATTCGTCGCCTATTAGATGTAGTACGGTCGTTCGTGTGTATGATCGGTTCATTTGAATCCTAAATTTTTGTTCTGACGCGTTACCACTTACGCTACCGCAGGATTGATATGAAGAAGATTTTAATTTCACTTTTATATTGTATAGCAAGCAGAAATTCCTACGAAGTAATGTGGGGATAGACTGAAGAACCAGCATTAGCTAGAATTAGACGTAAGGGACGCGTGTTTACATACTCGACCGCACGCATTCACTTGCTACTACACACACACATTGTAGACATATTTTAACTCAAAACAAATTATGAAAATTAAGTCAGTGTCAAGTAGCCTCGTAAAGACACACAAAACAACTTTCAATATATTCTGGACTTTTAAATTTAAAAGACGAAAAATACCACAATTCACTTCTGAATAAGTAGTCTCCGACAAAAAAAAAAACCACAAGTACTGCACTTCAATTGTTGAGTTTTCGTCGAAGACAAAATTAAAATAACAAAAGCTAAAGATTGGAATGTTTTTTAAAGAACCTGTCTATCGTCAGTATTTGCTTTTATGAAAGATTTGAGATAAAAAATTCATTTTTGATTATGTAAATATTTTTCATGATAATATCAAAATTTGCTTAAAGCGTATAATCTTTAATGCATCAAAAATTATGCGAAATTCATTAGAGGAATGTGAAGATTGAATAAAGAAGACAGAAAGAAAGTGAACGTAGGACGTAAGGGAAGAACCATGTTTACATTCGCCATGCACACATTTAAATTACAGCAGAGAATAATAAGAATCAGATGACTACCAAGTTATTTTCTATTCCTCAATCTACATCCGCATATGGAAATTTTTCTTGTAAATATTCTTACATGACTTGTAAACTATTATAACTCATTACATAATGAGAATTATATGCTCTGCTTGTCGACGTGTTTATTATTTTTTCTAACCAACTAGTTACTTGGGTTTTATATACGAAGAATGAAATGTTAAAGAAAATATTTCTTCAAGTATAATATTAAGGCGTTTGGCATGCGCATATTTCAGTTCTTCCAGTATACGACTGGCGTTTAGCTATTTCAAGGTAACGGCGTTGGCGCCGCGGGTTCACGCCCTCATGCGTTTATGCGAGTGTAAGAATATAAAAGGATGAAGAAAAACCAAGAGAGAAGAGAGACGACAGATGCCATATACACGGCAAGTGAGCGCATGAATTGTTTTGCCAGTGAATGGCATAAATCCTGTAAGCACCATTTGGGTCGTCTGCTCTTTGATTAATCTTGGACAAAATAGTCATCAGACTAGTGCAATTTTCGCTAGCTAACATTACACTAGTGTTCATTAGAGAATAACTGCAGCCTCGAGTCAAGCGTATATGAATGTATGAACTAAGAAATAAATGAATCAAAATGAAAGCATAAGTGTAAGCATAGTAAGAGTTCAACTTTCCTGGCTCGCATTCCGTTCTGGTCAGCAACCTGGCTCTCGTCCACCTCCACCTTTGGCTCAGAATTGCAATCTCGGTTCGCACGCGAGTGTCCAAGTGCTGAGGAACCGACGATGAAAGTTAGAACAGGTTTATAGGGAAAAGAACGGTTAAGTCAGTGAGAAAGCCATGTAGCGGAAGATCAATGACGAATCAAGCATGTAATGACCTATCCAATAGTTCCTGATGTCCATCCCTTTCATTTCACGGCTTTCTGCCACTTATTCCATTGTTCTGATTTGATGTTTAATGCTTTCAGCGCCATCTGGACAAGGGAAGTGATCTGGCAGAAGCAGCAGGGACCAGTGGTCTCAACGACTTGGCCCTTTCGCTTCGTGAACATCTTCGAGATTTTGGTTTACGGTTAGAAGATCGAAGAGAGTACCTGGAAGATACTTCAAGATGTTGTTTGCTTCAAGACCAAGCTCAAGAGTGGATGAAAGAAGCAAGAGCTGCAGATTGCAGCGAAGGTTCTCAAAGGTTCCAATCATCAAGACGTGTTCCCTTGCCAGCTGAACATCTTGAAGAAATGATGAATCTTGCGGAAAAACTAGGCAATGAAGCTCTAATTGAGCAGTGCAGAGTCATTAGGAATAAATGTCTAGAGTTAGTAGAACTAACAAAAAGTAATTCTGCTCCTCAAAGTCCTTCTGGTCTAAGAAGATCATTTGCTAGATCAGAATCAGCTGCAGAATATAATTCTTGGGATGATGATAGTAATGCTGGATCATGTCCGATTAAGAATGGTACCAGTGCTACTGAAGAGTCTCAGTCTGCTACGGATAATATTGTTGAGCTTGGAGAAACTCGACAGCAAGATAATCTTGATTCTCCACCAAGAAGCCCTGCCACTAGAAGACTCGTTAAACCACCAGTTAATTCTCACCTACAAAGGTCACCTAGTATTGCTCCAGCTGGAATGAAAGCAAAAAAGTATGTAACTAATATTTTCCTATATCCATTCATCTACTTTGTATCATATTATATAACACTAATCATTCTTATCATACTTTTTTCAAGGACTATTCTGCTTATTATGAGAGAGATGATTCAAACTGAAAGAGATTACGTGAAATCATTGGAGTACATCATCGAGGTATAATGAAATTCCATTGTATTTGTTATTTAATTCAGTAAAAATTAGTATGATGATTAATTTTTTAATGGTTCATCATTCAATAGAATTTAATTCAAATTTAAACAAAATGGTAGATAATTTAAATAATGTTATTTGTAAAACTGCTTCAAGTAAAAAAGTTCACGCAAAGAATTACAAAACAGAGATAAAACTTCCCAATGATAAAAAAATATAGTAATTCTGTCGAGGATAAAGATTTTATCATGGCTTAATATATTTTATTGACAACAAAAGATTTGACATATTTTTTTAAAAATAATAACATGAAATTTTTTATTTTTTAAGAATTATATTCCTGAACTCGTACGAGAAGATATTCCCCAAGCTTTAAGAGGTCAACGAAACGTAATCTTTGGAAACGTCGAAAAAATTTATGAATTCCATAGTCAGCATTTTCTACGTGAGTTGGAACAATGTGAACATAGCCCCATGATGGTTGGTCAGTGCTTTTTGCGACACGTAAGTTGTTTATCAAAATTTATGAAGATTTAAAAATATTAAATGAAAGTGAGCCAATAATAAATTCACAATTTTATGTATACTGTTTGTTAAGAGTTTTTTGTTTCTGCAGGAGAACAAGTTTTATCTCTACGCTTTATACAATAAAAATAAACCAAATTCAGATTCACTGATGGCAGAGTATGGTTCATCGTTTTTTAAAGCAAAACAACTAGAACTTGGAGATAAAATGGATTTAGCAAGTTATTTATTGAAGCCTGTTCAGCGAATGGGAAAATACGCACTTCTACTTCAACAATTGGTGAAAGCAGGTACTGATTTATCGGAGCAACTGGCGGGTAAAAATGACAAAGAGTCGAAGGAGCAGGATATTAGCAATGTTAAACCAATTGTTGAGGGAGAAGCTGAATTAAGAGCTGCTGAGCAGATGGTTCGTTTTCAATTACGACATGGAAATGACCTTCTGGCAATGGATTCATTACGTGATTGCGATGTAAATGTTAAAGAACAGGGACGACTTTTAAGGCAAAATGAATTTCTTGTATGGCAAGGAAAAGGAAAAAAATGTTTGAGACAAGTATTCCTCTTTGAAGATCTAATTCTCTTCAGCAAAGCTCGAAGATTTCCCGATAGAAAGGTAACTTTTTTTCTAATAATAAAAATATTGATAAATATTTAATTTTTTAATTGATAAATAATCAATGTGACATTTCTATTGTTTATGGTTAAAATACTTTGTCTTTTGTTAGCCAATCTATTAGATAAAATTATATTACATCAATTTTTCCTTTCCTGACTAATTGAAGTTAAATATCCATTAAATATAATTGCTCTTTTATATCCATAAAAAGTAAAGTATTGATCATTACATAGCTATACCATATATGGATTATAAGAAATGTTGATATAATTGATTGATGTCATAAGTAATGATTTTTTTACTTTTCAGAACCTTGATATTTATATATACAAGCACAGCATAAAAACAACGGATATCGGTTTAACAGCAGTGATTGCAGACTCTCCAACGAAATTTGAGATCTGGTTCAGAAAAAGGAAGCCTGGAGATACATATACATTGCAATGTGCTAGTGAGGAAATAAAAAAAGCTTGGACAGAAGAATTGAGCAATCTCCTTTGGAAGCAGGCGCTTCGTAACAGAGGTAATCAATTCATTATTAACCACTCATCCTTTTAAAGAACTATGGAAAAAAAAAGAAAAAAAAAACTAATTACTACTTGAATTTACTTTGTAGAAGTGCGCCTGGCAGAAATGTCAAGTATGGGAATAGGAAATAAACCTTGTCTCGACATTAGACCTAGTGCAGATCAAATAAATGACAGATCTATTAGCGTCGCTCAGCTTTCAAAAAGTAATTAAAAAAAACTCTATTATTTTACTTTACATATTCATGTCAAACTAAACAATTCCAGTCTAAAGTTGGTTAATCTGACATAGATTGTCTTATTGATTAATTTGAAAGATCTACTGTAACTGATAATATTTCTAATGCATGTGAATTTTATTTTATAAAAGCTCCAAGATTTAGGAATTCAATTGCAGTCTCAATATCAGATGACTCCAATCGCTGTAGTCGTAGACCTCATAGCGTAATTTCTGTGAGCTCATCATCAAGTAGTGGAGGAAGCAGTGGAGTCCCTCAAACCACTTTGCATCTAGGTTTAGATGCTAGTCCCCGGCTCCATCACCGTAGTACTACACTTAATAGCCAATGTAGTGTTGGTGAGTAGATTTAAATGTTATTTGTAGTTAATTCATTAGCTAAGCAATTTATTGGAACTACATTCATTAATTATATTAAATTATATTTGTAGAGAGCGGAATAATTGCTGACATTTCAATTGTTTCGGATGATGGTGTGGATGGTGGAGACAGAAGTCATTGGAAACAAACTCTAGAAAGCCCTACATCATCACATCCGCCAAATACATCAACACCTCTCCAATCTCCTACAAGTTCTCATACAGCACCAGTGCCAGCTTCAACATCTTCCACAGACGTTAATTTAACGTCTCCCTATGATCAAGACATGTCTATAAACTTGTAAACTAATCTTAAAAATTGAATGTAGATGAAAGTACTTTTCATTTTGTTAATGTAGAGCTCTTTAAAATTAGATCTAACACTGGCCTGTAAGTGCAAAAGCCAAATATTTTTTATTCCTGAATATTGTTAATTATTTGGAATATTATTTAAGGCACTCGTGTGAATTGTTTTAGAATGGCTTGAACGTTAGTTTAATAACGATTATATTAAGCCAATCTTAAGACTTACACACATGACTTGCAGGGAGTTGCGATTATTGAACAAATACTTGTCTATAAATTTCTCAATTGTCACATTGTTCCTAGTAAGTCAACTAAATCATTCTCATTCGGTTCTCTGCCAAGATATTGTTAGGAATATCGGTTGGACAGTAACCGGCACGTTATTATTATGTTGTGACAGTTTTTATAAGACTTCATTTATTAATTTTTATAAAAAAAACTAAAAATGATCGAAAATAATGAAATATTTATAATTCTCATTGGAATTTAACTTCATAAGTACCTCTTTTTTTGAGAGCACAAATCATAGATGTGGTACTTATGGCTAAATTTCCCTATTTTCAAAAAGTATTACCAACAAAAGTTGTCTAAAAAATAGTTTACATGAGTTTGGTTTTGTTTTTCTAAATGAGAATTTCTTTTGAAAATATTGGTTCTACTTTTGCAAGACCAGGGATCTTTTGCCATAAATTGTACCTAACTATTACACGTTTGTAACAGTCCAGTCATATATTATTCTCTTAGATATTTATTAATATATTTTTTAAGTATGTACAAGCAGCCGTGTTACAGTCCCATTTTATATCAAAGTACTTAAAATTTAACAATCATTCAAGTGTATATATTATATTAAATTGATAATGATTATTTCAGTATTGTACTTGCATCTAACACTGATGTATTTTACTACTTATATCAAATATATTATATTGGGTGCCTTTTTTAGCGAAATAAACAATTAGTGTTAATTTACATTAATCCTCTTATACTAAATGAATAAATTATCTTGAGCAATCATTATACAGGTAAGAATGACTGCTTAAGAAAACTGAATTTAAAGTCAGAAACTCAGTTTGAATTTTTAAATGAGATAATTATTCATTACAAAGATACTGAAGTTGAAGGAAACATTTTAAGACAGTGACTTTTAGTCAAAGTTCTCTAGAGTAAGTCAAGAAATAAATTACTATTTGAAAAATCTAAAAATGAAAAAGTGTTGAAGATTAAAAGTTTATTCTTAAGAAGTACTTAACATAAGTATGATTTACATACTTAGTTCATTGTCATATTTGATTCGGCTAATAAGTAAGAATGATGATTAATAAACCCACTTTTATAAGAATAGATTCATGTTACAGTTGAAGTTTTTATATAAATTTTATATACTGGTAGTTTTTTTAATCATTTTATATATATTTTAAAATGTAACACTTACCAAGTAGAAGTTCTCGAAGGCTCCAACTGGTATTCCAATTAATCCATTATTTTAGGAAATTTGTCATGATTCATTGAAAATTTAATTACACTTTATTTACATATTTATTCACTATCACATTATTATTAACACGAGAAATACTTAATTTTTTATGCAAAATTTGACGAACGATGAATAAATTTTTTTCTCTATTTAATTATATTCATCACTGATCACTTGTCAACACTAAAAAACTATTTACATCTAAAAACATCATTCATATACTTTGTTAAATTAAAAAAAAAAGAAAACAATATAAAAATATTTTAAAAAATGTTAAGAATGTATACAAACTTCTTGATGAACGTGACAGATACAACTTAGCGTCTTTTTTACTCCAAAATAATTCCTATAGTAATTTTATATTTTGTTGGTTATCATTAGTAAGAAGTTATACTTTTTACGAATCTCATCATAAATATGTGAGTATTTATCAAATTAACTAAAATAAAGATACGATTTATTTTAAAAATAACAGAGCTAAAAATCATCTACGTTCCAATGCCACTTGTTGCAAAGCCTCGTGAAAACTAAAACGAACGCTGTGATTGGCTGAAACAAATGAGTGAGAACAACAAAAAACTTATAGACGCCAATGCTACATTTCAGCGCCACCCCACTTTGCTTTAGTCGATCGTTGGCGGTAAGACAACAAACGTTTGCTCGAAAAATAGAACTCAACGTTTCGATCTAGTGTGATTATGACAGTTTTAATATTTTTACAGTGAAAGAATAAAACGACTGTATGTTAAATGATTATAATATTTGAGTATCTAAATATTCGAGAAAGAAAAAAAAGTAATCGAGTGGAGTATAATTCTATTGGGGTTAGCTCAATTTTTTTTAATCGGTCGGAGTTCCTGGAATTGAACTAAACATCGAGTGCTTGCATTTTTGTTTTGTTTCGCTCAGCCTTATTTATTGTGTACGCTTACAAGTACATTAATGAAATGTATTAATGAAAAAATCAAAGAGTAATATAAAGAATAACTATTTGTAGTGACACTGTTGTGATTGTAAGAGTAAAAAATAAAATTATTTAAACAATGAGTAAATTATGCCATCAAAAGAAAAATGGTGATAAAAATTTATTGCTAAATAAATTCCATTGCTGCATATATGGTGAGTGTCCATTTATTTACATTATTATCTATGGATAATTGTTTTTTTTACAAACTGATAAAAATGCAATATTTGGACATGTAATGTTCATAAATATAAATATCTCTATCATTTGTACATACATTTTTATTAATAAATTCGAATTTGACAAATTCAAAAATTACCGCTTTTAAGTTTAGTGCGTAAAACATCTGGCAGATGGCTTAATTAAGCAGTTCAGAAACTGCAAAGAATAATAATGAGAGATAACAATGAATCCCTAATAAAAAAATTCATTGTAAAAATTTAAATTTATCAACAAAGTGATTGTATTGATTTTATATTTTTTTTATGATATAATCATTTGATAAGGTAACAGTTCTTTATAAGAATAAAAAAATCTATCAAAAAAATTGTGCTCCAAAATCTTGACAGTGAATTTGTTTATCTCACTTTGCGAGGAAAATTGATAAATCAAAGGAAATACAAGAATTATAACATAAATATCAATTAAAGTCCAGGTAAGGAATATTTTATTCAATCAATTTCAAAAATTAAATTGAAATTAGGTTAGCTTTTAATTATCAATTAGTACAATAGTAATCTTAATTTAATGTGAGTTTTCTTCTTTATCTTCTTTACAGTTGATTTTTATTTTAACAACAGTAGATGAAGAGAATCAAGTGGACGTGAAATCCAAAGAAACTAATAAGAACTTACTAAGCCAAGAAAAAAGTGAGAGACAATTTTAGAATTGCGTCAACAATCGTGTTGTAATCTCCCACCCTCATTTTTCAATATCTCCAACAAGCATAACGAGTATATAATTAGCCGCCTACGAGTGCAACACGGCCCACAAATCGTAGATTTCAGCTACTTCACCATAAAGTAACTTCGAATAAAAATTGTTTCACAACAACCAAAAGTGTGGAATGTCACAAGTGTCGTTGAGTTTCAAGGAAATTTCGTGTATCAAGCTGTGGTCATCTGTTTACCTCAATTTGCCTTCATGGAATATAGTTATATTTAGTGCATGACGACTAGCCAGGGAAGCTGGTGACTATTTATCTATCTCTCATCACATCTTCATCAAATTAAAGTAATTAATTGTTAAAAATTCACCTATAACCATGGAAGATATATTTCAATGGTGTCGAGAAGGAAACGCCTTACAAGTGCGAGTGTGGCTTGATGATACTGAACACGACATGAATCAAGGGTATGTGAATTCTCCTTATATGGAAGTCGCGTTTTTCATTCACAGCATTTTATATTTTAATGACTTTTATTGCCATACTCAAATCCAATTTACATGTAACAATAGCTTACGCATCACTGACTTTAGATTTTTGTAGCTCAACTTGAAAATTTAATTAAAGAAACAAATTTATTAGCAGTTAAACCAAATCTGTAATCCAAAAATAGAAAAAGAACAGTAGTTGAAGTAAATAAAATAAATTTGAGAATTTCTTATCAATTGAAATTAATTACTCTAGACAATTAGTGAAACTCATGAAATCTTTGATGAATTTACTATTCTCAAGTGTTTGAAGAGTACTTGTAACATGAACATAATTAGCAGATATTATTCTGTCCAGAGTTTGGAACAATTCCAAAATTAAATAAGCATAAATAGATGTTAATTCAAAAGCTTCTATTATAATTAGGAGTAAGAGATCAAAGAAAATGAATTTGAATACCGTAACATAATGGTAATAATTTCCAGAGTAATGTTTCCGTATCATTTTGAATATTACTCCAATATTGATAGTCATATTTCAGAATGTATATACAGACATATTTTAGTTCTAATGAAATCCCATAATGGATCTATAATTTTTAGTGATGATCACGGCTTCAGTCCTCTTCACTGGTGCGCGAAAGAAGGACACTCAAAACTTGCTGAATTGCTTGTCAGTCGAGGAGCTAGAATCAATGCAACCAATAGAGGTGATGATACTCCACTGCATTTGGCGTCTGCTCATGGTCATAAAGAGATAGTACAATTGGTAAGACGATCAATATATTCAATGAATGCTTCAGAAGATGATAATATTAAAAAATGATTTATTTCAATAGCTACTTCGTAATAAAGCTGATGTTAATGTTACAAACGAACATGGTAACACGGCCTTACACTATGCTTGCTTTTGGGGAGATCAAGCAGTTGCAGAAGAACTTGTTACTGCGGGAGCTTTAGTTTCTATTGCTAATAAAGATGGGGATACGCCATTAGATAAAGCCCGAGGACCTTTGGCCAAACGTTTGCATGGTAAAAATCATATAAATGCTGTCAAAGTATCAACATATTATTTTTTATTTTCTCATATTCTTGTAATTTTATAGATCTTGCGGTTGAATTTGGACAGGATTTCAAAAAAATACAATTTAAAGACCAAAGTTGGCTAGGATTGAAGACTCGTAGTCGTTAGTATACTTGAACTCGAATTATTTTTGATAAAAATAAGAGAAAAATTCAATTTTTTTGTTTCTTTTTAGGTGATGCCACACTCTCCAGACATAAAGGTATTAACATGAATGAATTGTCTCTTATGACTCACTTAGCGAGCACTCCCAGTGGAGAAACATGGCGTGGAAAATGGCAAAACAATCACATAGTAGCTAAAATCCTTAATGTACGAGATTGTACAGCTCGTATATCTCGAGATTTCAATGAAGAGTTTCCAAAACTCAGAATTTTCTCTCATCCTAATGTATTGCCAGTTCTTGGTTGTGTAAATCAACCCCCACAGCTTGTGACTGTCTCACAGTACATGTCACGAGGGAGCTTACATCGACTTCTTCATAGCGAGACGGGAATAGTTGTCGATACTGCTAGAGCTTTACGTTTAGCGTTGGACGTAGCGAGAGCAATGGCATTTTTGCACGGACTAGAACGACAAAATCGATGTCGTTTTCATTTGAATAGCAAACATGTCATGGTAAATAAAACTCATTCTTCTTTTGGCAATGATTTATACGATATTTTACCAAGATATACTTTTCAAATGAGATTTATTAATAAATATCAAATGGAAACCAATGTGAATTATTTTTTATGGAAATTTTAGATTGACGAAGATTTAACTGCTCGTGTTAACATGGCAGATTCAAAGTTCTCATTCCAAGAAGTAGGCCGCATTTATGAGCCTGCATGGATGTCACCGGAGGCACTAAGTAAACGGCCTGTGGATATAAATTTAGAAGCAAGTGATATGTGGAGTTTTGCTGTTTTACTGTGGGAGCTTGCTACAAGAGAGGTTCCTTTTGCTGATTTATCTCCTATGGAATGTGGAATGAAGGTTAATTATCTTTCTTTTTCCAATCAAAAAAAGACTGCTTTGTTCTGAAAGTATTTGCTTTAATCTAAAAAAAATGTTGATTTTGTAGATTGCGTTGGAAGATCTTCGTGTAACTATTCCACGAGGAATCTCACCCCACCTGGCAAAACTCATAAAAATATGTATGAATGAAGATCCTGGCAAGCGTCCTTCATTTGATATGGTCGTGCCAATTCTTGATAAAATGAAACGCTGAAGAAGTGGATTTTCTAATAAGCTCAAATTCTCCTAGAAGAAGAGCCAGAAATTAATGTTCACTAGACGTAACTGATTAATTCACGAGCCTGTTTAAAGTCAATAGTTACTGAATAACCTGACTGATTTCCACGAATCAAATACGCAAATATGCAGACACAACTCATGAATCTCCATTGCTGGTGCTAACAAGTATATCACAAAGAATATCTATAAATATGCATTATAAATTCTCACACAATATTTTTTTATGTAATGTTGAAATAACTCAACTGTCACTGTGCCTTAATTAGTTAATTTTATCTTTAGATGGATATTCTATTTTTAAAAATAATATTTTATAATTAGTTTTTTGCCAAAAATTTTAATGGCATTTTAGTATTTTTTATTTAATTGATTAATATAAAATAGAATGAAAAATAAAGAAAATATTTATGTATTTTAAATAACGTGGTTTATATATATTTAATAAATTGTAGCATTTGTTGACTGATATTAAAAATAACGAATAAATAATTTTATACCAACTTCAATTCAGGAATGTCAAAGTAATTACAAAGACCGAATTTAATTTATATATAACATCCTTTGGTCTGAGAAGTGGATAAAAAGAAGAATAATATTTCATAAAAGAGTTTACGTTTAAATAGTTATAAAAAAATATATAAAAGCAAAACGCTACTTTATAATTTATATATTAATATTGGTGAAAGAATTTTAATATTGTAATTTAAAAATATTTTTATACAATAGTTGATAAAAATGACTTTTTTATCGCTGTTGCAGTAATGATTTCCACTTTTACGAATGATATTATAACAATTTGATAGCTACTTGACATTTAAAATGGATGGATATAACATTTAATCGCATTGTTAATATATTTTCTACAGTTGTAATTGTATTTTAATATAAATAATTAATTTTCCATTTTAATTATTAATCAAAGCTTTTTTTGTTATGAAAGCTACGGTCTATTAAAACCTGTCAATTTTCATTACTCAATTAAAATAAAAAATAAAAAACTCTACCTTTTGAACTGCACGTTATTTAATTAAGGTCGTTATACCGTGTCCATATAAGTCAATGCTTTACGGTCATCGATTTAGATAAAAAACGTCATATGAAGCGACAGATAATTCCATTAATTAATTTAGTATTCAAATACTTGTGCTGTTCTCCTATCTAATTAATATTGAACGACTTTAATATACACTTTATTTTTGAGTTGAAAGTTCCTTTGAATTCAAATAAAAATCTCTTATGGATGTTGTCTCTTAACATTTTAAAGATACTTGTTAATTTTATTATGCATCAAAGTCTAATTGCACTGTAGGCTATATTTTTTTTTCTTTATGAAACCGGATATGAAGAAACAACTCTTTGAAGATTCTTTTTAGTCCATAATTCAAATGTAGATTGCAATTTCGATACGCTTTGAGTTGGGTCAATACTAAATTTGGTCGATGTTCATTCTGTAAAAGTAAAAAAAAAAAATGAACATGTAATCGAAAAGTTAAGCTGAATTTTATATTACCGATTAATATCAATAAATAAATTGGGCCCTGGTAAGGTTATTTTTGAATGTAATATTTATTCTAATAGGAGTGTAAGCGAATCAATAGTAATTAAATGGTTAATTTGAGAAGATAAAAGCATCAAAGCTATAATAAGTATTATAAATTAAATGAAAATGATTGGGTTTTGAAGCTTTAAAAGTTTCTATATCAGTAACTACATTTGATTGAAAGTTCAATGTGACGACTGATATGATTGTCGCCTCAACTAAATTTTATTTTTATTGTATCATCATAATATAAATTGATTTCTTCATTTATCTATATTATTATTTATTATCATTCATTATAAATAATAGACATTTATCGTGGTGATTCTTATTATGATAGAAATCCGATGATTATTATTTCATTATAATAAGCCAACATGATAGAGAGTATAAATCGATGAAAAATTTAATATCAAGCAGGTTTTATTTGCTTCAAGCTCTAGACCATGTACTATTAGATGTAATAAAAATAATAGTATTGTATAGTGTCCGAAAAAACATACATGAACTTTATTACCATCATAAAATGTGAAAACCATACTATATAGAAGACTGGCTTGGTTATTAAGTTTTAATGATTTATCATGAGTGCAAATACAAATGTGGAAATAAAAAAATCCTTAATGCATAGAGGAAAAATTCTAATAATTTTAACTGGTTTTAAAGTAAAAATAGGGTTCACTCCACCAAGTCTGATAAAATTGACTGTAATTCTCGTTCTATTTGTAGCAATTTCAGTACATATATTCAACTTCACATAAAGTTACTCTGAATAGTTTGTAGAGTTTTCCATGATTAATTTTCTTCCTATTCTTATCACGTCAATAATAGTTATACAAATTAGTGTCAATTGATTTTTAAAAAAATTATTAAAAATTTTAGTTAACATTTTCATGAATATTTTTTACAGTTTAATAAAATGTATAATGTCATCCTCTGGTGTGAAAATACAATATAATATTGACTCTGCTAATAGTCTCCTATAAAAATTTTTTTTCAAGCGGAAAAATGATGAACTATTATTTGGTTAAGATAAATAGCACGCGGCGAACTGAAAAAACTTTTTTCGTGCAGAAAATTTGTTCACACGTGAAAGGAATTTTCTAAAAATATATCTCTAGTAATTTTTTATTTTATTTTATTTTATCAACAATCATAGAAAATAGAAATAAAATCTACTATTCATAAAGACAACTTAATGCATTGTTTATTATTCATTAATGAAATTTTTTCACAAACTTTATTCTTTAAATTTTTTTTTTCAAGTGATAAATATTCATATTTCCAACACATGCAGAGGAGGCATGATTTAAGAGCCAAGAAATAAAATAAAGAATTTCGCAGTTGGACTGTTCAGCTTTCATATATGCAACGGGGGATTTGATTATATATGTCCATATATTTTGTACTTAAACGAAATATATTGAAATGATTGAACAGTCCAACCAAATAGTAACAGAGACATGTTTATAATAAAATATTCATGTGACTTCTTTTCTCAATAAATAAGAATAAAATTCCAATAGTATAAAAGATTCCAAAGAAAGAGAGGAGCATTTGAAAAATTGGCTGCACAAATAGCTATAATTAAAATTGATGACTCGAAAATTATAGGACAGTTTATGTCACTATAAATAAAATGTTCAATCAATTTCGCACAGGATGTTTATTATCAGTATCTTCATCTAATTAAGTGTAAACGCGTGAGCAAATCAAACTAGACATCAATGGCTGTAACATGAAACTCTTCCTCATTATGATATTCAATAACAAACAATAGAAGCAAATAAAAAATGTGACACAATAAAATACTTAGTATCAACGATAAAAGATCAGTTTAAAAAGCAAAATATTTTCTAAAATAATTATTTTGTTTCAATTTTATATAAAAACAAAATTTTCCAATTGAATTTTATTCTGTTTTTAGAAGAAAAGCAATTTTAATTACATTCTTCCGTCCTGTTGTCACACCTAAATATTTCATAATATTCATACACATTTATGCTGATGAAATAATTCAACTATACAAACCTAAAATAATAAACTCGTTTCAAACTTTAAATTATCCAGCCAAGTAAACCATAAATTAATCAACAACGCTTGATGCCTTAATTTTTCATCAGCTGCTTTTTTCTCTATTTAATGCAACTTATGTTGATACAATGTAATCTCAGTAATTATCATCAAAGCCGAATGAAACTTTTCTCTAAATGAAAATCATTCACATGTAATACTTCCTACTATAAACTCCATTTTCAGCAGTTTTAATACCAGATCAGGTTGAAATTCATTCAACAATTCTATCAACATACCACATTCTCTTTATCCTAGAAGTGTGAGATACAGTCTGACTCATCCGGGATAATAATGGTATTATTCTCAAATACTTCTTGATCCTTTATATTTTCGTGTATAAAATGGTAGCTGGATATATTTTTCTCATTTCAGGTAATCCATAGGTCAGTCATAAGAGTTCTATGGAATTTTTTAATTGATATGTCAACTCGATAACCTGACTTATTTCTACAGATTTTTAGCCGCAGAATCCAAATGCGTCGGTTATTTTTTTTTAACAACACCGGTTCGAAAGTTATAAACAATTGAATATTTTAACTCATTTTTTGGCCAAACTATTATATAAATATTGATTTTATTAATTAAAAATTAGTTTTTTATAAACAGTCTAGCATTGAAATCAATGTGTCGACCCGCAGCGTTAGGACCTTTGAAATGGATTTTTTTATTTTGAGACAAGTAGTGAAATTTTTCAGTCCCACTGCAGTTAGTTAACTAGTCCGTTATTTTTGAAGACACGTAATAATAATACACATTGATCTCAATGCTAGACTGTCCATAGAAAATTAATTAAAAAATTGCATACAGCTCTTATGGCTGGTCTATGTCTGTGTGAATCAAGGAGTTTTTAAGCCATTCTAAAGTGTTTATATTTTTTCTAACAACTGAAACTGTTTAAAACTTGAATAGATTATCATTAAACATTGCTTGTATTATCAAGAAGTAAATGAAGATAATGTTGAAAAATATTCTGAGAGATAGAGCGTTGATAGCTATAGTAATTTCTGAATTAATGATCAATTGAAGAATATCGAATGCTGCATAAGAAGTATTTTTGTCTGTCTTAAACTGTACAGCCATGAAAGTGACTGTTTGAATGATCAGTCGTAATATCAAGGTTCATATTCCATAAGAAAACGAGATTTACTTAAGTGGAGTTCTCAAGACGCTTTTAAGAAGAAAAAATAGAAAAATCTCCATGTTAAATTGGAAAGGAAATATCTGTACTTGCTTTTTCTATTTCAAGATACACAGGATTAAGGATTACATCAACCGCTATATTCGCAATCATATAGTTGTACATGAATAGTACTATTACTGTTGTTTACTTTGATCAGAAAAAAATTTCTTACGTATACCATGAATTTAATGGTCAGAAGTTCTTTCCAATATTTTACGTTGTCTTTTTCAAATAGAGGGAAGTCGTGTTCTATGTCTTCGATGTTATATATTTCGAATTCAGTAGTAATTTTCCTCCTGTTAGTTCGAGTATATACTGACATCAAGGATAATGTATATGTTATTTGTTAGAGCCTTCCGGTTGAAGGAAAACCCGTGACATGTGTTGGCTGCAGTCAAACATAAAAAATTATTTTAGGGTCAGTGATAGCTTTGGTTTGGTTGAATAATTTTGAAGGAACTAAAAATTAAACGATGATATGAAGTTTTTTAAAAATAAAACTGACTATTTATTTT